CTCATATAGAAAATGAGAGACAAATGCAACCACCCTAAAGACCACAGCATGACTAAAAAAAAATTGCTGCTATGCAGGTAATCAACAAGACAAGCAGTTCTGGTGTGTAAACTTGATCGGAGTCTCTGTAACTTTCATTGCTGCCTTCACTGGATATGTCTGATCATGAAATATAGCTTTGTGGATCGTCTTTACTGCCTTGTTTCAGCAAGTACATACACCGTGGACACTACAGCACTCTGAAGACTAAGAATTTACGATGGCGCATTCAAAAGAAAAGGACAAAAACCACAAACTAGCTTCTTTCAACAGGAAAACATTCAAACCAACAACAAGAAGCAGTAAGCACAAAAAGCCATCAAATACAAGAAGTCTGAACAATACTGCACCAAAGAGATATATATGAACAGGGTGATCTAATAAATCCAGAGAAGTAGCTGGAGTCTGCCAGTACCATATGAAGCCAACATCATTCGACTACAAAAGACATCTGGGGCAGAGCAGCTACACCAACAATTACCCTCTTTAACGAAGATGAACAGTGTGCTGCTTCAGTAGCATCCTCCCCAGTACCAATCCGGGTATGGTAATCTACACCTAAGCCAGCTTAACGAGCTCCACAAGCCATGCAGACCCGAAAGGCACCCCTTCACCCTACTGCACATTTACCTGTAATTGCAAACTTCCTCTTCCTTCTATCCCAACACACTAAACTGGTGACATCCCTTGTAAAATGAAAGGGCAACACTTCACTCCGGCGCTCAGGAATTGGCTGAGTCTATACACAGCTCAAAACAGCAGCAGAGCTTAATGAATTCATTCACCAGGTTCAAAGTGGAAAGGTGTTGACTTGCACCATTAGTCACATTGCTCCTGTAAACTTTAGTGCGCCCTTCATAATTCTCATGCTAAGATGAAGAGGCGTGTGCATATATGAACATATGCGCATGTACCCATGTGCAGCCTTTCTTCAGTTTTGGTTTTAAGCTCTCTCTGGCTTGGTTGGCCCTCAGGCAATCACTGTAATTAGAAAAGGCACACAAGAAAACAGCTGAGTGACCTTGGCCTACCTCTGACTGCCTTGCATACAGCTTTCCCCAAGCACTACATGCCAGTGTTCTCATCACCAGCTGAACTACAGAAAGACTCTTTTGCAAATCACTGCTTCTCAGCACCCACAGACCACTGAAGCCCAAATCATTTGCATATCATTACCTTCGGGCTGATAAGGCATGTGTATGCAATTTCAGGTACACAGATTCACTTGTACCTTGTCAAGCAACTTGTTCCAATTCAAATTAAGCTGCCACGGGACCGGGGGCTGCTATCTTTAACTTTGCAGAATGCAATTACCCTGATGAGGGCTACAAAATGCATATTTAAACAAATAGCCGTGTTAATATCGTTCAATTTCTGGATCAGCCATCACCAACACTGAAGTTATTCAACACTGGGCTGCCTGGGGGAAGAAACAGGGAAAGGCTGCCCCCTCCAGTACACAGATATGTTATTCTCCAGATATTTGAAAGCAAAATTCTCAGCATACACTGGAACATTTATATAGCTGGAAAATAAAATTAGCAGAGCACAGTCACAGCTGTACAAACAATTTGCAGCTTTGCCCTGCTGAAATACAAGCTTAAGTGATAACTGCCACATTGGTGGTTCCCCTTCAATTCTCTCACCGCTGTACAAGATGTTTTACTTGACGCATCCCAGCTGCCTTCCCAATGCTTCTGAATGCCTGGTAGTCCTCCCAGCATAGGGGTACATCAGCAGTACCCCATAACCTCCTCAAAAACTGCTGGGAAATGAATGGACATCTGCCACTTCCTCTCACCTCACTTCAGCTGCTCAATATGGTTTTTTTTTAAGGTTTTCTATATACCTAAGCTATGCCCCAAAACACACACTGCATCTGTTGATCTTTTCCTTGGATAACAAGTCCTGTGTAACAGTTCCTTGAAAATATTTGGTTATTCCTAGATATTGGAGGGTGGAGGGACATAAACTACTCCTCACACTTCAGCTGCAGGTATTAAGGGAAAGACAAAAACAACAGAGCACAAAACTTGCTACATCCATGAGATGGACTTAAATGATTAGATGAACCCTTGGAAAGCAGTTTGCTGCTACCAACAAACATCGCCTGCTATCACCTTATGAAAGAGAATGTCCCATTCCTGTGCAACAGAGAGATAAGCAGCAAAGCAAAATAAAATCCTAGTATCATTAGGATTGGAAAAGACCACTAAGATCACCCAGTCCAACCACCAACCTATTCCCACAATGCACACTGACCACGTCCCTCAGTGCCACATGACTCTTGAACACCTTCAGTGATGGTGAGTCCACCAAATGATCTGAGCTGTTTAATTTGCAGGCTATGTAAACTGAATGTTTCCTGCAGATAGCATACGTAGAATCCAGTGTCTGCTGAGAGACTCCTCAATGTAATTTCCCAACCTGTTTTCACGGGGATTTTTTTGTTTTGGTGGTGTGGTATTTTTTTTTTGTTGAGCTGTGTTGCTATTGTTGTTTTTGTTTATTTTTCTGATTCTTAGCTCCCACCGGGTTTTCTAAGAGCATTGCCAAAGCAATAAATCTAGGTAGTGGGTAAGGAGGGGAGGGGTCTTCCCACCCCCCATGAAATAGAATACAGATGTATGTAACAGAGACAGTAAAACTGATATTCAGAGCCCAGCTGGATGTGACCCAGGGCAGCCTGCTGTAGGCGTCCCTGTTTGAGCAGAGAGTTGCACCAGGTGATCCTCCAGAAGTGACTTCCAACTTCAGCTATTTGGTGATTCTGTAATTCCTGTATCAGAAACAGCTGCAAGAGTGAAGGGGGAGATTTGATACTTCTGATCCAAACCATGGGATGCCAGTGTCCTCTGGAAAGACACTACGCTTTCTGTGGTGTTAACAAGCAATCTTTTCTAGGGTACGGAAAAGTGTGTCTCTGGTTTAAAGCTAACATATTCACAGTTGTGTTCTCTGCTAAATATGTTTGAAGAAGAATAAGACAGCAAACTGGCTTTACTGTTTATTACTCTTTTAGCAGCTGTGCAGAGCAATGGTGCTCTACATTTGAGTGATTAATATATCACTCTGCTCTCTCAAGTGAAAATAGCCAATCAATACATAAATTTAAGAAACAATCTTCAGTGGGCAGCCTCTCAAATGTCCTTGAGACCTTCCTCCCTTGTATTCAGATGGCAGTTTAGCTAAATGCAAAGTAATTACTATAAAGACTGTTGGGTAGATAGGGCATTTATTCAGGCACCACAACACCAACAGAATGGTAAAGCTGAGGGTTTGCTAGAACTAACAGCAAAGTGGAAACTTAATTATTTCCCAGTGTAGTGCTTCCCCTTATTGACTGTAATTCTCATCAGATTTCACTGCTTTGCTCCAACAAACTCTTCATTAGACACACAGCTTTGGTCATTTCAGCTGCTTAGGTTGTTTTAAAGACATACAAATAAATAAGTAAGCATTTCTAACACTAAATGCATGGAACCTTTAAAAAACAGTATATCAGCTTTGTAAAAACAAACAAAAAAAGTACTTCCAAATCATTAGCCAAATGAAGCTTCACCAAACAGTAAAGTTGCTGTGCAGTAGCACATAAATGAAGCCAAGACATGATATGGGAGTGTTTCTGAATACAGTTATTTTGAAATGAAGGAACTTTTCCAAAAGCATCTGACTAGATTCAGGCAGTTATATTTTAATAGTGAATTCATAAATACCTGCTTACCATTTTTATCAGACTTGAGACACTTGGTTTCTCTTTTCCTTGAAATACAACTACATTACCCAGTTTGGGCACTTTACTGATTTCCACATTTTTAAGACAGCCAAACTCTCTTGGAAAGATTTCTCCCCAGTTACCAATTTGTAATTATTGAGTTGTCTGCGGGACGACACATGCATGGTTACTTGTAGAATCACTGAAATGTTGACTGGAAGAGACCTCTGCAGTCCAACCTCCTGCTCAAAGCACAACTACTACCAACACTAGAACAGGTCTGCCATGGGTTTGTCCAGCCAAGTTTCAAAAGCCTCCAAGATTGAAGAACCAGCACCCTGTAAGGTAGTCTGCTCCTCTCATACATTACTCCTATGACAAAGAAGTATTTCTCAGTGTCCAGCCTGATTTTTTAAACCAAACTTGTTTTATCACTTCCCTCTATGCAGAATAGTTTGCTTCTGCTCATTGTTCACGTGTTCTAGGCTCCTAAGCAACTTGGACATCCTGCCCAGTTTTTCCATATTCTTCTTGAATTGGAGGGCCAGAAGCTGGACACAGTATTACAGGTGTGGCCTCCCCAGCTCTGAACAGAGTGTGATGAGTGCAGGTCCTGTTGAACATGGCACTCGCTCAGACAGCCAATTCCCAGTCCGTACTGACGCACATGATTATTTTGGCATGTGTGAGGAACTTTGGCCTTCTACTTGCTAAACTACCTAAATTCTTTGTTGGCCACACCACCAGTCATGTCTGGATAGCAGGCAATCATGGTAGTTGACAGGATTTGTCATGGCAGATTGAAACCAAGGGTTTCCAATCACCTTCTTCTCAATACTGTATTTGAAAATTCATCGGTTGCCTTCACTGATGCTGGACAGCAGTCTGATGCCTGAGCCCAATGTTCCTTCATATCAGTATTTAAGCCACGGTCAGTACTGTAGTTTCATACGCAGGATACTTTCCTCTTTCATTCTTCTCTATACATTTGTACTTTGCGTACATATTGATCTTCTGCCTTCCACATTTCTAAGTGTATGTGCTGTGCTGCAAACATGACAAGGATGCAGCAATGTGCCTGACAGCTGTACTGTTTTACAGACTGATGGGGCTACAGAATCACAGAATCATTAGGTTAGAAAAGACCACTAAGATCATCTGGTCTAACCATCAGCTCATCCCCACCATGCCCGCTAACCATGTCCCTCAGTACCACATCTCCATGATTCCTGAACACCTCCAGGGACAATGACTCCACCACCTCCCTGAGCAGCCAATTCCAACACCTCACCACTCTTTCCGAGAAGAAATTTTTCCTAGCATCCAATCTGACCCTCCCATTCACCCTATTTTAGTATTTTCAGCTAATTTTGTCATCAGCCATTTCTCCATCTGCTCAGACCCACTCTAAGTACAGACTGCAAGTCTAAAGAGCTTGTATCGGTCAGACAGCTTCTCCAACAGAAAGTCATAACGCAAATTGATGCTTAAAGCCTCAGCATGACAAAAAAAAAGAGCTCTATTCATTTCCCTGTTACTGCAGTTTCCACAGTACTTAGGGATTTCTGCCCGTGGGCACACCAGGAACGCTGCATCAGCTCGCTGTCACAGGCTGATGTGTTCTGTGCTATGGAGGGGGTCTCCACACACAGCTCGAACGCAGTCCTGCAGAGGACAAGGTGAGCCTTTCCTTGTGTTGCCCAGCGCAACAGGGAAGTTTCTCTAAGATACTCGGAGGGCGGTGTGGCACAGCTGCCCAGAGAAGCTGTGGATGCCCCATCCCTGGAGGCGCTCGAGGCCGGCTTGGTTGGGGCGCTGGGCAGCTCCACGCGGGAACAACCCCCTCCCTCACAGCCCGCTTCCCTCAGAGCCGAGCACGGCCTTCCCCATCCCTCCCTCCCCGCAAGGCTCCCGGCCGCGCCGCCCCGCCCAGGAAGCGCCCTTTGCCCGCGGAGCAGGAAGCGTGGCGGCGCCGGGCGGCAGCGGGCGCCCTGCAGGTAGGCGCGGGGCGGTTGGATCGGGGCGGCAGCGGAGCGCTGGGGCGGGAGAGGGCAGTTGGGCTGAAAGCTCCGGCAGAGCCTTTGTCTGTCGGCATCGTGGAGGAAGGACCCGCCCGGAGAAGAGACAGAAAGGAGGAGGGAAGGGCCGGCTGCCCTTTTTTTTTACTCCAGTCTCCGCTTTAGCCGCTGTCCCTGTGTTCCCCCGGCCCATCGCTTCCCACCTGCCGCAGGCAAAAGCATCTTCTCGCCCAGTTTCCGATCTCTGTTGCACACAGGCAGCCTCACACGCTGCCCCGGTTCCCCAGAGCTCCACGTCTCTCTCTTCTTCTCACCCCTGTTTGGGTGTTATGGCAGTGCCCTGACCACCCCGCCTCCTGCCCGTCCCAGCACATCAGCCCTGCTTTAGGGAGGGCATCGCCGGCTAGTGCTGTATGCCAGGAACAGGTGCTGCACCACAGGGCGGTGGGCATGGCACAGGCTGCCCAGGGTGATGGGCATGGCCCCATGTGCCAGAGTTCAGGGAGTGCTTGAACACCACTTTCAGACACAGGGTTTGGATTTTGGGTGGTCATGTGTGGAGTCCAGAGTTGGACTCGGTAATTCTTGTGGGTGCCTTTCAGCATGGGATATTCACACCTTGCTCTGAACGGCAGCTTCGTGCCTTGGTGCCCGGGGTGACCATGCAAAGAACGCTCAGACAGCGACAGCACTTCAGGAGCAGACTGCAGGACCCCAAGGAGCCTGAGAGATGGAGCTCTACACTGGGATGATTCCTACAGCCTCCACAATCCGACGCAGCCACAGGACAACTATGGAGGTGAGTGGTCAGGAGAGAAAATGAAGAGCCATCAGCAAACAGCTGAGGTAAAGACTCGGTCCTTGAAGGACTGTCTCCTCTGTTGGTGAGATCAGTCTCCTCCTTTCACAGAGAGAGGACGGATCACGGGAAAGGAGGCAACTCTCCCTACTCCAGGCTAGCCTGTCAATGTATAAGGACTGTCTGCTTTTTCTTGTGCTGCCATAGCAAATCTGAGCACAGCAGCCATGCATCAGGAGATCTTTGCAGGATCAGAACTGAACTCTTCCTTCTGCCTTGTTTGCAGTGCTTTGAGACTTCCCCTGGTAGTTGTGGTCAGACATTTAGCAAGATGCTGGCACCACCTCTGAACTGCTTCTCTGCAGTTCCTGTTTGTGCACCCTTTACAGGGAAACCCTCCTGTGGTTAGCCGCTCAGGGAAAAGGCCTGTGTGTGCATGGGGCTTTGGCTCCTGCTTTCAGGTGGAACAGGCCATCTGGTAAACACTGCAGCATGTTGGTAGCTGGGTTGGCTCCTACCATCAATCTCCTGCAACAGAGATTCTCAGTAGTGGTGAAGTTCTGAGAGCTGTAAGGCTCCTGAAAGCAACCTAACGTTGTGTGGCTCAGGACAGCCTGAAATGGTGTATCTGCTGAGATGGTCCCCATCAGCATTCAGCAGATATTTATTTAGTAAGCACTAAGCTGCTTTTCCTTTCCCCTTTCCCTTTTTTTTCTTCATCGTTCTGTAGTTCAGTAAGTCTTTCTCTTTTGCTTGCTCCCTTTCTCTCTGTCCAACTTTGTCACCCAAGATCAAAGACTTCAAGATACGTCTGTCCAGGACCATTCCCCTCATCTGAGTTGTCTCCTTAATTCTGACACCATCTAATCTCTTACTGCTTATTACCTTTCATTAAATAGCTGTTGGTGATGGATGGACAACAGAATACCCATCACTTTATAGCGTTTGTTTGCACCAGAGGCCATCTGTCCAGTTAACCAATTGCAGCTGAATTGCTGACCAGAGATGTACTTTTCCCATATGTAAACAAGGATTGGTAGTTTGAAGCATAGTTCTGGGAGAATGTTTCTGAAGGGATGCTAGCTGGCACTTAGGGAACTAAAGATTAAAAGGAGAGTCAAAAAAAAAAAAAAAAACCCATAATGTCTTGAATACTTTAAAAATATTCCTAGAAATGCTGTGATGCATATCAGTCTCCAGTCCTAGATTCACTCAGCTGGGTTCCTCTCCCTGCCACCTTTGATTCTTCCTTTTTGAAATAAAGTGGGACTTTTTTCTTACCATTGTACTTTCTCTGTTCTCCTGCTGCATCAATTGCCAGTGCCTACCTTTTGTGCTGGTGGCATTTGTAAGACCAACCTGCCCAATAATTGCATTTGTGGCAGTTGTTGGAGTTGCCAAGCAGGGATCTGCCAGATTCCAGTAGGAAAAGACATAACTTTATTTTGCCTGTTTTGTTGGTTTACCTGCCTCAGCCTGAGAGTCTTTCCTTGGAGGAGAGGGGAGAATTGAGATAGCAAGTAAGAAAATCATGCTCTGGTGACTAAAGAGTAGTTTTCCATTTAGAATAATTTTAAGACAGTAATTATTCTTGTGGTTGTCATTATTACAGAAATGCCACCAGTTCAACTGTGCATGCAGTTTTGCTTTTTCTTTGCATTTATGGCTATTGTTGCTGTCCCTCAATTCTGAGTCCAGCGCATCTGGTGTATCTCCTCATGTACTGGTCATCAGAAAGGAGGCAACCTTGAATCTCCTATAAGAAAATAAAACATATCTGACATCAGGTACCTCACTGGTGCACAGGATGCCCATAAACAGGATGCCCATGTTGCTCAGATTCCATTCTTTTAAGCAATTTCTCCATCTGTTCCCCATATTCAGCAGGGGGAGTAGATTTTAAGGCATATTATGTGACACTATTGCTGAATATTCAACTAAGATTTATTTTGTTTGCTTTTGTAAGGAGGATTCCTGATTGGTGAACCTGACATAACCTGCCCAGATGGACCAAGAAGAAGATCAAGATCATGAGGCCTCAAAGGACATGGGTAAGGAATAAGATGAGTTTATAAACATGGAGAAAGGAAGAAGCAATTTGAGCTTCTGCAGTGTTCTTCAAACTACTTTATTTCATCTAGCTTGATTTGAGACCTTCTCTTTCCCTGTCACTGCAGCCTTGTCAATGTGCTATTAAGAGTATGTATGAAAGACAGAATATTAAGAAGACAGAATGTGATGATTTCCTGGGGACAAGGAAAGGCTGATTGCACTGCCCTCAGCTCTGCTTTTTGTGACACATCTGCTCTGGGTCGCATGATGAGGTTGCATTCTCACAACTAGTTTTACATTTGATCCCAAGTCCTTCCCTGTAACTGCTTCTCCTACACAGTGCAGACCTCTGGGAGAAGAGCTCACCTGTTCTCTGCCATCCTTGTCTCTCAGCAATAATTTGTGATTACTGCAATTAGTTGTCATTTTTTCCAGGTGCTGAGATCGATCCCTTTCTGAATCACTTTGCAAGCACAGATCCGCAGGGCTTGTTGGCAGCAGAATCCATAGAAGAGGAACAGCTGGAGAACGGCGATGGAAGTCAACGTGGTTCCACAGAGGCACGGCGAGGTGACCACAGGGAGGCAGAGGAGGCTAAGCTGCCTTGCTCTGCTATCAGCCTGGTGAAAAGACAAGAGAGAAGGGTGGCAGCCCCACGGCGAGCTCCTCGTGCAGAGCAACCCACCATCTGCTCTGAGTGTGGCAAGGGCTTCAGCCGGAGCATCCACCTCATCCAGCACCAGCGAATGCACACTGGGGAGCGCCCGTTCCTGTGTGGGGAGTGTGGCAAGGGCTTCAGCCAGAGCTCCCACCTCATCCAGCATCGGCGGGTCCATACTGGCCAGAAACCTTATACCTGTGCAGAGTGTGGAAAGAGCTTCAGCCAGAGTTCCAACCTCCTGAAGCACCAGCGCATCCACACTGGGCTCAAACCATACATGTGCAGCGAGTGTGGGAAGATCTTCAGCGACAGCTCCACCTGCATCAAACACCAGCGTATGCACACAGGCGAGCGGCCCTACAAGTGCTCAGCCTGTGGGAAAAGCTTCAGCCAGCACTCCCATCTCCTCCAGCACCAGCAGGCCCACAGCGGTGTCCGGCCTTACTCTTGTGGTCAGTGTGGCAAACGCTTTGGGCAGAGCTCTGACCTCATTAACCATGCTCGTACTCACACCGGTGAGAAGCCTTACAAATGCAGCCAGTGTGGCCGGGGCTTCAGTGGCAACTCCAACCTCATCAAGCACACCCGCATCCACACGGGCGAGCAGCCGTACCACTGCGGCCAGTGCGGAGCAAGCTTTCGTTTCCAGCCCCAGCTGGTGCGCCACCAAAAGCACCATACAGAGTAGTTGGCCACATGGACGATGGGCCATGGACCTGGTGCTGTTGGATGCTTCATGTGGGGTGTGAACTGGGGGCAGGGAGCCCTCAGAGCCTGTGCCATTCTGGTCTGTGAGCACTGCCTGGGCACTCAGCCTGCACTGAATGAACTAGTGCAGGTTCACTGCGTGGGGTGGCTGTTCCCAGCCCCATTTCTGGGGATGAGGAAAGAAAGGTACTTACCGTATGGTATGTCCAAGACCAAGAGGGAGAACACAGAGACGTTCCAAGGATCAGTGCCTTCTTTTGTTATTCTTAGAGGGTTGTGATTAAAATCTGTTTTCTGTATAAATTGCCTGGGTTTTGCCTTTGTTGTAAAGCCATAGCTTAGCATGATTGCTCCCCTCAGAATCCACATCTTCCACTTGGCAGTTTTCTTGGGTTTAGGTGGTGTTAGCTATTTACTTCAAACCCCTGCAACACGGAGTTGAATGCCTCTGAGTATATGTCACAGGCCCAGCCATCCTCTGTGTGGGCCATGTCTGTGGAACTGTATTTCAGCTGGATTGGATAGCTGGTAAATTGGCAGGTTCTCAGATGATGATGCTGTTTGACAGCTTTGTCCTCAGCAGCAATTAAGTAAATTAACATCCTAATAGGTACTTCTCTCAGATTCTTGTTTAGGCGCTTTTGTGGGTGGCACTTTATGAATGTTTTTATAAGGCTTTTAAAAGTATTTAGGATGACTTTTTTTAATTGTGATTTTTAATTGACAGTTGATGAAAAGAAAGAGGATGATGTTTCAAAATAAGCTTTGTCAAACCGATTTTGTATTCAGTGTTAAATATCTTTTCTTGCATAAAAGTTTTTAACTCTAACACGGCCTTTGAGTTGTTAATGATTGCGAAGAAGTGATGTTGACATTCATTTCTAGAATTCCCATGAATTTTTGCAGGTGGTTTTGACATCTTCTTTAGTAATGACTGTCTAAGGAATATGGGGGAGGCAGAATTCTGAGAAAGCAGAATGAACTGACCTCTGAAGATATCTTCACTTTGAGGAGGAAAATACTACTGCTGGGAGTCTGTCCTTACAAGGAAATTTAGCTCAAACGACTGCTTGGTACGGGGGAGGAGAGAACTGGCAGTAATAACAAAGATGTTAATATCTCTAGTGCGGAAGAACTCCCTGTAATGAACGTAGCAATATATACTGAAATGCCTGTTCCACCCACAGAGCCAAACAGTTGAAGAAATCAGAGTGTGCTTTAGGCAAGAAAACCAAGTGCTTGAATCTGTTGTTCTGTAGAATTTCTATTTTCAGCATTGTTTATCAGCCTAACACTAACAGTGAGCATCCTCATGAAGATTAGCTTCCAAATAGCAGATATCAATAAGAACCAAAAGAAGGTCCAGTTTGAAAAGCATGGGATCTTGGGGAAAGAAGCAAGCTCTGAACAGAAGCATTGTGATTGGAATTACTGGCTGAGTAATAACCCTAACCTCCAGCTGCTGTCATGGAGGGCTCAGCTTCATGCTCCACTGGCAGTAGAGCTGGCTTAAATTGTTTGCTCTCACTCTGCTCCGCCCCTCACCCAAGAGCCTGAATTAATAAATCTGTACTGGTTACCTGTTCATGTGACTGTGCCGTCAGTCTCATCCATGAAATGATCCATGTTTGTAAAATGAAAGACAAGAGAGTTCATTTTAAACTGTACGAGTCCGATCCAGACCACAGTCTCACAAGCAGTAATGTGGTACACATCAGTGACAAGCTTGGTGTAAGAATAGGCAGGTCAACAAGCAAATAACACATCAAGTATTGCTGTTAGTTCCCAAAGAAGACATTGTTTAGGATGTTTGTCTCCTTGTTGCACTTTTTTTTGTTAATGTTTCTAGAGAACTAGACCTGAAAAACCCTGACACGTTGCCTTTGTTGTTTCTGTGCTCCCCCAGCCACATCAGGAGGACATTGCCACAGTACAATGAAAACTATAGTTCATTTTTGGTGTCCTTACTACACATCCTGTTACCAAAAATGTTTTGATGCTAAATGGAAGTTGTTATTCTCCCTCATAAATTGGCTGAAAACTGCATGTTGTGTACATCTGTGTTAGGAGCAAAACAATGCTGTGAACAGGACTATTACTTCTACATGGTAAATTAAACATGCCAGGGGCACAGAAACCAAATATTAGTAGCCTATGTGAACTCCTTGGCACAATCATCTGCTTCTGTTTGTTTTTCAAAGAGCACACAGAGAACCTACTGATGGGCATTATCTGTTCCCATTGAGTCTTCATGTTGATCGCTCTTTTAGGCAGCTCACAGTGCTCTCTTCTTCACTTGGCCACATCAGGCCAGGGCATTTCACACTCTGTTCAATAGTTATGAATGCTATAGTTCAAAACGCAGAGCATACAATTCAGCTTCATATTCCTTATCTTTGAAAGCGAGGGAGGCGTTAAGAAAGCTTCACAATGCCACATTTGGGCACCACAGTGTATGAAGGACATACAGCCCTTGGTGTATGAAAATGGCTGTCCACCATGGGGTCCCCTTCTCAGCAAGGTCAGCTCTGCAGACCCTCCACCATCAACACCTTGCCAAATGAGCCCAGTACACTCAAGCTTGTTCTTGCTGCCATGATAAATGTCCACACTTCAGGACACCGGGTGCAGCTCAGGCCTGGGCAGCCATGACAGCCGCTGTGTGTCACTGTGAATCACAGAATCACAGAATTGCCAGGGTTGGAAGGGAACTCAAGGATCATGAATCTCCAACCCCCCTGCCATAGGCAGGGCCACCAACCTCCACATTTAATACTAGACGAGGCTGCCAAGGACCCCATCCAATCTGGCCTTGAACACCTCCAGGGACGGGGCAGTTTTGGGGGATTGTAAGTCATCATTGCATCACAGACACATCCCTGGTTTAGTGGCCTTTAGGATGCTCTGATGTCACTTTGTCTGTGTGGCAGAGAGCACTCTGCTGAGCAAGGTAGAGCAAGCAGCCAAGGACTGTGACAGTGGAGCTGGAAGAACAAGGATGTGGGTGGGAGTAGGGTGCTCTGCCACGGCCCCAGCCTCTCTCCCCTCTTGGGGCAGTGGGCACAACCCCAAGCTGCCAGAGTTTAAGGAGAGTTTGGACAATGCTCAGAGAGTGGGTTCCTTCCAGCTCAGGATATTCCATGATTTAATCATGAAGTCAGTGTAATTGAGATGCTCAAAGAAGAACCAGTTTAGCTTAGCTGCATGGGCTGTTTCTAAACTGTTTGGCCTACAAGTGAAGTTGAGCTATTCACAGAGCTGTACAGATCTCAGCTCTGCTGGGCAATAGCTGAGATGATACCTGCGCTTTCCCTTTCAAAGGTTTTAGCATTAGTACAGAACTATGCTAAAGCTCTTCAAAGATACTTTGAAAAGCACTCTGTGTACTGCACACACACGAGTATGAAAACTTTTAGACTTTTAATTTGCTTGAAATCCTCTAAACCTGTTGTATTTGGAAGCTCTGTAACTGCATACTCACTGATGTGATCAGAGAAGTTGAGACCCTTAGGAATTGTTTCAGCTACAGCATGGTATCTTTGCTTGATTAAGGAGTGTCTCTCATCAGGATGACAGGCTGCCCACGGAGACCTCTTGATACAGGTTTCTCTCCTTTTACTACCATTTACAAGAACCAGCCTAAGTTGCATTTTACTGAAGCTGGAGGATGACATCTTCTACTCAGGCACCACAACGTCCTGAGCAGAAGGCAGCCTCTGATCTCTCTTCCCAAAACTGAACACAGAAATGACTATATACATTTATACATATTTCTATTTAAAAATAAACAAACCACATTTCACTCCCCCAGTGCAACTTAAAGTGTGCCTTAGTCTCTAAGCCTGCAATGCATACGTTTTCTGTCACATTGAGTGAAGATGTGTGCAGCTTGTGACCAAGCTGTTGAGCCCAGAGGTAGGTCCTGTACTGTACCAGCTACTTCTAGCTATGAGGGGTGCACAGTGCAGTCTGTAAATAGGCCATACCAGACTGTATTTTTGCTAATTGCATATCTATCAGAGGTAAAGTCTGTAGCATTTTACGCAGAGGTTTTAACCCGTCTCTACCTTTCTGGAGGTTAAAGTCCTTGTAAGTGCAAGGTGAGCAGGACTGAGGCCTCTGGAAACACAAGTGATGGTTTTGCTAGGGAACAGGTAACTTCAAGGGATTAAATAAATGAATCATTTAGCAGGCTCTTGAGCATCAAGTGCATTCATCTCTGGAGACGCCCAAGGCCAGATTGGATGAGGCTCTGAGCACCTGATGGAGCTGTAGGTGTTCCTTTTCATTACAGGGGAGTTGGACTGGATGGCCTTTAAGGGTCCCTTCCAACTCAGATGATTCTGCAATTCTATGATTCTGTAATAAAAAGGCAGATTGGCAGTAGCTTTTCCTGCTTTTATTCTCCATGGTGACAACTCAAAAGCAACAAATTGGAAACTGCAAGCATGGTGAATGTATAATAGTTAGTAACTGAGGGTGAGGATGTGTCCCAGAAAGCTGTCAAAGTGCTTGTACTGTTGCTGTACAGAGCAGTGTGTCTTTCTGACACTCCCTCCAGCCTCCCATTATGGAAATAACTTCATTATGGGCGAGAAGGAGAATTTAAGTAAAATAGCAAAAGCTGAGCACAGCAAAGAAAGCTGCTCCCTCACTGCGTAATGGGGGAAACAAAGCTGTTGCAGACAAGCAACTGCAACAGGAGAAAAAAAATACAACCAACAGCTCTGTGACAAACAGCAAGAGGACTATAACCATGGCTGGGATTTTCAATAGGATGTGTGAAAAGCAGGCCCCTGGCTGCCAACACGTGAGGGATGTGTGATGGGCCAGTGCTGGTGCTCTGGCTGCAAGCTGGCTGACACAGGTGCACAGGGGCTCACCATCGCTTCCACATTCATCTGGTGTTTGGGCACAGAGGGCACGTGGCTCTCAGGGCACAAATAAAGGCTTTGCAGGAAGTGAGCAAGTGAAATCCACCAAGAGGCACTGGAGATGAAAACTGTGCCATTTCCTTCACTGAGATCTGCTTTTAAAATCAGCCTGACAGCTTTTAATTCATACTTTTAAACTCAGATGTAACACATCATCTTGGAGTCACATTTGTAATCTCTGAGTGATGAAGCACTGCTTCTTTCCCTCTGCTGCTGCTCTCACCAAGGACAAAGAAATCTGAATGGGTTTGCTTTTGTTGTTTGCTCTTCAGAGCTCTTACTGCAGCTGCCCTGGGACTGGAAACAATGCCCACTTGTTTAGAAATTGTCTTCAGCTTGAATTTTTAAAATGTTTCCAGTAACATCTCTGCTTGCATTTGAGAATAGATGGAAGGCTTGGGGTTTTGTTTTGTGCTTCCTGTAATTTTTGCTTTTATAGGGGGGTAAAAATGTTTGGTTCCTCTTTTTTTTTTTTTTTTTTTTTTTTTAACAAAATTCAGTCCACAGCCAAACTGACTGAAGCCCCGGGCTGAAGGTCAGCTGTGAACAGTCGAGCATGCAGAGCAGTCCGAGAGGGATCACATGCATGGCAGAGCAAAGGGCAGACAGGGAGAGGGGGTGAAGGTCTCTCCCAGCAAAGGCCCCTGTATAGGCAGGTGTGAATGTCCAGAAGCAGTTACAAAGGTCACAAGAGAATTGGCATAGGAATCATGGCATATTCCTCCAATTTATTCCCACTGTTACTAATATCATTCTGTTTCTGATGCTGATAATTCAGCTGGCACTTTTGAGATGGTTTCAAGAACAATAGCTGACCCATCGTGTAGAGTACAGGGATCTCTTCTCTGACCTCCCAGGTAATAGGACAATGGCTTCAGGAGCCCCAAGTGACTGACGACTGCATTTGGCAGCTCAGCTGCTACACAAAGCATACACATCATTATAGCCAGATGGCAGTGCTGCCCCACAGAGATTCCAGGAGTCAGGGTCAGTTCTGCAGCACCTGGCTTATGCCAAAGGTCTGTTTGCTCCTGCCCCAGTTAAAGAGTAAGCTAAAGCCACTTCAGCTTTGATTTCCAAATGTCTCAGATCTGTACTTCTTAGTGACACAGAACAGAACCTCACCCAAGCTTCATGTGAAAGGTCCCCAAAGGAAAAAAGATAGCTCTGAGCATTTTCTCAGTGGAACAGTCTCAACGACGTATTTTATTTTCGGAATAGTCCAGGCATGATAAACATTGTATTTATGTACCTCAGTGTGGCCTTCCAGTATTTGAAGGGAGCGTATAAATAGCAGAGGGAACGACTGTTCACAAGGGTGGATAGTGATAGGACAAGGGGGAATGGTTTTAAACTGAGACAGGGGAGGTTTAGGTTAGATATTAGGAGGAAGTTTTTCACACAGAGGGTGGTGACACACTGGAACAGGTTGCCCAAGGAGGTTGTGGATGCCCCATCCCTGGAGGCATTCAAGGCCAGGCTGGATGTGGCTCTGGGCAGCCTGGTCTGGTGGTTGGTGACCCTGCACATAGCAGGGGGGTTGAAAATAGATGTGGTCCTTTTCAACCCAGGCCATTGTATGATTCTGTGATTCTACAAAAGTTTGTGGCTATATTTGACTTGTAAAATGCTCTGTGATTGCTCCTGCTCAGGGATCTGTGTTTTTTGTGCAGGCCAGTGACTGCTCTGCGTTTTTCCAGAGAAGCAGCTTTGGAATGGACCTTTGGTCAAAAGAGACATTAGCAGTTAGAGTACTCAGCATGACCTCGGACTGTGGAAGCAAGCTGGCAAATGAGCCGAGAAAAGCTCTTCTGCACAATGTCAGACTACTCTGTTACTGGGGAAGGCTGGTCACATTCCAACAGTGGCATCCACATGCTAACTCTCCTAAAATTACTTGAAAAAATTTCTCAGAGAATGAATTTTCCTTTTATAAGATCAATTCTGTCTTAAGGTGCCCGATCCTGATATTTTCTTTGCTACTCTTTCCCACAAATTTTTATATCCAGTTTCAGGGCACTCTTCAAAGGGAGGTTGTATGTAACAGGTCCTTAATCGGTTGCCAAACTATTTGACTGTCTATTCCTGTTGCAGGTGAACTAGTGAACTAGTATTACCCACCCAGAGTGGGCTTGTTGGAACAAAAAGGACAAGAAAGCAGTTTAACTGCTGATCCATGGTCAGCAGGGACTTTCAGAGTCACAATCCAGAGTTAAAATCATGACTCAGTGTGCTGCTAAGAGATCCACGCAGCAGCAGGAGCTGGAACTTTCCAAGGAAGCTCAGCACATGACTGGCAATGCTGGCTGCACAGGTGAGGCAGGCCTGGGGCACGTTGCTGGTGGCCATCTCCGACTTAATAAAAAGGGCTACTAAGCTTACTTCAGTTTCCATTTCTTTCCCAATTTTAAGTGGATAAAAATTTGGCTTGATGGCCACAGCCTGAGAATTGTGGTCAATGGCTAAATGTTCAGCTGGAGGCCGGTGATGAGTGGTGTCCCAAAGGAGTTTGTTTTGGGACTATTGCTCTTCAGCATCTTTATCGATGACAGACAAGTCTGCACTCAGCAACTTTATTGATAACACCAAGCTGAGTGGTGCAGTTGTTATGAGAGATGGAAGAAATGCCATCTGAAGGGGCCTGGACAAACAGGGAAACATCACTCCTACTTTTAAGAATGGAAGAAAGGAAGACCCAGGGCACTACAGACCCATGATCCTCACTTCTGTGCCTGGGAAGATCACAAAACAGATCCTCCTGGAAGGTATTTTAAGGCACATGATAAATGTGGAGGTGAGCTGAGTCAGCCAGCATAGCTTCCACAAGGGCAGATCGTGCCTGACTAATCTGGTGGTCTTCTGTGATGGAGCAATGGCTTGGTGGACAATGAAGGGAAATTGATGTTATTTACCTGGACTTTGGCATGGTCTCACACCACATCCTTATCTCTGAATTGGATTTGAAGGCTGGACTGCTCGGTGGATAAGGAATTGGTTGGATGGTTGCAGCCAAAGTGATCAGCTTTATGTCCAGGTGGAGGCCAGTCACGGGAGTCTATCCTGGGAGCAGTGCTATTCAGCATTTTTAACAGTGACACAGACGATGGGATCGACTGCACCCTCAGCAAGTTTACAGACAACATGAAGCTGAGCGGTGCAGTTCACACAATATAAAGAAGGGATGTCATCCAGATGTCATCCAGATGACAGGCTTGAGAAGTGGGCCCACATGAGGTGTTACACCTGGGCTGGGACAATCCCAGATATGTACCAACTGAGAGAGGAGCCCTGCCAAGGACTTGGGGGTCCTGGTGGACAAAATGCTGAATATGAGCCAGCACTGTGTGCATTGTGTGCGCTCAAGGCCCAGAAGGCCAGCTGTACTCCAGGCTGTACCAAAAGAGGAGTGGCTGGTAGGGCGAGGGAGAGGATTGTCTTCCTCTGCTCTGCCCCTGTGAAGCTCCATATGGAATACTGTGTCCAAGCCTAGGGCCCTCAGAACAAAAAGGATGCAGAGCTGTTGGAGCAAGTACAGAGGAGGCCAAAAGGTCATCAGAAGGCTGGAGCATTTCTCCTATGATGAAAGGCAGAGGGAGTTGGTTTAGATTGAAGAAGACCCCAAGGGGTACCTCATTGCGGTCTTTCAGAACTTAAAGGGGGCTTATTAAAAAGATGGTGACTGATTTTTTACATGGTATGACAGCAACAAGAGGGAATGGTTTTAAACTAAAAGAGGGGAGATTTAGGTTAGATTTAGGAGATTTAGTGGTGAGGCATTGGCACAGGCTGCCCAGAGAAGCTGTGGATGTCCCAGCCCTGCAGGAACTCAAGGCTGGGTTGGATGGGCCCTGGGCAGCCTGAGCTGGTGGAAGGTGGTCCTGCTCATGGCAGGGGAGGTAGAGCTGGATGGGCTTTAAGGTTCCTTCCACCCTTAACCATTCCAGGATTCTACAGTTCTGTGCCAACACAGAGAATAATTCTGGCTGTCTCAGGTGGGAGTTTCTCCAAATTTTTAAGTATTCAAGGTGCTGGCTTTGTTAATTTTCCATTTCAGCGTAAATGGTCTGAGGATATTTGCACTAAACCCACCTCATGGAAATTTTACATTATACTTTAAAGGCATAATGGGATTACTGAGAAGTCGTTACTATTGGTATTTATTTTCCCATTATGTCAAGACTTTTTTTCTGAAGCCCAGATAACACTACTGACAGCACAGTCAGATTTAGAATGAATACTTGATCCTGCTGTTGCTCTAAGGGCTTATAATTTTTTACAGGATTTACTTATCATCTTCATTGTTTTCTTAGCTAGTCACTGTTGTGATGCTTCATTTGAAGGCAACAAAACCATCTGCATCATCAACATGACTCAGATATCCATATCATGTATGAAAAAGATTTAAACTTTATGCCAGCAATAAAAATTGATCACTGGAAAATTTATGATTTGAGACCCCATCACTGTCAGATTAAGTGCAATAATCAGGCTGATTATTTTCCTGTGCCAGCATCCTGCAGGTGCTCTTAAAGTTGGTTCGCTCAAAACTACCACTACATTTCTGAAACAAATGACTCCTACCAGCTTCTGTCTTCCTGCTCCTCTGTGTTGCTCATCCAAGAGTCACAGGTCATTAGGGTTGTGCAATATGGATATGGAAGCCCAACTTTTCATCACCCTCACTTTTCAGATGATCCATTTGTGCTGACACAGACATGTTGGGCCCATTTCTGACACAATCACTGTTGCAAATGCGAACAAATCTCCACGTGGTGAAATGCTTCCTGGGTCTGCTGGAAGTCTGATGGAAAGGACAGCAGGTTAAACTTCCCTAAAATCCATGGCATAGGACCTCCCAGGATTTTCAGACCAACAAAATATTACCATTTTTTCCTTGACAATGTTATCATATGTCAGGGGTGAAATGTTTAATTTTAAACGGCATGTCGAGTAACACTGTAGACCCCTCAAGGCCTTGGAGACCTCAGATGGAAACCATCCACCAGCCTTTTGTTAACTGCACTGTGATTTTCCCAGGAACATACATTAATGATAAGAAAAGATCAAAATGTACTTAAAATTTCGTTTTTCAAACCGTACTGCCAGACAGATCCAGGTATAATATGTTCCTACAGACTAATCTTTCTTTGGCCAGGAAGAAAAACATGGAAAAGAAAGCCATCCTTGTGTCATTCATCTTCTAGCATAAAAAACTATAACAGCATCAAGTCTAGGGAGATTACTCTTTCTCTCCCATAACCACCCCTGGTGAGCTAATACTGCAAAGGAGTTGTACAGAAATTAATCTGCAATTTTTACGGAGAACTGCATTGATGTTAATCAATCAATCCAGTGTTCAAAAACATATTGCTAGAGTGAGCACCTCATAAATTTGAGGTAATGACCAGAGACCCAGAGTTATGAGATGACATTTCAGAGACCGACAACATCCCTAACAAAACAGAATGCTAACTTGTTTCCAGGCCTGATAGTGATCAAGATACCAGACCCTGAATAATTCCCACTATCTTTCCTCATGTAATTTTAGCAGCTAAAAAATAAAGAAATGACTGCATTTTACCCCACAAAAACCAGAATGTTGGCTTCCAGATGGTGTGATGCAGTCACTTCTAAATTCAGCTGTTCCTGAGACAACAGCCACTAAAATCATGTCACAACTGTAGTGAAAGAAATAACTGTAATTGAAAAAGGTCTTTCAAGGTTTGTGTTCACCTGGTATTAATTCTTTTCCCACTGCTGTCACTGCTTTGTTCAATGCCTGGGAACAATGACCAGAAAGGAGCAATTCCAGTATCACAGAACAAAGATCTGCAGCCTTCTCACTGCATCTTTTTCCCTTTTGCTTCTTTAAAACAAAAAGGTCACTAAGTCTGGAGGTGTGGGGAGCAGAACACCAGCAAAGCTGGAGCACTGCTTCTGATATGTGGAGTAGATATTCTAGCTTGAAGCTCTAAAGGGTCATAGCTGAGCTGCAAGAAAATGCAACTTTATCAAAACAAATCACAGTTGGGAATACAGGGAAAAAACACATCATGCTCTCATCACAAGAAAAGCTACTCTGATCCACTTTCAAAACAATACATCAATCTCACTTGCAACTCTCAGCACACAATAAACATAACTAAATATATTGAACAAACCAGACCACACTCGTCTCTCTCTCTCTCTGTTCAGCCCTTGCAAAGAAATACCTCATCAGTCCTACTCTGTGGTGTCTGAAAGGATGTAGATTTTCTTTCATAATTTAGAGCCTTGGAGGCAGTCTGCAGCTGTAAGAACAAGGTCTCCTCTCAGCATGGGAATGATACAGAATAGATTCTAAGCATGGAGACGATTTTGATCCAGTGAACAGAGGAGACAGAGGGAGCATGAGGTATGCACACAGGCCTCTTTCTGCACGTGAGATAGGAAAAGAGGCACAAAGGCAGCCTTGCTCCTAGTTCAGGGCTGCAGGGGTCGTAAGGACATGGCTGCCTTCCAGTGCAGAATGGAGGGTGCCAAAGAGAGCCCTGGCTCATTTTCATGGCAGACTTCCAAAGCCTCAGAGATTGGGTGCTCTTTACGGAAATCTGCTGCCCCGATGAAACAATTTTTGAACAAGGGTCCCTGGCTGGTGGCTGAAAAGGTTCAATGGGGCCCAGTTTGCTTGTTGCTCTGCATCTTCTCCACTGCAGCCACATCATGGTATCCAGCCCATTGGCATGACACATCCACAGTGACTTCAAACCACGAGGGACATTCTCGTTGGGAAATCATTCTGAAAGAGAGGAGAGAGATGTCAATAGGAAAGCACCCACAGAACAGACAATCAGACCGATGCAGCCTTGTCAACAACTCAGTCAAGCTGACAGCCTTTTTTGTTCTCACTCAGGCCACTTTGGTTCATCTCCCTCTCCCCAAAAACTACAGATTTGTCAGCTCTTGCTAGCCCAGACTGAGGCAGGATGTTTTTCACTTACTGGCATCCCATGTGACTTTTGTGTGCCTTTGACATGCATGACACCCATGCTCATGGGCAAACACCCAGGAGTGTCTGTCACCTCACAGCTATGCCCTTGAGGTCTCTACACAGTTCCTTGCACTACTGGGGGCTCCTTACACTTAGACTCCAGGCTCTACCCTCTCATAAACTGGAGAGTCTCTAAACTGGTTAGCAACCCCTGCCTGTTGACTCCCTGCTTAGCCTATCTGGATCAGCAGCACAGGACAGGGCCTCACTGTTTTCTTGGGATCCTTCTTCCTCTTCTTGTCAGAGGCGTTGAGGTAGGCCTGCTCCCTGGCCCGGTATGAAGGGCCTCGGCTCAGCTCTCTCTCGCTGTAGGGAGGCAGGGTGTCCTCCTCTTCCTCCTGCTCGGGTGGTGGTGTCTGCTGCTGCTGAGATGTATCAGATTTGTAGGTAGAAGGCGGTGACCAAGCATAATACGTTCCCCCTCCTCTCTGGCTGGGCTGTGAGCTCAGCTTTGATGGGGTTTCACAATGGTCACCGCTTTCATCATAGCTCCGGGACTTTCTCTCCAAGACACTGCTGAGGTAGGAGTGATCGTACTTCTGGCTCCCTCCAGGTGTCCGGCTCACCAGTCTGGGCAGGTGCTTCTCCTCATGGGCCCGTCTCCGGGGCGGGCTGTATGACCAGCCCCGTTCCGAGTCCGTCAGTGGCTCTCGGTTCCCTCTGCTGCGCTTAGTGTAGTACTCCTCCATGGAGCTATCCTGATGGGTCAGCCCTCCAGCACGGCCACTGCGTGACTCTGACCGCTCGAAACGCCGAGTCTCCTGGCTGTCTGCCCGCCGGGCCCGCTGGCTGTAGGACTCTGCAAAGGCTGCCAGCTCGTCCATAGAGACGGCTGGAACTCCCACAGAGAAACTCTTGCGGGACAACATCTCGGACTTGGACCTCTGCTGGCTGGAAGAGAGAGAAAATAGTGTCAGAGCGCAGGAATCAGCTACACTCATCCTTTTGGCTGCCTTCACAAATAATGGAGGGAAACAGGCTCTGTTGGGGCATGAATCATCTGACCTGCTTTTATCACCTTCTGTAGCAAGAGATGTACCACATCCTAGAAGTGCCTACTTCTCTCTGTTGACTGTAAAGGCAGCCCACTGTGGACAGCTCAGATTCTATATGTCTACCCAAGATTAACCCCAGGATAAAGTTCCCTTGTCCTTCACTAGACAGGACTGGACTTGCTTCCTCTCACCCCCAGCGCTTCTAAGCGTATACCCTGCTGGGAAAAGCCAAGAACCCGGCTACAGAAGCTCACAGAAGGTTAATTCTGAAACAGGTTTAAGGTGAGTGAACTGGAACACTAGCCCAGTGTTGAGGGAAAGAAATCCCTGCCACTACTTCTGAGAGACCAGGCTGATGGCATACGAGGGAAAAACACACCGCATCTCTCATCTAGGTGCCAGTTCTGTGATTCCTGAGAAAGCACACCAGCACCGAAAATTGTCCAAGGGATCAGGTAACAAATCTAATAGAGCATTATGGAAGCTCTGTTTCTCCTATTTATGTCACTTTTGCATCCCACCTGGAATGGTACAGTACCTAGCTTTGCCCAGCTTGGCAGGCTTTAGCAGACTTGTGGAAACCAGATTCATGTTGCTGTCCTCATCTGATAACACTTCCATCTTTCTCTACAGCTACAGCCTCTCTCCATCTTGTTAGACCGGGACAGGAGGAAATGGAGAAAAGCCCCCAGTACATCTGGCCCTTCTCCTTTCTTTATCACTTTTATACAGCAGCCTCCCAAACACAGCACTCCTCACCTGTGCCGGAAACTGTCCCTCTCATCTCTGTAATCAGAGATCGCCTGTGATCTCGATGTGCTGCCCCCACCAATGACTCCTGCCCAGTACTCAGCATCACCATCCAGGTCTTCTGCAGGAGGCAGAGGTTTCCTCCGTGCCTGGCGGTAGGGCTGCCTGAAGTTCAGATCATCCTCATGTAAAGAGCTGAGCTCAGAGACAGTGTTGTTATCTGCAGTGGAAGTTGTAGAAAATAAGTAAGATAGGCATCACCTAAGAGCATATGTGAGAATGAGAAGACAGGAAGTCTGTAATAAATGTGTTTGCAGCTTTTTCAGAAAGAAGCTAAGCTGCTCTCTATTAGAAAAAATTCAAAATGGAACCCAAGGCTCTCCTCCAAAACTTTACGTGACCCTGCCTAAGGCTCCTGGGTCTCAATTTGTACATAGAACTACTGCCAAATTTACCTTCTGAGCTAGTACTCAGTTAACTGGGGATATTCAAAGGGTACCTAAAATGGCATCAGATGCCTGCAATCAGACAGTTAGCTCAGCCTTCGAGCAGAAATCCTCCTCAGCCCTGCTTCACCAACACGTGGGAGCTCTCCACCGCCCCAAAGTGGCACATCATCACAGCAGTTGTGCCACCCCCCCTTTCCTGGTGTGAGACAGGCTGGCTCTGGATTTGGCCTGATTTGCCCAGTTAAAACAAAAACAGCCCCCTCAAAAAAAAAAAAAAAAAAAAAAAAAAAGACTGTCTGAATCACTGTCAGTCTCTGCCTCATCAAGCACATTGACATCTGGAGGCCTGACACACCAATCTGGAGAGGTCTTTTTATAGTAAATCTCGTGGGTGGAGAAGACAGTGTACTTAGCAATGACTGTTTTAGAAGTACATATAATTTGTTAGTTATGCCTAATCTGTACAAAACCTTGATTTAATGTCATTCCCCAAAGCCCCTACCTTCATTGATTTACAGGATCTCACATATCTGTTTTAAAAGAGCCTCCACCACTGCTAATGTGGGTTAGCACTGCACGAGTTGGGTACTGAGCAGAGGAACTGAGCCCCCACCCTGCTGTTCTGTTCTGTGCACAAAACACAGGACAAAGAGTGGTGCTGCAAGTCCTCCTCATAACCCTTCCTACTCCTGCATCTCTCTCTCCTAATGCAAGAGAGATCCTCACTCAGCTTTGTACTCTTGACACCCCTAAGAACTCCCTCTGCCTTTATCTACACAGCCTGCAAGAGGCCACAGGAAAACAGCAAGGAGTTCTATGCAGAAGCTTTCTTGTAGTCACTTTGCAGGGCAATAATCACTCCAAACTTTCTGCATTGTTCCAGCCATGCTGCAGTCACTGCAGCCCATAGAATATAATTTCAATAAAATCATTCCTTTCCTATTTTGCCATGCTGGGAGTTTAGAGGCAGCCACACTGTAAGACATGCAGAAATTCTGGGGGCTATATTTACAGTTATTATCACACCTACAGACTGTAAAAGGCTCGAGTACAGACATGGCTTTTTAGATAATGATGATTCAAAAGTTCAGTGACTCGAGTGGCCAATTTTCGTAATAGTTTGAATTTCCCACATCTTGTTTACTCTAATGAAGGATGGTTAGATAAGAAGCAACTATTTAAAATCAGAATATACTCATAGATTCCTAAAATCTAGACTTTATCCATCCCAAGCATTATATTCTAGAGGCTCTCAAAACAAAGACAGCTAACTTTAAGCTATGAATTTGCAGAGTACTTTTCAGGTCAGTGAAAAAAAAATTCAAACCATTCTCGTTCCTCACATCGCTCTCGCATTCTCCTCGCTGGGTCAAACTGAGCCAGTTCTTTCTCAACATAGTACAGCACTTTCATGGAGTCCCTTTCCTTGTCAGTCTGGATCCTGTACCCTTTGCGCACTGCTACGGAGAAATTAAAAGCAATTAGAGGAAAATGCATTTAAGTTCAAGGAGACTTTCAGTCAATACCGCTTCGATAGCTGAGTTCGTGTCTGCAGGCAGGTAGGCTGCAGCCTCCAAAACAATGAGTCAGTCCTTGCTTCAGGAGAAATTTGTCTGTAAGGTGGGATGTGAAGTTGTGAGCAGCTGCATCGTTTATAAAGTGTGCAGCGACAGCAAAAATGGCTTAGAAATGCCCAGCCTATAGAACCATGTACATCAAATGGTGACAGTGATCCCATCTCCTACAGAGGATGATAAGGAGAAAAGTAGCACTCATTTCCCCTCAGTGATACAGGAAGGATTTGTCATGGCATGGGAGAAGCAGGCCCAGAAGGTCAGACTGCTTCTATGCAGCAGGGGCCATAAGACTGCAGGGGAAGCAGGTGGTTGAGCATTTGGGAGCCGTCACTAAGCAGGACCAGCCCATCTCCCCACTCAAGGACTTCTGTTCACACAGGTTGAAGAACATGTGGCAGAAGCTCCAAAGGATACAGATGGAAACATAAAGTCCCATAAAGCACATCACACTGCTTTGAGATTTATACCAAACTCAATTAAGAGATCAATCAGGTCACTGGGTTACTGAAACTGTTTCCTCTGGCATTCTTTCTGTGCTCTATCTTACAGAAAAGGTGGGTCTCACACATGCCTTAAGCTCTCAACTCCTGTGATTACTCCATTTGCAGGGGAAGTCTGGACAGCTTTTTTGGCTTTGCTATCTTCCTTCATGTAGAAAATACATACTTGGAGCTACAGCCGCTCTAACTCCAGTAGGCTGGCTCCAACCACATTTCATGGCCAACCTGGCAACCTCAAGGCAGGCCTACAGCTAGCAAGTAGAAATCTGCCTTTTGGAGTTGTGAAGAAAACAACGTTTTTACAGCAGATTGTTTAAGAAAGGTCTCAGCCCAGAGCTATTCCAAGAAGAACGCAGGTCTAAGTCCAAAAGAGCGAATGTTCAAAGCCTCACCGGAGTACTGTCATGAGGATGTGACTTACTACCACAAAATGAACTTGTCTGCCTTGCAGGGGCTTGGTATATTCCCTTGCATTAACACTGCAGTGTTGCACAAGCATTCCTCTTGAGGCATGATTTTAAAAAACAGCTGGATGGTGCTACTGAGCCAATCTGTTTCTTCTATGTTTTATCCCATACCCCAATGGATCATGCCTTAACATATGGGTTTGATAGTATGCTGCATAGTATGCACTGTGTGGGCTGAACAAGGACTTGCCAGCAGTATTTTTAGGCACCTTCTGTCCTCAATGGCTATGCATGTGTCTGTGCACTATTAAATAACCATGCTCTGCCTCAGAAGTGGCTGTGCCATAGAAATGGGTGGAACAATTCCTGTAATAATCCTGCAAATCGTTGCAGAAGGAATGTGCTTTACTGAGGGTTTTGACTGTGTGCATGTAAAGCAAATAATTACATCTTGAAATATTACTTTGTGCATTTACACTTACAAAAGGTATTAGGTGTTAAAACGTAGTATGCGTCTATCACAGTCCTGCTTTCAGCCTGTCTCCAGAACAAACCCAGACAGCTCAGCCAACAGCAGCTTGGGTTTCAGTTTTATTATCACCATAAATGCACGTACAATGACTGTAAAAGCACACCGTGACTTACAGAATGCAAGGAACTCTGCCTCTGCCTTTCAAAGCAGAAGGCCAGCATGTCTCTTTGAGTGAGGCTGCAGCTATCAAGAAGGGTTGGCACAGCACGAGCAAGAGCACAGCAAGTTCTCCACTTTGCCTCACTATTGTTGTTGAGCTCTGATCTGGTACACTGCCAAAAAAGAGACCTCTTGCTATTCTTCCTACTAATGTGTCTCCCGGGAGCTCAGCTGAGCTACCACCTCATTTCTACACAGGCCAACAACCAACCATCAGCTGGAAATGACTCCGACCTACTAATAACCTCTGGGGACTTTGAGCAGCAGCTTCCAGACTCTGGCTCAGAGCCAGTGCTCACACTGAGAACTGTGCCAAACATCTATTTGGGCAACATCTATAGCTCCTGAAACTGATGGGAGAATTAGGCAGGCATCATGCTTCATGTTTGACTTGTTATTGCAGCTATGTATCAAAAGGAAAACTACCTTCTTGGTTAATTCTGTAGGCACCTAGAAATTAACTTTCAAATTAAATCTGCAAAGATGACCATGAGCAGCTCATTAGAAGTGTTTTTTTATTATAGATAAGGCATATTTTGTCTCTAGGTTTATTTATTAAATACTTCCAGCAATGATTAAATCGCTTTATTTTTCCCTTGTGTGAGAACTGAGAACCAAATTCTCACACACTTCCTCTTCATACCCTTCTTCTTCCACAAATTGCCAGATTCCCTTAATAAGGTCTGCATATTTTTAAGCCCATCTCAATTATATGGAAATGAAGATGCAGGGATGTTAAACTACTACTCCTCTAAGTCACAAGGAATGGTTCTTCCCTGTTACAGTTTATTTTTCTCTTCTGAACAGTTCATGAATTTCTAATGTCTAATGTGTGTAATTACGGACAGGCTTTTTGTTATTCTTCTGTGGGTGGAACCAAGTCAAACAAAACTGTAAACTGTTTTCCTCCCCTGAAAGGACAGCACTGCTATTTTTTTCAGGCAAATGTTGGGAATTACGAGATTTCTCATCCTTCTACACTTCTCATAGGAGAGGTCTGGAGTTCAGCTTTTGGATCAAAGACTTTCCAAGATGCATGGATTAGAGAATCTGTGCAAGTCTCCAAGCAACCATTACATTTAAAATAGGCAGAGCATACATCCTAACTTATGTGTTGCCAACCATCTTCTATATATGAGAACTGAAATTTCATTTTTATTTCCTGTTCAGACCTAAGTTTAGGACAGAGTTTCTAAGCTTCACTGGAGTTTTGTCGCATGGTATTTATGTAACTAACTGTAGGCTATTTTTTAAAATATCCCCACACCTTAGTTTGCTCACCAGATCACCTCACAGGGGTCATCCACAAGCACAGAAGCCATCTAAGGGAAAGGCTGCCCTTTGCAGACAGGCAAGACAGGATTACAGAATCCTCCATTCTCCATCCCACAGCACTTCTGATCCCATTGACCAATTTTTAAATGAGCTAGACAGAAGGGCTGAAGTCTCAGAGATACCAAGCTTTTACAAGTTTCAGATCAGACTTATCCTGGCTATGTGGAAGATGCAGAAACCATAATTAGTGCTTCTTCTGGGCAAAGACCTTTGTTATCCATTCAACCATTAACTGTTTTGTTTAGCTTGCTGTGTGGCCAACCAGCAAACACATAGTTTGGAAGTGCCACGTAATAGTTTTCTACAGCATCTAATTAGGGGACATGCTGGCACATGATGGAGGAGCCTAAAAGGCAAGGAAGAGAATGTAGGTTGATACCAATCTTCCTTATTGCCACAGTTCTAGGAACACATTTTATGCGCAGCTCCCTGTACAACAGGAGCACGATCCAGGCTAAGGGTTTGTCCATATTATTACAGTAAATATTAATTAAGAAAAATAAAGCTTAAGAAACTGTGCTGTCTCTTCACAACAGCTAAAACTCAATGTAATAATATTAGTATTACTACTATGGCAACATGCAATATTACCTGTCAAATCCTGAGTTAAGGGCTTAAGACTCACCAGTTTGGATTATATAATAAATGCACCCTTCTGTGCTATAACCACGGATGCCAAGAGCCACTCCATTTTGTTTCCAAACACATCCATTGTTTTATACTCTGCATTTGTGCTCTGCTGGTAAAGAGATGAGCACTGGGTCTGTGATGTGACTCTTACAAAATCCCTCAGGTTCCCACAGCCAATGCCACACTCTACATGAAGTGACATTTAGCACAAGAGGGGGAAAAAAAAAGTAAAAAAAAAAAAAAAAAAAAAAAAAAAAAAAAAAAAAAAAAAAGCACTGGGCTGTTTTTCTTCACTTTCCAACAAAGATTTTTCAATTGGGTACGTTCTGCTTTGGATCAGTGACTGACTTATTTCCTATTTCAAAATGTTGCGTTCCAGGGCTCTGTTTTTATTTCAGGGGAAAAAACTGTCAGACTGTTGAAGGAAAATACTTCTAGTAATTCTGGAAAGGTTAATGCATTGACTGGGGCAGGGAAAGGCTGCAGAAGACTGTTCCAAAAGCTTAATTATTTGAGAATGCTACTTGATCGTATCTTTTTGGAACTGTCTTATCAACACACAGTCATGAGTAAACTTAACAATTGATAATTAGTGCAGTTCTTTGAAATCGGATGTGGCTGAGTCAATGGCAAACACACTGTGTCAGTATGGAGACTACCCTGGTAAGGGTCACTTCTTCTCCAGAAAGTTTAAGACCAGACAGCTACTCTGATCCTGAAATGCCTGATGTGGCTAAATACTTCATACTTCCTGAAGGCAGCTTCCATCACAGCAGAAGTGACCCTGAACCAAGACAGAGCCACCATACCAATACTCTGAGTCTGACATCGATCCATAACTCCCTTCTAGTTAGAAGCATTCTGTTACTCAGAGTTCATAAATGAAAAGGCTGAATAAGCCAAGTGACCTACTGACTTCTGTAACACAGGGGAAGGGATCCAGCCTCCAATGTTCTTGGGTAGAAATGATGAAGAGGCACATTCCTGTGCCCAAACTGCACAGGGACAGCACCACATGCTACAGCAGAAACAACTGCAGGAGGGCAAGCAGTGACCCACACAGAGCAGCAAGAGTGGTTTACCAAGAAAGTGTAGCTTTTAAGGCATTGGCTCTAAGAAAATGGCCACTGTTTCTGCTCCCCTGAAACCATTCACCCTTTTTTACCCTACAAGTGAAGGTTTACAGCTGTATCAAACAAGGCTCAGAGTGTGTGGACCTCCCATTCTCCACTGACCTAATTCATTACTCAAGCTGATATTCTGCTGACAGCACTAGGTAGGTTGGACTACATGGCCCTAAGGGATGCAATTGTCATTGTCAATGTCAGGATCAAGATGCACCTTCTCCAGGTTTACCCTGTTCATAGCATTCTATAGATAATGCTCATCCTTCCCCTTCTCAGCCCTGCTCCCAGTAAGTGGACCGAATGCTGTGAATTACCATTTTGGTTTCCTCCACCAGTGTCACTTGGGGCCAAGGGAGGCGGGTGTGACTTATCCATCAGCACAGCAGGAGATGGGACACCAGCTACAGGAACACTGGGGATGTAGTATGGACCTGGGATGGAGGAGACCGCAGGAGGGTACCCTGCTTTTGCTGCCTTGCCTGCAACATACACTGAAAAACAAAAAGAACACCAGTCAGCATTGCACCAGCTTTCTCCAGACCCACATGTCACATGACAGAAACCTGCAAACCACTGATGCTGGTGACACCCTAGCAGGAGACAACTGGACAAATGAAATGACAAGGACCAATCCGATATTCTCTAAGCCTCAACGGGAACTGGGGGAGTTTAAAAATGCATGTCAAATAAACACTGTAAGATGTCCGGTGACAAAAAGACAACCAGCGTGTCTGAGACAGCATTTCTGCTGCCACCATTTAGAGGCAATTCAGCTTCTGAAACAACTGATGACTCAAGCTGCAGGAATGAGGCTCATGAAACTTGACAGATCTGCCTGACTCTGATGGAGAACCTTGCTGGGTCACAAGGATTTTGTACTGTTGCAGAAGGCAGCTGTTTTTCAGTGTTGGGAAAATACTTCTCTGGATGGTCTTAGTTCTGCCCCCACAACACTCACTGACATGATAGCAACTTTGAAGAGGAGCATGACACTATCAAGAAGAAGGCACAGCTGCCAAGGCAGGGAGGACCTGGAAAATTACATTTGTAATTAACTTTGAGCGCTCAACCATTGAGTGATAGGTCAGATGCTTCACTCCCCATGAACTAGTTCTTCAGTTAAGCAAAGTGCTTAGGGCAAAGGAAGCAACATTCACAGATTCTCCTCCTGTTCTGCCAGGGAGCAGAAGTAAGAAAGATCTGCATCAGCTTGGATGGGGTCACTCACACGCCCGGGGACAGCAGCAGGACTCGGGGCAGCAGGGGCAGCGGACGTAACAGCAGCAGCTGTGCGGGCAGCACTGACACCAGCAGATCCCCACCAGGAGGAAGAACAGGAACGCTCCCAGGATCACCAGGCCCACAAAGACCCACTCTGGAAAAAACAGGGAAAAAAGAAACTTACAGGATTGCACATGAATGGAGAAAGGAATGGCAGCAACACTGTCCCTGCAGAGAACACAGGGACAGAACAGGCAGGTGGGGTTTTTAGCAAAAGTGAGTTCCCTCCTGACCTAGAACTGCACTGAAGCAGAAATGGCACACAGTGGTGAGAACCAGAGCTAATGGAATGTAGTCCCTTCCATCTGAGAAGGAGCAGCATGGAGGCAAAAGCTCTGTCTCCCGAATATGGAAACCTTTTGTCCTAGAGCAGACCTGTATGAATGCTGCAGGACGTGCTCCATTAGCATTTGTGTCTCATCTAAGACTCATTCTTCCTGCCCACATCCATGCCCTGCTTATGTGCTTGTTCCCTAACTATATTCTAATTTTAATGGGCACAAACTATGGTGAAAAGCAGGCTATAAATAACCCAGCAAATGAGCCAGGCCTGCCCCTTCGCAACTAGGCCCACGCACACAATTATTCTTTTGAATGTGCTGAACGAACATCCTATTCAGGCGCTGCAGCCAGTCAGGAAACCTAACAGCCACTTTTTTTTCATTTTCGCTGAAGCCTCAGATGAAGTCTGTAAGAGCGACGAGGTAGAAGAGCTGGTCACAAAAATCACGATGGGGTTTTTATCATCTCCATTTACTTGATGTAGAAAGGAGAGCAAGAAAAGGTTTCTCAAAGTCTGCTGTGGGAAACTTGCAGCAGCAGGAGCTGTGGTGGGGACAGGTGCCTAGCCTGCAATGGGGCAGCTCCCAGCTTTGTGTCTATCCATCATGCACTGCACAGGGGATGGCGTGCACAAAGCTGCACATGCTGCCACACAGCAGCCCCCTGAATCAGGAGAATGGTCAGTAAACACAACCAGACCAAGGAATTTCAAGACTTTGAATGTACAGGAGGCTTGCTTTGCAGCACAGGGATGTAACCACCTAACCAGAATTCAAGACTGCTGGTGAGAGAAGATCAGTTGGGAAGGCCTCCACAAGTTCCCAGGCGGTTGTCCAGCCACCTTGGAAAGCTGCTAGGAAGGCAAAGAAAGAAGTGGTAGGGTTGTTCAGCCGTGGAAACAGCAACAGACCACCTTATGAACAGAAGTCAAATGTTCACTGCAGGGCTTCCCGGTACACTGTTATTTAAGCTTTAGAAGGTTGCTACAAGGGTTGCAGTGTGAGTACAGAATCACACTGGATAAATGCAGTACCTCTCACCTGGGTCACTGAGCTGAAAGGGCAGAAAAGGTGTTCAGCTTGGAACAACCAAAATGCAAGATTTGTCTAGTTCTTAGTTTTTAAAACACAAAGATGAGAAATCTCATTTTTGATTCATCCAAAGCATTCTGCTTGAAAAGAAGTAAAATTGTTGCCTTTGTTGGCATTTTCCTTTATCCTTTTACAAACCACTGCCTTTATTAAATGCAATTTTTAATTTCAAACTTCCTTTAAAATTCCTTTCAAATTTCCTTTAAAAAAATGTCAGTGGAAGATCTGGCATTTACAAATCAAAACACTTCTTTTCAGAAGTGTAAAGTGAAATGTTTTATGCTTTTTGAATACTTTATTTCGCTCGTGGCTGAAACAGCTGAATTTCTCTGAAATTTGCATTGATTTTGGTCCTTGTGGAATTTTTTTTTTTTGGTTAGTCTATGTCAAGAAGAAAAAGAACAGCTAACAGATAAGGAAATGGCTGGAGGGAAGCATCCATGAACTGAAAGGTAACAACTGATAGGAAATTACTAGTACAATTCCTCAGGTACTGGTTCTAGGAACCATTTTATTGTTTTCCTGAATGACCTTGACGGAAAATAAGAATGTGTTAATGCAGCTTGAGAGCAAGAGGTAGCAAAGCATAGTCACCAAAGATTGGGATGTCTTAAAGAAAGGGCAAGTTGTCCTTGAGCCTACAGTAAGAAACATGAAACACAACAATGTGTATTTCATATGAATTTCAAGGTATGCAACAATAATTGCAGGGTTGCATGTTCAAGGATGAAGGACAGTTTCTGCAGTGATGGGGACCACGTTACTTGAAAATGAACAAAAAAGAAAGGACTATTCCACCACAGGACAACTGTAACAGCTAATGTTATGCATCTACAAAAAAAAAGTAAAAATAATCCAGTACCCCATAGAGGAGGCATTTCCAGGAGTTTTCAGGAATGCTTTTACACGAGGACTTCATGCAACTCCACCTGAAATTACTGATGTTATACAGCTCTGGTCATCTTTGTACAAGAAAAGATTGACTAAGGCTGGAGCTGATTCAAAGCAAAGATTCAAGAGCAATGAAGAGATTTGACAGGCCTGCCTTGCACAGTGAGAGCAGAAACTTGCTACATTAGTCCATCAAAAAGAAAGCTGAGAGCAGGCATAACTGCTGCCTGGAAATATGCTAGGAGAATGAATGCTAGGGGGAAAAACAGGCACGATAGTTAAAGGTCCTAAATAAACAAGCATAAACAGGCTATGAGCAATGCAGATGGAAGCTAGAAGCAGTATATCAAAGAAAGACATCCAATGGGAGAAAGAAAGTACAAAATCAGGCTACTCTTAAATTTGCTAAGCTTATGAGAAGTATAAAATTACAAGGTGCTTGGGAAGCAAGTAAGATAGAGAGCCAGACTATTTCTTCCAGATCAGTGTTTCCTAATCTATGCCACTCTAAACAGGACAACAGCTCAGAGGCTTCTTTTGTCGTGTTCCTGTTGAAAAAAAGCACTGCATGATGGAAGTGACCAGCCACAGCTATACAGTGAAGTGCAGGTGTCAGGTCTCCAGAGCTATCAGCGAACTCTTCACTAACAAAAGATAAAAAGATCAACGGACAAAACCCTGGTAGAGGAAAAAAATAGCAAGTTCAATGCAGCATACCTGTGGTCCTTCTGAAAATGTTCTTGGAGTATAAAAAGATGTCAGATTAGTATGCACTTTGTGCACTGCAATATATTCACTCAGCACCATTAGAAGATATTTAAAATCCACATCCCGGTCATGGGGACCTATGAGTCAGGATTTGATCTCACAGAAAGTTAGACCATTTGCTTCAGTGATAAGGCCAAGAAAGCAGTAAAAGAGCCTGTTGGCTCCTTCTGAATGCACAGAACAGGGAGTTCAAACAGCTTTACCTACCATTTCCTAATCCTTGCTGTAACAACCATTACCTTCTCTCACTGCTCCTCCAGAAACAATTGTATAACCCTGAGATTTAATTGTTTACCAAGTTGAAATGCTACGTGGCCTCACTGACTGAAAACTACTGGTTTGTGTTTAAGAGCAGCTGATTTTGTTTACTCAGATGATGTGTGGTTTGTCACTGCCTTCTACGCTTTCTTGTTTTTTATACACACACAGTGAGGGTACCAGAAAATTACCTGGTCAACATACAGGAATTTTATTCCCATTAAGTAAGACTGTAAACAGTGAAAAATAATGTTAGGAAACAGAGAATCAATCTCTATCTGTGCTGAAGACATCAATCCCTTTCCTGCCACACTGAGTTTCAAGGGAGCTTTGGATTACTTTGGAGGTGGGGAGTATCTGCCTTCTCCCCATTTGCATCTTTGGGACAGCTTTGAAAATAGCTTCACACATTTATGTGGAGATGTATTTTTGCACAAACGTGTGAAAGAATGCCTTCTTGGGCACTGTGAGGGAATGATCATGACTCTAGGGCTAAATGTTCCCACAGCTCTTCCCTCTCAAGGACAATGTGTTGCTGTTTCTTCTTTAAGGAGCGCCAGAATTGGCAGTTGTTAGTTTGGCTTGTGAGCGATTTATCATGGGCAGAGAACTCTCACAGCCCATCCAACCACCTGGTGTTACCTAGATAATGCCCTGGCCACACAGCACAAGAAGGACTGTGCCACCAACATGTCACTAGCCAGTGCTCTATTGCTAGCACCTCCTGTGCTACCATCTGTGGCGATGGCTGTATTAGTACCCACAGCACACAGCCAGGCAGGGGAAGCTCCTAGCGAGCTAGGGTGGGTGACACACAGAGCCATATGGGCACACGAGGCTGTCACTGTCTTCACAGGTTGCAGCAGTGTTACCTTTCCTTTAGCAGAGAGCTTGATACAAAACCTCTTCTGAACAGCACTGGAATTTTTACTGTCATGCTGATCCTGGCAGGGCATTAACATCTCTATGGGTCACCTCCCAGACCTCTTGTTCCTCTCCCTGTCCCAGATTCACTCCTCCATTTTCAACCCAACACACATTCTCAATAAGCAACAAGGTTTTTTTTTCTTTTCTTCCCCAGATAAAATACATGAGTTAAAATGCACACCACATAAAAGATGCTGCAGAAGGATAAACAGACAAGATGACAGAAGACTGGGTAATTAATGGGTGAAATGGCTGAATACCTGGCATAATCTCCACAGCAAAACTGGGCAAGAGATCAGCAAGCAGCCCTGTCCTGCCTAGAAAAGACAGAAGGAGGAGAACAAGGAGAGAGGTTACTGCAAGAAAAACACACTTCCCAGCCCCTGCCTTAGCTTTCAGTCCCCTTCACCATCAGCCCACTTGCACTCCTGTCAACTACAGAGGTCACCATCCTCAGTGCCTGGTGTCTGCCCCTGCACCTCTTCCATTTGTCTGGCCTTGCACTTTGTCTTCATCTGCAGAGCTGCAGCAGGAGGAATAATTTGGAGCAGAGATGCTCTGATTTAGGCACAAAATGACAAGAACAGGGAGGTCTCCTCGGCATAATTACAAGGTAGTATCTTGCTGGAGTTATGCTTTGCACATACAAAAAGCTCCTGTACATGCACAACAGCCTTCAAACATAAGAATTTGGTTTACTTCAAAAATATTACTGATATAGTTCAAATGGATGTGAAACATTTTTAATGCAAGGCCCTTGGCAAGTCAGTCACATGCGTTCGACACCTGCAGGTGGGGCTCTCCATATGGGGCTCTGCAGCTTCATAAACAGCTCCAGGAAAGGAGTTTGAAGCATGACTGTGAGTATGTGCTGGTTATTTCACAATGAAAAGCAACTCAGTGAGATTGTATAGTATAAAGACAACCCTCAAGTGAAGCAAATTAACCAGGGAAGGATTCCTGTGCAATTTCATGGAATCACATGGAAAAGAAAACAAACAAATAAACAAAAAAATTTGACTTTTAATTTATAAGTGAATACAAAAAAAATCCAAGCTCCATGGCAGCTTGGGGCCTATTTGTTTTGGCACTGAGTGTCTTGGATATTTCTAATACACAGCAAACATCCTACACAGTGTTCAGCTATAATTTACACACATCTATGCATTGGCAGAACACGACTGTGTGCATCTGTGCTTTGTGCTCCTTTAAATTGCACTGGGTTCGTGCTTGGTTTTCTAATGACATGTGTAAGGTAGGGGAGTTGAGCACTTGAGAGAGAGATATGTTGTGGATGGACTGTAGCAAAGGCAGCTAAGGACTAGCCAGTGCAAAGGCTACCCCACACATCCTTGAGGTCCAGCACGAAGCAGTGCTCAGACACAATGATGAATTGGATCCCAAGTTCTTTGCTCTCTAGCCTGTCCTTGAAGCGTGTTATAATCAAAGAGATTTCCACTCTCTGTTTTCCTTAAATGTTTCAGCAGAGCTTCTGTAGATATAAAAAATCCACCAGGATGCCTGCTGGAGCCATAATAAACATCCTCTGAATGTAGGCAGTGCTTTGCAAACAGTTGCAACTCATCAAAGCTGTCTAGTGCTCACTGTTAACACCATCATGGGTGCTCCTGAAGCCTTAGCAAAAGACACAATGCTGAGCATTCAGACAGTTGTTCTTCATTTACTACTTTGAAAGGACTCCTGCCACCAGCATACTGCAGTATTTTAATCTACAGATACAGTTTCATGACATTGATAGCAGGAAGGATCAACCATCCAAACTGCTCACAGCTTGCTCATTATGCAGAAGAACTTTCTGCTCTCTAAAAATGGGCATGCACATTATAAATGCAGGATAGGTCCTGTGTGTTACAGTCCAAGACTGTATCAATGGACAAACAAGTAGAGGTGAACAGCTAATGCAAGGCTGTTCACCGTGCAAACCCAGTGGAGGTAGTGACAGCTCTATAAAGCTCAAGCTCCATCTCACAAGTCCAAGTAGCTATGCTTTGCTTTGAACCTGTTAGCAAGGCACTGGAACAGGCTGCCCAGAGAGGTGGTAGACAGGGCATCCCTGGAGACACTCATTGTAGACTGGACAGGGCTCTGACCACCTGATGGAGCTGTAGGTGTCCCTGTTCACTGCAGGGTAGATGGACCAGATGGCCTTTAAGGGTCCCTTCCAACTCAAACGATTCTATGGTAAAAGCCTCAACCCCTGAACTTGCTGGGGCTTACATTGCCTTGTGATCCTCCAGAGGAACCTTACACAGACATAAGAAGCATCCCCCAAAAACAACAGCGCTGTGAAGACTCATGATAAAGACAACCAAAGCAGTTTTCCTGTGCTACCTATAACCAGTCACTGCTTCCCTGTCTGTGCAGCCCGTCTCAGTCCTGCTAGGGGGTTGTTGTCCCAGCCCCATGGGCCCCACTGTCACCTGTGAGGGGGTGCACAGAGCTTTCGCAGGAGGGCTGCCCCTCAGCCTCAGCTCTGGGCGGCTGTGTCCCCACCAGCTTCCACTGCATCTCAGCTCTCCTCGTTTCCCTCCCAAACGAATTCCCTGACAACCCTTCCCCCCGCTGCTGCTCTGTTCAGGGCCAGACAAGCCAGGTCTGGCCATAGGCCGGGTTGCCACAGTGACGAGAGGCTCCTGGCGGTGCCCCTCACAGAGGCTGACTTCCCTCCGCACCACCAGCAACAGAAATTCAGGAAGGGACCATGGCTGCTAAGCTGCAGCGTGACTCCATCTGCAACACGTCTTCCATGCAAGCTCCCAACACTGAACTCCCTGCGGGCACCACTGACTGAAAGAAGGAATAGAGGATACAGAGGATGGTCCTGTTTACCAGGGTCGTTCCAGGCAGCTCTGCTCAAGCCAGGAGCCTGTCCTCATGTGAGTGCAAATCTGGGACATGTTCCCATCACTGTTCCCACAGCAAGCACACTGCATGCCCCAGGCCTCAGCCAGCCTCAGTACAGAGGCAGGCCACCAGCTCCTGGCCTGTGGCAACACAGCACAGCACGACAGGTGGAGGAGAGACGGGAGGGGAAAGCTGAGGGGTACAGAGAGAATTCTGATGGTGCGGAGGGTACAGGGGTGTGGGTGAGGACAGAAGCTGATAGGCGAGAGAAGGATGGACTAGAGTAGGAGGGCACAAATAGCAGTGGAGCAGGGAAAAGCAGGAGTCAAGCAGTTACTGAGCAAGAGTCTGCGGAGAAAAGACATGAAAATAATGAGAATAAGTGTTTAGGCAAAAGAGAACAATGGCGGGAATAAAGTAGGTGCAGGTGCAGTCAGGAGCACAGCAATTGAATAAATACAAGAACATGGTAAATACTGGCAACTGCATCAATGTGATACGTATCTGGTAAATGCAAGAATAACCACTGAACTGGTTTCCTGCCGGGGGCTGCCTTCGCAGCTCCACCTGCAGCTGCGGGACCACAGGAGGCAGCAGCTGCAGAGGGAACAATTTCTCCCTCAGAGGAAGAAGAATCTGCCAAGCTGTGCCACAGCCAGAGGCCCTGGCACAGGACACAGCCTCAGGGAGGCCAGAAAGCAGAGAGGAAGCATGGCACTTGTAAATCTACCACTTTTCCAGGGAAGCTGCTGGCAGATTTATTGGGACAGCATGGCTCTCTGCAGCAAGTTCCTCCACACTCCCTCTGCTCGCAGTAAACTTTACTCTTCCCATCCTTCCCTTCCTGCTGCCAATTGGAGGGAGAACAACACCAGCCCTTCTTGGAGATCAAAGTTTTAGCAGGGAACAAAGACCTCCAAGGAGGCTGTTACCATGGCGACCTTAGTAAGGGAGGCCTTTAATCACACCAGTCTCCTTTGTGACCAGCATGTGGCTGTCGCAGGCAAATAAGAAGGAAAAGAGCGGTAAAAAATCCTAGGCAACAAGTAGGGCTCCTAAATGGCGTGAAATAAAGAACTAGGAGTAGCCTAGCGTGGGATGAGCAGGAGAGAAAGGATTGGAGCTGATTACAAAGGAGGCAGTGCCCAAGGAGGACTACGCTGGGGGTGGGGAGGCCAGCAGTCTTCCTGGCACCCAGGCCTTTGCCAGCTTTCCCAGCGCTGCCTCTGCCTGCTGGTACTGCCCACCCTCGGGATCAGAGAGCCCTCGCTGTGAAGGTGCCCGCGGACACTTTCTGGCTGAGACCTGGCCCTTTCATCCCCAGCACCCAGCTGGGGGCACTGACATCCCTGCCAGCACTGTGACCAAGTGCTGGCTCGGATGCTGCCGGCAGCATCTGAGCCAAACAGAGCGAATCCTGAAACAGTCCTCTTGTCAAGGAAAATTTTGCCAAGAACTTTTCCATCTCCGAAATCGCATCAACTTTTATTACACAGTCTCTCCCAGCACACAACCTGCCTATATTTATACCAGGTATTGAGTCATTTTGCTAAGAGCCATCTAATTAGCATTGCGCGCCATACACACAGGTCCCAGGAGAGATTTATCCTCTCTGAAAGCTGACGCATGTCTCTATTAGCACATTAGGTACGGTGCAATAAAGCTGCCATGTAAATGTGTCTACCTCCATTCCTACTTTCAGGTATTAGACGTGACAAATTTTGGTTTTAGACTATGTGAGTATTGGCTGGTCATACAAACTATCAAAGATCTCACAGATGATGAGTGGCCAGGAGCATATCCCATATGAGGAAAGGGTGGGAAACCTGGGACTGTTGAGCACGGAGAAGAGAAGGCTGAGGGGAAGGATCTTATCACTGTTTATAAATATCTAAAGTGCAGGGAGACAAAATGGATGGGGTCAGGCTCTTTTCAGTGGTGTACAGCAACAGGACAAGGGGCAATGGGCACAAACTGGGGCACAGGAAGTTCCATATAAACACAAGGAAGAATTTTACTGTGCAGGTGACAGAGCCTTGCAGCAGGCTGCCCAGAGAGGTGAAGTCTCCTCTGGAGATATTCAAGACCTGTCCGGACACTTTCCTGTGCAATCTGCTGTGGGGAACTGCTTTAGCAGGGAGGCTGGATTGGATGATCTCCAAAAGTCCCTTTCAATCCTTATGGTTCTGTGATTTCAGTTTACCCATCATCTAAGTTTTAGCTGACATCCAAAATTAAGAAAAACTCGTGGAACTAATGGCTGTTTTTTAACATACAATATTGTAGGCTTCTACAAGATCAGTTATAAAATAATATTTCACTAACGTATCATTTATGCAGCACTGGCTACTGAACTCGTTGGAGAAAAGGTAGGCAACAGCTGCCTACAAAGCATTTAGTTCACTGACCAAAGTATCAAACCAACAACTGAAATTAGTAGATCACTCTGCTGCCTCTCCCAGCAACTTGAAATGCTCTTGGAAATGAAACCACTGTGTCTTGAAACACATTCCTGGAAGCATTTCCAGGCCAGGTTAGATAGGGCCCTAGGCAACCTGAACTAGTGGGTGGCCATCTTGCTCACAGCAGAGGGGTTGGAACTAGATGACATTTGAGGTCCCTAGTGGAAATGCTGAGTCACAGCTTGAAGCACTGACTGAGCACCTGGTGGGAAAGCAGGGCCAACCCAGGGGAGCTCAGGTGCAAGCAATGCACCTGAGTGACCAGAAGGGGTGGAGGCAGGATCCACCTCTTCCCAGACCTCATTTAAGGGTCGGCAGTGGAGGTGATGGCATCTCATCTGGAGATCCCTACTTACCTTACAGGCCTTGTTAAGGTAATCAGTTTGTTTCTCTTATTTTTGTGCCTATTGCTATCATGTCTAAGCAGATCCCTGCTTGCTGCTCTGCCATCTTGTTATGTTTTCTATTATGTTACAGGTCCTTCCCAGGCCATTCTATGATTCTACATCTAAGCTACTTACAAACTTGCTTGTAACACAAACATTCCTAAGCTTGCATAGACATGCATTTCACAGCAGCTGCTGTGCCTGGCTACACCCGCACCATTATTCTATAGAGGTAAAAGCCTGGGAAAGGGCAGTATAGATGCTTTTGCAGGACCCTGCACCTAATGCACAAATTCTGGCTTCCAGCAAAACTTACTAGGTTCCATGCAATTAAGCTTGACTGCTTCCTGATGTGAGTTGGGTCACCTGGGATGGAATATCTCCTGAACCTGCTCTGTGCTCCTGATTTAAAGGTAACTCCAGACACCCTGCATCCATATGCATATGGATGGTGTAGTCTCTTTCAACAATGGCTGCACTGAGTGACTTTATTAAAGACTATGGACGTGCTCATATAAAAAGCAGTGCATAGATGCTATGAATAACAATGTGATTAATAGCATTATCCATATCTTTCAAGAGCCAGGTCACTCAGCTGCTGGTTACTTAGATAGAGAAGGAGACTTTCTGAAATTTAGGATTCAGGTTTTTTGGTTTAAACATATATCAGTTAAAAAAAAAAACAACTACAAAGTTGTAAATGGATTCACTATCCCAGCTGTAATGTCAGCAAAGAGTTCTAAAATATTAGTAAGACATGAGTGCAGAAAGCATTGTTTGACTCCTGTTGTACCATTGCTAAGCTCTAAATTAGAAATCAGCAAAAGTAGAGTTCATTGTAATTTCTAGCATGTTAGACTCTGGAGATTCCAACCCAAGATACAAATATTTGACAAATGTATAATAATACTTTTAAATTGTAATTATTTCCTTTTTCTACAATAGCTTCGCTCTCTTTTGTGTTCCTGAGGCACAGAGGTTACCATCTCTCTTCCCTTGCCTGCTGATTCCCTTAGAGAGAGTTGAAGTCCTTGCTGAAGCAAAACCTACTGAACAGTCTTTTCAGCAAAGTATGTAAGTACATGCTTAACATCAGGTATACTTCTATAAATCCTATCAGCTTTGCTGAGTATGAATGGAGTACATAAATGCTTAGTGCTTTTCAGAAATAGGCTTGAAAGGAAGACAGTGCATGGGATTCTCTGATGCTACTTGGAGCTGTCCAGATTGTGCACGTGCCAATGTGATATGTACAGGTAACAATGTTCAATAAGCAATCCCATAATGACCTAGGTGGACTGGCTACAGAGACTCCTTTGGGGAAAACTGCAAAATAAAGCCAGAAGTCTCTGCAATTTTTTTTCCCCTAAAGAAAATAGGAATACTGTAATTTTAATCAGGTTTGGGATTTGGACGCAGGTTGTGACAGAGCAGCTCTTGACCAAATTCTAATGTTGTGTTTCACTGCATAAAAGCAGGATCCTCTACTTTTAAACTAAGTTTCTACTCATGTACTGACACTACCAATAGGTATCTACCACTTTTACTTCTCCAACCTTCCAAGGTTTGTAAATGAGATTAAACTCCCCTAGCAAGCAGCATCTTTCTCTAACCTAAATGCACTTTACATCTTGGCATTAACAAGAAACAATTAGAAGAGAAATCTTGGTTTCCTTTTTCATTCTGGTTAAGTATGTAGAATGTCTGCTCTACTCAGAATTATAATCTAGGCTTAAACCATGCAGCAGCCTCAAAATAAGCAATGTAAATTATTTTTTGAAAGACCGCTGCCAGCATGGAGCCAACAGCAATGTGCAGTAGGAAGGGCAGTGTCTGCAAGACGTATTAGCTCTCTGCTGCTCCAATGTCTTCAACAAGGAATCCAAATTCCATTCAAAGCGCAGCAGAAAAAAAAAAACACCTCTTACCACACATCCCCTAGGACTACTGAAGTGCTCAGACCTGCATCTGTATCACTGTCTCTGCGAGTCAATAATACCTCATAGAGTAATGAGATGATATTAAAAAAAAAATCCCAAAAGATAGCAGAATATTAAGAAATAGTATCTTTCACCACTGGCTACCTTCTTCACCTTGTCTTCCTTTAGCAATCACTGGGAAGAGGGAAAAGGAGGGGGAAAAAAAAAAAAACAAAAAAAAAACCAGCACAGGTAGAAGAAGACTAAAGTGGAAAAAGATAAGTATGTAACCTGGACTCACGCTGACAGCTGGAAAGTTGCCTCTATGCACATTACCCAGGAGAAGAAATACACGCAAGCTGTACCAAACAGCATGAGGCAGAACAAAGCATGCCCATAGTAAGCATGCCTTCATGCTGCTGCCAAACTTAGCAGAGGGCTGTGCAACATGCAAGGTCAGACCTAAAGGTTGTTGCACAAAGAGAATCAGATACAGTCAAGGAAACACAGCCTAACCTCCATGTTTCCTCCCAGCATAACCACAATGACCTGTGGCCAGGGGTATCATCAGGCAGCTTCAGAGGAAGAAATTTCTTAGTTCCACGCTCCCCCCCCATCTTCTGTGCATGCTGAAAACCAGATTCTTCCTGTTACCATGGTACTGCATCATCACTGATGTCTGAGCACAACTGCAGATAAAGACACCAAACTATGGCAAGAAAGGTGAAGAAAGTCACCTTTCAGCAGTCCACCACCACACAGTTACAGTTAAGGAGTGTATGTAATAGCTACAACTTCACATGACAGAGAGCTCCACACAAACTAACGCAGGTCAGTCTTGGATCTGGTATTAATCAGCATATGATACACAGTCGTACTGTGAATTTATACAGGAGTATTAACTTTTTTTTTTGAGGGATCCACTTTGTCACCTGATTGACATCTGAAGAGCGAGTAGAGGAGATGGCACTGTTCCTAACCCAAACTACTCAATCTGGTTTATTTTGTGATGACAAATACAGCCCTAAATATAATTGTCAAATTCTCACCTGAGCCTTTTCTGTCAAATGCCCCTGATCTTGTGTTCTGTTGTATGTCTCTAGGTATCGCAATGAACTACAGGTCCAAGCTTTCTAAAATTTCCTTCACAGAACGTACGTGATCTGTAAGCCCAAAAGCTCACACAAACATGCTAACCAGACAAACATATATCAGTGTCAGCAGATCTTAAGGTAATTAGAAAAATCTTATCGTACCCTTCTGGAACAGTATAGTGCTACAGATGCAAACTCAACAAACACTCACAACAGGTCCAATTCCACTCTGTTTTTCTCCTATAGCTGGGATGGGTGCTTTCTTTTGACTTATACAGTGAACTGGACTGTAGATGCTGTACCTGAAAGCTAAACTTGCAAACAGGTGAAAACCTGATCCCATTGACCACAGTGCACAAGGAAGCCTAAGAGAGGCACACACAGCCCAGTGTGCATACTGTAGAGAGGACAGATCCTTTTAGTGGCAGTATTGGCTTAGACTCAACTGGCGTGATCACGAAACTGTACCTCTAAGCGTATAAGTACAACTAAACAGGAAGAAAAATATCCCAAATTGCCACACTCAAGCAGATAAACACACTGCTTCTTTGCATTCCTAAAGCTCAGAAAAGTAGGACCAAGGGAGACTTGAAAGATTGTAAAAGCATATGATTTGATGTCTTTTGAGAGAAAGACATGGTTTCAAATGTTCACTTTGCTACAAGTTTATTATTTTATGCCTTAAAAACAAGGGTTGTCTTCCTAGAGATCAGCATTTTCTGTAGTCATTTACGCCAGTTTGATGTGTGAGCAGTGTGGGTGTAAACATTACTATTCTGGTTTGGCAGCACTTGCCACCCACTTTGCCTAGGTGTGAATGACTGCACAAGGTGCAAGGCAATGGTGAAGGTACTGCAGGGACTGTTTTACATAGATTTTATACCCATAGTAATACAGTGCACAGATATGTGAAGGGAGAGCAAGACAGCAGAAGGAAAGGTACATCAGCTATTTACTGAAGATGAGATCTGACAAGAGAGCTTACCAAGTACAAGCAGCTCCACTGATTCTTCATTCTTGCCCTCCACATCATCTGGTGTGATAATAAGGCAGTAATACAGCCCACTGTCTCCCCACATCAGCTTCCCAATCTGAAGGTCTGCATCTGAAAGTCAAAAAAGAAAAGTCAAGGTTTCCCTCCAACACCAATTGAAAGAGTGAGTCCATCTTCAGGTCCCTAAACCAGTTCATTTCCTTACTAAGAGTGGTTAACCTTATCCAGAACATCCAGAAATTCAGGAGAAAGAGGAACAAGATCAAGACCCTGTGCCTGTAAGTGGCAACACAGCTAGTGCCACAGAATTTCACTTTGCAAGTACCAAGAGCAGCATCATTATGTCTTTCCCACCACATAAGGCCCAGGGTCCCAACAATATTTGTGCTGTGAAGTGAAGCACCAAAGGGAATGAATGACCTTTGGGTTTCAGTGCTGCTTGGCTGAATTCTAAATGCCTGTCACACAGGAACTCCCCTCCTGACACCTTTTCTAAAGGAATTAACTGAACAACTACTACCAGCCTCCAGTACTCCGAATTGCTAAGAGTCATTTCCAATCCCCATCACAGATCACCAGAATAGGAAAGTTACCATGGACAATGCTGACGTCTCTTTCCTTATAGAAGTCCCCTATAGTGACAGCAGATCCTTGCTTGGAGGCTACGACACGGACCGTCCTTCTGCTGTCCACACAGTCCAGGTACGGATCCCAGTCCAGGTTCCTCTTGCTCATTGTTTGTAAACCAGAAGTTACCATACCCAGGGCTTCTCCCATCCGGTCCTGGCAGTAAGATTTATACCTCCACTGCACCACAGCTGGTTGGGTGGAAGAAGTAGAGAAATGGCAGCGAAGCAGAGCAGGCTGAAACAACATGGCCACCTTCTTCTTCTCAGGCACAGTGACTCGCAGTCCTTCCACCTCAGCTGAAAGACAAAAATATTAGTGTCATATGCCTTGGCACGGCTTTAAGAGGGGATTGTGGCACTTTGTCATGTCATCATTCTCCCCATGTGCATAACATTAAAATGACCATCAGTTTGCTAGGGTGCAATACTCCTCAGCATATGTAAGCAAAGGTTGGCAGCTTGCTCCTTGGATATGTTACAGCCACAAGGACAAATACTGCACAATGGGACTGAAGGCTCAACTGAAGTATCCTTATGCTCTGTAGTAACACCAACATAGTGGTGTGCTGATTCACGCTTCCATGGCATTTTTGTAAGTAAGGAAGAGGTATTTCAGGGATGGCCATATTCTACTTCTCAAGCTCAGCTAAGGGGTGAGATCCCACGTTCACACCAGTCCTAATGAAGAATAATTGACCCACACCTAATTTCAGTGTCGTCACATTTACTCTCTGAAGGTCAAGCAGCAAGCAGAATCAGCCAAGCCCTCAACACAGTGGTGTTCAACATTGCTGATACCTTGGCCAAACTAGAGACAAAGGAAAGAGTAGAACCAAATTGCATAGCTTTTGCCACAACTGGTGTGTGGCACTGAGAGAAACTGATCCACGTGGGAGGCGTGGAGAAAAATGGCCCAAACACCCACATTTTTCATATTCCCATGGAGAGCATAATGTTTATCTACCAGTTGACAGGAAAGCTGCAGCTTGGAGCTGACTGTATTAGGGCCTGAGAGAAGATATATGGGAAAGAAATACATATGGGACTGCTGCCACATCCTTGTGCAGCTTTAGGAGAAGCCAAGAGATGGTGAGCAATGCCAGCAGTGAGCACTTAGAATAGCGAGATATTCCATCTATCCACAGTGAAATGGCCAAAACCTCCCACGCATGCCCCTCTTTGCTTCCTGGCCTCCTGCACTGCAGGTGAGGATGACTGAGGAAGCACTTACACAACTCTGGAAACATATGTAGTCACCCTTCCAAGCCTGGATGTGCCAAGTGGTGGAGGCACAGAAATAGCCCCGCAGTGAGGTGGGAATTGCAAAGGAATAAGTTTGTATCTAGGGGCACTCTCTGCAGCTAGGGGACAGCAGGGCCTGACGCTGACAGCTCACGTGGAAAAAGGGAACCAGTTTCAGTACATTGGCAGCTCCCTATGCACAGGATATACCCTGAGGCACAGAGCACAGTGAAGAAGAGAACAAACCAAAAGCAAACATTAAAGGGAAGAAGGATGCAGAGGAAACCTACGTTGCATCGTTGCATCGTGAGGGACTGCTGGACTTGGGTGAGGCTTAGGGAAGAATGCAAGACTGAGAACACAGCAAGACTTCCTTATGGGGGGAAACAGTAGAAAAGAAGAGCAAGTGCCAAGAAAGAAGAAAAGAATAAGGCTGAAGTATATGGGTAAGTAGATGGCTGATGCAGAACAAGAAAGTTTACGTTAATTGGGAAGGGCTGAAGATGTCTTAGCCTAGGTCAGAATAATCTCACAGGGTAAAGCCAGGTTACAGCAGATTAAAACGTGACGCCGAAAGGAGAGAAAATGGAGTCAACAAAAATACACCACCCACAACAGAAGCTTGCAAATGAAAAGAAGAGAGCTTGCAAAAGAAACTGAAATGACAGACGTCTCTAGGATGGGGAAAGAAAGACACAGACACTAAAGCAGTAGAGCTGAAAGCAGAGACAGCAGTAAGTACATCAAAAGCATGACAACAGAAGCACAAAGGGACAGAGTCCAGTTGAATATAGCTGCAGACCTGAAAAGCAAAAGCAAGCAAATGTCTCGTGATCAGGAGTCGTAACCAAAAGAAAGTGAGAAGCTTAGACCAAAACTGAATATCATTTCAAAACATTATCAATATCCACATCATAAATCACAACAAAGTCTACAAACACCACTTGGGAAATAAAGACGCAGTACGGACAGCACCTAGAGAGAAAGCTTACTTCAGAGGGAGGAGATAGTCACTGATACTAACAAAGAGTTACTGATCTAGGCAGGATGTGACACTGGGGACTACTAAGTGAAGGTTTGTGGTGCACAGGGGTGCTATGGCATTTGCAAGAATGCTGTATTATACACGTAACGAACGCATGACATTACACATACAGCACTAGTGCCATATTGAAATTGCACAGATATCACTAGTTTTGCTAGAAACTCCTGGACTCAAATCCAAATGCTTAAGTATGTGCTCTCCAGAGTACCGTGTACCGCAGTTGAGGTTCCAGCAAGACGCTGCCACCACAGAGGCAGGGACCAGAGGCACGAGGTATAGGCAAAAAGAGAACTCCAGCAGCAGCAGCTGGGATGTTTCTGCTGGGTCTTTCTCCCAGGGGCAAGAGGGACAGAAACACGGGGCCATGCAGCACTGGGGGAATGTCACCACTTGGTTCTCATGGTGATCCAAGTGGTGATGTGGTCTTATTCCTTCATCTCCCATGCTTCCCAGGCTGCACCTGAATTTAAGAGACACAACAAACAGCTCGAAAAAATGAATGGGTACAGGCCAGACCTGTATCTGGTGGCTCTGCACCTGACTCCAGGCAGCCTGCAGCCAAAGCCAACACGTGACATGAGGTGACCAAGTGACTCATCATGTTACTTCAGCTTCAGGGATAAAGCACTGACACAGGGAATATTTAAATCTTTCCCTTGTGAACAAAGTATGCTACTCAGTAAACACAGTGCTTTCAGCTATCCATGTGCTGCAGCACTCCTTTCCTGTTAATGAGATTAATGAGTTTGGTGAGCCAGGGACTGCTTTAATAAATGATCAGCTGAGCTTTAGCAAATTCTCATCTGACTAACTTTCTCCACCCCTTTCCCATGTGAATGTCTATATTGAGAAAAGAAATTTGCAAGCAGCTTTTGGGAAAATACAAGATTTCCTTTTCTATCCAAAAGCGTTTGGGAGATGTGCAGTAAGTTATCTGGCATCTTCTGCATCTTATCCCAAGGTCTTCTTTAACTTGTTAAACATTCTTTTCAGATCTTTTCCAGAAATAGCATCTGAGAACAACACAGTGCCTCAGACAGAGTCCGGATCAGTGGAAATTCTCAATCTATTTAAGTCAAATTGTATATAATTACATAGGGCTGAACTGGGAAATTATACACCTGTTACTTCCTCTGAAAAAAAAAGAAAAGCATCTGAATCTATTCATGTAATACAACACTGCTGTAAAAACACCCATCAAAAGGCCAGCAGGACGCTAGGCTGCCTGACGACAAGATGGCGGCTCTGCACCTACCACAGACGTCTGTGCACACGAATTACAGAAGTCTCCTTAGGAATTCCTCAAGCTCAAGAAGCAACTGCTGAGCTCAACGATCTCGAAGAGACTAGCCAGGATGCCGGAAGCCTCAGGACAGAAATCTGGGCTGCTAACATAGCAGAGCACAAAAACAGTCAAAGATATGAAAAAAGATGACAAGCTTGGTGACAGCAGATTGCAGTGGCTGCATCGAGTTTAATATTAGCAGGATTAAAAAGAAACGGAGCTGTGCTCTGCTATGTTTTGATAAACATGGGCAGAGCAAGATGAGCCCTTATTTCAAAATCATTACGGAAACGAAATGCTTGCACTCCAGAGAGCCAATCTGTTTACTGTGAATTTCAAATGATTTGAACTTTCACAAGAGAAATCTTGTTTGAAATATGGCTTGTGAGAACTACAGAACCACGTGACAATTGTATTTCCCTTTTCCTTTGCTCTCCTAAGTCCCTGGAGAAGTTCTGCAAATATTAATCAAGTACACCTTAAAAAACAGATATACTGACTATCAGAAAGTAAGAATCTATGTATTTGTATCCGTATTTTCTTCTGATTATATCTCCACACTATCCTTAGATTACGCGTGCAAACTACACAGTCAACATTACACACAAGCTATTTCTAATACATTTTACTGGTGATTAAAGGAAATTCCAGGAAGTGATTATAGAGGGGGTACCCGTATGGGCATATTTGAACCTCGTGAGCCTTGATCTTCCTAAGCACCTTCCACAAGACACAAAAAAGAGGGTAATTTAGAGGTGCAAACTTCAGTTCTTCCTTTCAGTTGTCCTTCAGAAATAAAAGCCTATGCTTCCCCAAGGTGAGATGGATCCCAGGAAAATTCAGCTTCATTACCCAGCCTTAAGCTAGCCTTTATGAATAGAATAAAGCTGATCTGAAGCTCTCATCTCTGTAAATAATGACAAAGCCAAACACTGTAGTTCAAGGTAATAGATCTGTATCCTTCTAGCATATAAGGTAAGAGTCAAGCCCAAGAGAAGGAAGTACACATCATTCTTCAGGTCAGCACAGATCTCCTTATCTGCGCAAGAATCACATCTCTTTCTTTGCTGTTATTTGGCCCACATTGCAATTTGCCTGCAGCAGCAGGGCTGATGCTGAGAAACTACAGAAATGACACCCCACAATCTTATGCATCTTTACTGATATGAGTTCCAGAGGTGCATCTAGGAGAACAGGAGGTCCTTGGACCCTAAACCAAACCTCACTAAAACTACTCCTAGCCTACACTTCAGGGCTTTGGCAAAAAAGGATAAGTCCATAGGTAAGAGACGGTGCTCCTAAGGTAATTTGTACCACTTCCCCTTATAGAAAATAAAATACTGGGCAAAAGGATGCCCTATCCCTCAGGTTGGATATCAAAATTTCTTTTCAGAAAGAGCAGTGAAGCACTAGCACAAGCTGCCCAGGGAGGTGGTGGAGTCACCCTGGGGCTGCTCAGGAAAAGGGTAAATGTGGCACTGAGCAACATGGTTAGTGTGCATGGTGGGGATGGAATGGCAGTTGGATTAGATGATCTTAGTGTCTTTTCTAACCTTTGTGATTCTGTGATTCTCTTTGTTGTGCCTTGGCTGCTGCCCATCAACTAGAAGTGCTCTCTCCCCCACTGCTGAACACAGACAATGCTTACAAATGTGGATCCAACCTAAATCATAAAGTCGGGGTTCTGAGATTGGAAATCAGTGATGATACGCAAAGATGCAAGTAAGTGAATGGAGAGTCTGTGTGACCAATAAAATTGTGCTGTACGGACTTCCATCAACTCAGGCAGGATTACATTGCATGGTTAACCAGTAAAACCCATGCAATTAACCAGCAAATCCACCACCATCAGACTGAGTGGTTTATGGGAAATTGATTGCACATCATGGTCTAGCTGCTATAAGACTTGTGTTCTTAGCTCCATGGCCACTAACTGCCAACTTTTGTAGCCAGCAGAAAACCAATCCCTAAATAGGTCAGCTGCACTGAAATGGAAGCACAGCTCCAAAGCCAAACAGAATTTCTTCTCCCAGACTGCTTAACCTGGAATGAAACAAAACCAAAGCTGCAGAAGAGCAGAGGCAACACTCACAGCACAGAACCTCAATATGAAAACTCTCCACAGGGGATACAGCTCAGGCTCTGCATACTGAGCAGTAGATTTGGATTTCTTTACTCATTTCCATTCCCCGTGATGCTGTTACACCTGATGTCCCATGCTTCCACCTTAAGTGGAGAAATCCATAGCCCTGAAATAGAAAGGACTGTGTGTCACATCCCAGGGAGGCTGCTCTGTAGGCCATGGAAAGGCAAAGCACAGCTGTGTTTCAGCATGCCCCTTCTGAACTGTGGCTGGCAAACTAAGGATAGGAAATCACCCACCCCTGCGTTACAGTACGGCATTGCAGTGTCCCTTCCGTGCAGAAAAGTAAACAGGTAGTGAGCACTAAGTTACTGGGAAAAAAATGACCTCATGGGAGGGAAGCCCAACCAAATCCACTGCACTATTCAGGGGATTTTTTGAGCTTGCAGTAAGTCGCAATGTGTGAAAGGAGACAAAAGATAAATGCAAGAGCTAAAAACTAACTACAAAGGACAGACAAGAACAGTCACTGGGGGGGGAGGGAAGGAGCTGCGAGCGCTGATTGGGAATTTCTCAGCCCATCTCGAGGGGGGAGGAGGGGAGTGATGGGGCGAGACCTCCCTCTCCCTCACTCCCCTTTGTCTCCCCGTCCCGCTCTGCCTGCCTCAAGCCCTTCAGCTCCCACCCCCACTCCACTACCTCGCAATACAACCACCTCCAGCGGGATGCAGGCTCTCTACCCCGAATCTGACCTCTCGTTCCTTTGCACAGCCATTCGGCAATCTTGAGTCTGTCTGCCAGCCTCTCTCCCTTGTCTGTGCACACACACACAAGCAGCCCTTTGCTTATTTGCTTGCTCTTGGCTGAGCAAAGCACGGTGCCTGCTCCATCCCCGCGCAGTAACCTGTTGCCTGCCTGAAGGACTAGGGAGCCTGGGAGCTCTCCTCCCGCTCTTCACAGACCCGGCGGGTTCCGAGCGGCGGCTGCCTTCAATGGCAGGGAAAGGTGTCGGCAGGCTGATGGAGAGGTCCTGATCTAGCCAGACGTTTGCAGATAACGAAGCTCTTTAAGGAGAGGGAGGAATGTGAAGTCACGTCTGTGTGAGCCCTGCGCTCTTACCAGTCTCTGGATGCTGTTCGTCAGCAGCTACGGCGAGCGGAGAGGAGAACGAGTGGGGTACATTCAGAAGCGGCCAAACAGAAGGGAGGGAAGCGGGGAGGGGGCGACGGGCCGGGAGCTGCGAGGCCCCATCTGAGGCCGTGTAGCGCTGGGAGGGAGCAGCAGGCAGGCTGGGGATGACTCAGAGCCAGAGAGCAATGGAAGGGGTGGGTGGGCGGTGGGAGAGAGGTGTTATGACTAAAAGCCGAATTTACCGCCTGCGAATCCTAAATCTGAAGAGGAAGAGCCTGAGGTCTTCTCAGTGGGATACACGGGCGGCGGTGTGAAATACCGGTGTGAAATTGGGAGCGCTCCCTCTCCGCCTGCCTGGCAGCCAGCCTGCCGCAGCCCTTCCACAGCCTCCCGTGCCCGCCTCGAAGCAGGCAGAGCGCTGCCCTCTACCCTCTCCTCTTCTCCCTGCCCGACCCTTCACAGCCGCTTCCCCATCCCGGAGCACCCCTGCTCCCCCGCGCCCGTCGCCCTCGGCTAGCCAGCCCGGGCAGGAGCACCGGTCCCGTCCGGCTCTCGGAGGCCCGGGCACGGCCGCCCCGGAGGCGCAGGGCAGCGCTCTCGTCCCGCACCCCGGCGGACCAAGGAGAAGTTCCTCCAATTGTTCCCGGCCGCCGTCCCCACCGCCCGCAGCCAAGGACACTGCGGCCCCCCCGGGCTCCCGCCGTCGCGCTCCTCTCCCTCCCCGCGGCGGCAGCCGATCCTCGCACCCCGAGTCGCCCCCGCGCCCTCCCGGCGAAGTCTCCGCAAACTGCCCCGCGGGACGTTCTCCCGACCACCCCTCAACCGGTCGCGCGGAGCCGCTCGTACCTGCGAGCCACAGCAGCACGACGCAGCCCAGGAGGCGCCCACCCATCTTCCCGCTGGCCGGGCCGGGCGAGCATGCCGCGGGGCGGCGGGAGAGGGCCGGGTCTGCCCTGCCAGGAGCCGGCGGCGAGGCCGCGTCGTGTGGCTGCGCTGCGCTGCGCTCCGCTCCGCTCAGCTCCGCTCCTCCCCCGCCGCCGGCTGCCGGCTGGGGGCCGCCTCGCGGGGCCGAGCCGGGCGGGGACAGCGCGGGCGGGGGGCGCGGATCCGCGGGGCTGGGGCCGAGGGAAGCGCCGCTCGGTTGCCAGGAGCTCCCTGCAGCGCTGCTCCGCAACTCCCCGCGCCCGCGGCTTCGCTGCTAAAAATGTCCGCTCCGATCATCCGTGCCTCCAAATTAACCGCGCGTACCTCGGGAAACGAGAGCAGGCTGTTGCGGTGCAGCGTTTTCCTCGGGCTTCCACTTGCACCGTGACCAATCGCTGCGATTTTAGATCAAGAAGAGATCCAACTTTACATGAGGAGGAGGTGTTCTGGCTGTTAGAGACCGACATCTGAGCCGTGGGGCGCTGGGTGTTGGTGCCAACGCGATGTTGGACGGGGCTGGAAGTTTTCAGGGGGAGCTGCCAACCAGAAGTGCTGCTGTCGATCATTGTTTGAATGGTGGATGTTGCTGTGCCATAAAATAGCCCTGACCGACGCAGGCCCAGATGCGTACACTCTGTACTTCTTTCAGGGGCTAGGCTTGAATTTGGAACCGAAGTATGGATTCTAGAGATGTTGGTGATCCACACGGCAGAAGCCTTCAGCCTCCATTCCAATGGAACATGCCAAAGAGAATCATAGAATCATAGAATGGGCTGGGTTGGAGAGGATCACAATGATCATTGAGTTTCAACCCCTTTTCCAGGTGCAGAGTCGCCAACCGCTAGGCCAGGCTGCCCAGAGCCACATCCAGCCTGGCCTTCAGTGCTTCCAGGGATGGGGCATCCACAACCTCCTTGGACAACCTGTTCCAGTGCATCACAGAACACAACCGATGCTGATTTTCTAGTGCCCTGCTGGACCCAGAGGGATCAGTGCTGGGTGTGCCCACTGCTACAGGCAAGGTGCAAGTGGTGACCGCAGTATGACCCTAAGATACTTCCAGCAGGTGTTTTTCAATTGTGTAGCTCTCAGTCTGAACTTGACTGCAGGCAAGATACACTTTTTTCAAAAACAGCAAATAAAAATAGATCCCTAATTTCCAAGCGAGAAAGCAAAACGGCACATTTGCTGTGATAAAAGATCTGTTGAAACATTTGGGTTGTTTTTTGAATAGTTGTAGTCCTTCTGTTGATGTAGTTGAACTGGAATGGGGTGAGGAGATGATCCCCAGGCACAACTTGTTTTTAAGTGCTTTATTCCCAGCAACTCAATGTTATTTAAAAATACTTTTCACATAGTTTGTTTTTATTCAGTGTTGCTTATAAAGAAATACACACCCATCTCCAACTAGTGTCCTGATCTGTTGGGAGTCAGAAGGTCTCTCTGACCTGATACATCATAGAATCCAAAACATCATAGAAGGGTTTGGTTTGGAAGGGACCTCACAGCCCAGCCAGTCCCAACCCCTTGCCATGGGCAAGGTTGCCACTCACCAGATTAGGCTGCCCAGGACCCTGTCCAACCCAGCCTTGAATGCTTCCCAGCGTAAGTTTGCTTGGCAGTGCTAGCTAAAGGCCACAATGAAGAACTAAGACCCTACCACGCTAAATAAAGCACACAGACCCAGTACTCAGGGCTGGTCTCCTGCATGCCTGCAGGTGAAAAGCAAAGTAGGAACTCTGCCTAGAGCTGCAACTTCAGACTCAGGAAATACACAGAATCATGAAAACTCATGTGGAGGCCATGATAACTCAGATTATCTGAGGGCCCGCCTCGTCAGGATTAAATATATATGCCATATAATTCATGCAGACTTGCACTGGCTGAACTAAGACTCCTAATAAGTGAACATGAAGGTACTATTTCTCCCTCCCTCAAGCATTTTTTCTAACAACCCACCATGTTTCAAGTGAAATCCCTGTGCCTTCCCCTTCTATGACTTAGTTGGGCAGGAGGCCGATCCAGTTTCCTGAGACAATGTTGATCTGGAATTATCTCATAGGTTAAAAGCTGGGAGTAGCACAATCTCTTATGTGTCACTATTGTTAGCTACTCCTAGCTTTTTTTTTTTTTTTTAATCTACTCCAGCTTTTCCAAATAAATTTGGCATATACAACATTTTAGCTAAACTTTTGACTCACAACAAAGGAAGGAAAGATTTTCAATACATGGAAGCACCATTGTTTTGCATGTAACTTTGGATTTATAGCTGCTTTGAAATGTTCATACTAAAACATGCTGTACGGTTCTTTTTAATGTAACGTGAGCTGTCATTTGTATATACACATATAAGATGGATGCCTGAGCCGTGAGGTGTTCCGGATCTCCATAAACCCTTGATCTGAAAATTACAACTTCTGAGCTGGCTTAATAGATAATGTAGGGTTGTTGTCCTTCATTTTAGTCTGTTCTTGGAGACAGAAGACTGCACAGTTAGCTTCGTTTTACCTTCAGACAGCAGGTGAATTCCTAAGGAATTAGCCAGATCACTTCAACCCACTGCAGGGACTACCTGTGCTCTGAAAAACAACATTCAATCAAAGGGCTTCAACCTTTATCTCTCTCCAACCTTGATAATGGATGACCAAGCTCCCCATTTTTGTCCTGAAAAATGTAGCCTGAGACTGAACTGGAAGAATACCACTCTACTGCACTGATGTAAGTGATACCTCAACAATGCTTGCAGCAGTTCTGTAAACAATGGGACCATGAACAATTCAGCTGAACAATACAGAAACAAATTCTCTTCTTGTTACTCATTGCTGCCGCTACCCATAGCTCTTCTGACTTCTTGCCAACGACTTAATTCCCCCCCCTCCTTTGATCTTCCAGTACCAGTCTTTTGGGGCCATTTCCTCTGTTGATAAGCAGTCAGTTTTTTAATGTTTCCAACATCTGGAAGGACACATGCCAGCGCTTCACTCAGAACGACCCGTCTCAGCAACATACCAGAAAACCCTACATGTTGCATGAAAGTGCATTTCTTCACGAGTACTTTTGCAAATCCATTCAGTCCCCTGGATTCCCGTGGTAGAAATTTCCATAGAAACAGTGATTTCGACAGCTTTCTGGGATGTTGTACTAGATTCAGCCATTAGGCACTGTTCTCTTGATTTAGTACTGAGACCAGCACATTACAGAAGGCACTACGTGACACATCATCAAATCACAGCAATTACTGAGTTTCTTCAGAATAGTTACTAACTAAAACTCTTCCTCATTTTCTTTGTTACTCCAGAGTCTCCTATTAATCGTTGATAGCTTCACAGCAAGACATCACTGAAATATATGCGCTCTCTCCGTATATTTTGTTTGTTAGTTTTCCCAACTGCCTGGGTACATATGACTGCACAATAACATGGAGCTTTTACTTCCCATTAACGTCAGGATTGGGTGATACATAAACTGCTTTTCTTCTTAACCATGCCATTTGTACCAACTAACATTCAGAATACTTAATGGGGAAACTATTTTCTCATTCTAATGAGCCTTGATTTCTATAATATAAATTCAGCATTATAAAAAAGAAAACAAACATCTTTCTCTAATATTCACTTCATGTAGGTTTCCTATGCTGCCCCCCAGTTCTTTCTTACAGACAGTGTACCTTTGCTGCACTTTGAAAGGGAACCTGAAATTTTCACGAGTAAAACATGATCTGCACATTCTGTGAGGTTAGTATGCAGGTACATGATCATAAGCGTATCCTCCCAGCTCATCATCTTTTGTGTGTCACTAACTAAAAAATACGCAGAATAGGAATAAGACACACTCTTCTTGCACAGAGAGCCAAGGACATAACAAATTGTCTGCGATTGTTGGTTATAGAGAAACTGTGACAGCACAAATGCCTCCAGGAGCCGGAATTCACAAAATGGACTTTTGTGACTGTCTAATCCAGCTTTCTTAATAAAATAGGCCATATCGCTTTGCCACTCTACATCCTGTTTGAACTACAGCGTATCTGTTAGAAAAAGAACCACAAACTGCGTGTGGCAGGGAGGTTGGAGATTCATGATCCTTGAGGTCCCTTCCAACCCTGGCAATTCTGTGATTCTGTGAAACTACTTTTGGTTCTGATGGACCTCATCCTGTCCCTAATTTCATCTTACTTCAGCTTCTAGTAGTGCCATGTCAGATGGAAAGGTCTTCTTAAGGGATTTCTGATAGAGGCAATGACTGTGATCAAAGCACCATTTAATGCTCTCCTTGAGTTGAACAGATTTTGGTATTTTTCTATATTCTGAAGCTAATGCCAGTTCTGGAGAGAGCATCCTAGGCACAGGGGCTAAAAGTAAGAAAGCAGAAATACTACATCAACATCACTACTGCTTGATATTTCTTTGTTTATCGTTCCAGTGATTGCAGTTAGTCCTTTCAACATGGCATCACATCACACGCAGAGGCCCAGTTTGATGGACATTCTGCTCTGTCACTCTCATTATTAACTATCCCCCCATCTTTGTATAATTTGCAAGTATCTGTGGCAACTGCATGCTACCTTCAAAGTTATTAATAAACATTCAGCAGTATGCAGCCAAAAAATGGAGGCATCTTGCTGAAAATGTGCAATAGCAATTCCTCATTTAAAATTACATTTTGATACATCCTAAGCTAATGTTTTAGCTCATTTACTGAGGACCAGATTGTCTCTGGATCATTCTGTTTCCTTGATTTAGAGTTATGTGGTTGAGTTAGACGACACAAGTGCATCTGAATGCATTACCTTTAGTAACCACACTTAATATCTCTTTGATGCAATTAGAAACTAATGTGGCAAAAAATATTTTCTTCAAATCCATTTGATTGACATTAATTACATTCGTTTTCTTTAATTCATTATTGAAGCAACTTCTGTGTCAGTGATTCTATTCCTTTGCCTGGGATCTCTACTGGTCTGATAGGTCTGTAATCACCCAAATCCCTCTATGTAAGGCCAAATCCAAAACAAGGCTTTGGAAAATTTTTGGTACCTAACTGTAGAACTACAGTTTTAAAACCCCTGGAGTTTTAACTGGAGACCAAAAGCACACATGTAATGTCAAAGCCAACACAGTTGCATTTCTGCTTCTCTGTACACTCAGATTGCTCTGAGCATGTAGGTGTAGAAAAGCACCAAAAGTAAGGCTTGCATTCATGTGGTTTGCCCCAGTCAGGTCCCTGCTATCCACCTGAAAGCTCACTGTTGCTCTTACCAGATATTAAGGATTTCCAGTATTTGTCTAGGATACTGGAACAAGGTGGTGGTTTCACTGAAGCCATGACATGCAAGATATTTACAATATATGGCATAGTTATAGATATTTACAATATATAGATATTTACAATATATGGCATAGAAGGGATACAGCTACACCCCTCATGGACAGCTGGTTGACAGTTACAGGTTGAGTGCTTCTGGGACGACCTGGTCAGAAGGGATGCAGCACATGACTGGCAAATCCTATGAATCCCACAGCCGTATGACCTGATGCAGAACAATTCCCAGCTCAAATGCTAGTATTTCTGAAGAGAAGACAGAAGCATAGCAGCATCCACTTGAGTTCCCTCAGAAACTGGGAAAAAAGATGCTAATATCACCATGAGGCCTTGTCTAGGACATACACAAAAAGTCCAGCACTCTGCGAAACCCTGCAAAGGCAGGCAGGGGAACAAGGCAGGGCAACGTGTCTTACCTTCTGTAAAAAGGCCTCCTGACTCTGAGATGTTCAAAGTCACATCCCCAATCACACAGCTGAGATAAACGGCTTCTCTTGCAGTTGTTCAGAAAGAAAGCCAGGATTCATTAGGTCAGGAGTCAGACCAAGAGAAAGCCGACTTCTATAGCTTACTCTAAGTCACTGTCAGGGGAAGAGGAAGCCTGCAGGTTATGATTCCTGAAATGCACAAGCACTACATATGAAACAATAGCAATTATTGGACTAGAAAACCAAAGTTTCCATTCTGTATCACTCATCAGAAAAAATAACATAAACCTAAAACCTCCAAACAGGTTGACAAAGACAAACAGCGCAATTATGTGCTAAAAGCTCATCTGCACACCCACAAAGGAGTACAGAGAGACAATGTCATGGAGATAGCCAAGTACTACTCTGCCCTGACTCCTCCCCAGCCCATCACAAAAGCCATCGGCCCATTGAAGTCTCTCTGCTCAAGTCCTGTGGAGCACAGGGACACAGCAGCAGGTGGGAGCTCCAATTAAGAACTGAGAGGAAGGGACTACTTGTCTGAACCCTTCCCAATCCTGTTCCAGAGCAGCCCAGTCCCAGAGTTCAGGCTGGAAATCTTATCAAATCAACACATCAACTTTTGGGCTGAGGGAGGTTGCATACAGGAATATGTGGACCAAGAGCATTTCAGAATTGCACAGGACTTGCTGTGGGATGTTTAGGGGAAGAATCAAAGGCAGAGAAAGGGAAGGAGCTAGGTGATGTGGGAAGGAACAAGTGTGGGAAAACTGAGGGATGAGGAGGTGGTATGCCTTTGGAGCTGGGTGGTGGTGGTACACTTCTGATGGCAAGACCCTGGGAGAAGCAGGCTATTGGATCTTATCAATTATATTCCCCTAATATAGATACCAAACATTTCACTTTGGAGGAAAGTACTCTAGACCCAGAGCAGCGGATCACCATGTAACAGCAAATGGAATTGCTGCCATGTTTTTTTAGAATAAATTTGTTTATTCTTTCTGAGGAACTACTGTAAGATGTGTCTTGGAAAGAAGGTCATTGCCATAAATCCTGAATGAATGAAGAAGCATTAGTGGCAGCAAAGTTCCAGACAGTTTTTCAGTCTACATCGACCATATTTTGAGATATGTAATGAACTACATACATTGATGGGAAAGCACAGGTCCCCAACTCTGGAGCTGAGTTTCCAAGGCCAGAGATGTAAAAGTTGGGTCTTGGCATATTTGAGTAATTTAACTGAATTAAGTACTTTACTGAAAAAGTAATATATAAACTTTGGCACAACCCTTGCTTTTATTCCCTGGAATGGCCCCAGTGCTACAAAAGTTATTTACAAATCAGCATAAATGGTCTAAAAGTCTCTTTTGCCAGCTAAGCTGAACAGCAGACAATTGCATAGTTAAATTGTGAGTTTCCATTTAAATCACAGGGGGATTTTCCCAGGGCCAAGGCCAAGAACACTGATGACATTGTGCTCTGAAGATGATCTCTTCCCTCTTTTTTTCTCTTCCTTAACCTTGTGTAGAAAAATCCTTTCTCCTCATTGCTTATGAATTTTATTTTCCAACCACACCTCTAGCCCTAGGAGAGCTATTACTGCAACCTTGTCTTTTTCAAAGTGTTGATGCACACTTTATCTGATTTTTTTAAAGGGATGGGCTGTTAAAGGGTGGGTCACAAAACTGCACAAGAGAAAAGAACACAGTGTGAAGAAAACTGAAGCAAACGTGCACAGATTCACTCTTAGCAACAACTCACACAGTAATACAACAACAATATTCACCTTTGGGGATAAAAAACTAGATTCTGCAGAAGTTCCTATTTAAAAGATACAAGTTATTTCTTGCCGTTTCTCTTGAGAGATTTGGTATTAATATATCAGGAACTAGCCTGGGATATAAATGATTTCGCACAAGAGCGATAGTGACTTTAAAAAGTTATTCTCATTGAATTCGCATCAACATTTTCTATGTTTTTAGCAATGTGATTGGCTCTTCCTGTGAATTTAACAGCAAATCTAGTAAGTGGTTCACAAACAGCATAAAATAAACTGTTTCACTGGATTTGAGCAAGACAGAAGAGCTTCCAAAAAACTAAACTGCATCAATTTTTTTAACCATCAGAGAAACCAGCCACCAGTGAGACGCAAAAGCAATCTGATCTGTCCTTATCTGCCAGGAATTCCAACAGTGAAAAACACAATTAGCTCAATTAAAGATTTAAGCCTAGACAGTGGTTACCTCCTTTGGAGCTAAACAGACTCAGTTACCTAGACAGAAGATGAAGGAAGCTAGACTGAGGGGAAAAGGCAAAGCTGTCCAATGATTTAGAAATGCATGAAAGTCTTTAGCAGTATTTTTGATCCTCATGTCTAGGTTTACAGTAAATTCAAGTGTACTCTGCAGTAGAGGATTGGAAAGAATCTTCCAAGCCAGGACTACATGTTTATTCAGATAGCTGGGGCACCTTCAATTAAGGTGGCTGCATGAGAACAGTGAGCTGACTCTTGTTCTGCTGCACCAGGCAGGCTCTGCAGGAACTGCTACCGTATCCTGAAGATGATTCCCCATCAAGATGGTCCCCATAAACAAAGGGAACAGTGAGGAATCTGATAGACATCACACATCTAGGAGAAGAAAAACCTGGCCAGAATTTAATCAGATCTTATACTGACACTGTCATTTCAGTTACCCTGCTTCAGATCAAACTTACGGTCTTCTATTGCAGGCAATCATATTTCACAATCCCTTCTGTTAACTGATTAAATTTTCTTCTACAGCCAGTTATGGTTGTTGCCCTGTTAATTTCCCTTGATTTTTTAATATATTATGGCCAGTGAGAATCACTTTGTTTTTGAGAGAGATCGACAGAAAGCTTAAAGGAAGAAGCAACTCATGCTGCTCACCACGATGATGTGTATTTGATTGTTTCCAGTTTTTATCTTAGTTGAACTGTGGCTCAGCATGCAAACCTTCAGTGAAAGAAGTATCAGGTACTCAGTGAGATAGATTAAATAGAAAAAAACACAAGAGTCTATACAGATGCCTGAGTTTTATAAAACACAGTATTGTAGAATAGTTTGATTCTTAAAAGAAATCTAGTCCAACTCCCCTGCAATGAACAGGGATACCTACAGCTCCAGCAGGTGCTCAGGACCCCATCCAGTCTGACCTTGTATGTCTCCAGGGACGGGACATTCACCACTTCTCTGGACAACCTGTTCCAGTGCCTCACCATCCTTATTGTAATAAACTTCTTCCTTATATCCAGTCTAAATCTTTTTGTTTGAAACCATTTACCACTGTCCCGTCATCACAGACCCTATCAAACAGTCTGTCCCCTTCCTTCTTACAGCCTCCCTTTAGATACTGAAAGGCTGCTCTCAGGTCTCCCTGGAGCCTTCCCCTTTCAGGGCTGAACAGCCCCAGCTCTCTCAACCTGTCCTCGCAGGGGAGGGCTTCCATCCCTGGGACCCCTTCTGTGGCCTTTTCACACGAGCTCCCAAAGTATTTTTAATAAGCAAGTTTGCCTTTCCAAGCAGATGCACGCCATCTCAGCTCCTCCACTCTTCTGCTATGTATCTCAAACCCAAGCTCAGGCCTCTTGTGTGAGGCTGCTCTTTGTTTGGTGCCCAGGCCCAAGCTTAAATGGAGCTCCAGCTCAGGGGCACAACATGCACCGAGTCCTAGGGGACTGCTGAGGCCATTACTGCCTTTCGGAGCCCTCGGGGCCCTGCCCCTCACTGCAGTCCTGTGCTCCCCTTGGCAGCGCACACCTCTTTCTCGAAGTACACCTCACTGAAAAGCCCTCGTTGTCACTTGGGAACACAACACTGTGTCCAGATGAGGACCACATGCGGTCACCGGCAATAAGAGACTGTATTTTTGTTCAGTTTCCAGCTTGGCAGATGCCGGAAGACCTATTGAACCAGATGTTCAATGCTCACAGTCACAAACTGCAGAAAGGCAGAACGAAAAGAAAAGCCACGCTCTGCAACAGCCGACAGCTACAGGTGCTCCCCTATGCAGCACGCCGTCACCGACCTCCAGTAGACGGCACCACCCACACGATAAAAGGAAAGCAGGAGCAGGCGCTCCTCAGCCAGCTCTCCGCCCCTCCCGACCTATCGCTGCCCGGGCCGCCCACAGCAGCGCCGTCGCGGCGTGGCTGTGGAGGACGAGGCGAAGCGATGTCCGCCATGTCGCGCTCTCAGCGCTCCCGCAGCGCCTACTACTTCTTCGTGCGTGACCGGCTGCCCGTGCTGCGGCAGCGCGGCCTGCCCGTGGCCCGAGTGGTCGATGGCTTTCCCCACCTCACCCAAGAGTGGGCGGTGAGGGGAAGGGCCGTCCTTCGAGGGAGAGGGCTTGGGGTGAATGATGATTCCCCTCGGAGAGGGGGGTAGAAAGGGGAGGCACCCCTGGCTTGGGGGAGCGGGCTCAGGAGAAGAAATCAGTGGGATAAAAGTGCCTGTGGGCCGTCGGAAGGTGCTGTGGGAGTGTGTGCTCGTGAAGCTATCGCTGGGTTGGGTGATAATAGCTATCAGTGTTTGTGAAATATTGACAGCCTCCCTTTGGAAGCGTCGAAATGTTCTGTTGATCGGTGGGATTACTGAAGGAAGCGGTAAAAACTCGTTGACAATTTGCTTTGCTTCAAGCTGCTGGCGGAGGAGGAGAGGATGTTCTATGCAGAGAAGGCTCAAAAGTGGAATGAAAAGAAGTCCTCTCAGAAGGCGGTGAAGGAGGTAAAGGCTCAGAAAGGAGCGCCTCTTGGGAAGTGGTGTTTGCTTCAGTGGGACTAATTCCTCCTTTTTAGTGGTGTAAACTGATAACTATCAGCCCTTGTCAGGCAAGGACAGTTATCTGGATGTGGATGTTATTTGCAGTTTAGGCCTAGATTGCATTGTATAAGCTTCTCTGGTTTCTGGGCATCTGCCCAAATCTTTCTGCCACCCAAAAAGCTTAATGCCTGTGTGTGGATGTGCAGTGCTTTACTAATAGACCTGCGAGCCCCTCTTGATTGCACAGTAGCAGAACAATCTGGTGACTTGGGGATTTATCAGCTTTTCATGAAGACCTTTCCTAATCAAAGGCAAATGAGCATCTCAGGTTTTTTTCATCAAAATTATGGGAATTGCTGAAAATTTCAGTCTGAAAACTTAATGCAACAAGTAGTTAAGCTTTAACAAAATAGTACTTTCTTAATACTTTCATTACATTTCAGAAATTTAGCTGTAGTTCTTTCCAGCTGTGCAGGTTGAGGTACTAAGACAGCAATCCCCTGTTAGTAATCTTGCCTTTACCTGCAAGTCTGCAGACACTTGTGTGTAAACTAAAGATTTGTTCCACCTAGCCACAATGAGCAGTGGATGTTCTGTGTTTCTGTGATAGCAGGTGGTGAACTTTATTGGAAGTTAATTAACTTGGTTGATTTTGAGTTTTTTCATTTCTTCTAGATGTTTAACAATCCAGTACCTGCTGGTGCGACTACAGAAATGTACAGAGTGACATCTCTTCTTGATGCCTCTGCTATATCGTGGATGAGTGATCAGGGTATGGTAATCTTACAATAACTGATGCTGCTAGATGGAAGCTTGGCATGTAAAGATATTCTGGGTGGTACCTATGCAAAGATTGTTTTCATTTTGTCAGCAGTTATCTGTGTCAAATGTGTGCTTGTTCTTAGTATGATATGGGCCTGCAAAGATCTTTCCTTCCTTGGAGGGAAGTCAGTACGAAATGCTCCTCTGCATCCCCTGAAATAATTCTGTCTTCTGTTTTTCTTTTAGCTTAATGCGAGCATAGCTACTAATACTTTTGTTTACAGTTTTTCTCAAAGCTGTCTGCTCTGACATTAGTGATTTACAAGGCCTAATCCAAGTTCAGAACAATAGAATGTTTATATCAAGATCCAAGTGCAAGGAGCTCAAACTCTATATAATATATGTGTTGCATTAAAATGGTTTCCTGACCTTCTCAGTAAAGAGTGGATGCTTGTGTACACGCTACTTGTGTAGCGCATCCTGGCTAGTTTCCTTGTTGAAAGTACCCTGGAAAACCAAACTTTCCTGTCTGTATGTTGTCTTCAAATGGATGTTTTGATTAGAATTATGTAACAAACGCATCTGTTAGTATTCTATTCTGGAAAATGATGTATGGTAGCACTTGGAATATAAGTTAATAGCCAGTTAATAGAAGCTATATCTGCGCTGTTTGTTCAGATCTCTGCTCAAGCCTTTTATCTAACTAATCTCTTGAACATGTTATGGTTATAGAGGGTCAGAAAAGAGTAGCTCTGTTTAAAAAAAAGTGTAATGTCAATTAGCTTTCATACTGCCAGAATCCGTTCTCAGCTGTCACTATGATGTAAATTTGATCATGGTGACTTGAGCTGGCATAACCAGTCTTTCAACTGAGTCTGAGATGAATTTTATAATTCTGCTCCTTAATATTTCTGCATGGTTGCCTATATTAGGTTGTTGTTTTGTTTTTTTGTCCTGTGAAAAGATTTCCACTCAGGAGGTATCTATCCTTTCCCACTGCAGCTTGTAGAGATTAAGGTCCATGTAAGGTAGTGCCAGAACTCATCTGGACAGGTGGTACTGAATACCATCGAATGTGGCCCACTATATCATTTTAGTAGAACAAGTAAAGTTTTTAATGAGGGGCAGAGTTTGAGGGTAGGTATTGTCTTAAAATTAAGAAAGAACTTATGTAGGATCTATTATATTATGTAGGATTTGTGACTATTAGGCATTAATTAATGTGACGTATTTTTTATGCTTGGTCTTATAAAATTAAGAAAAGATAATTTATTTTGTAATGCTTTTCTTAGATATTCTTGTTTTCTTTGGGAGCTCATTCAGTGAGGACAAATGATCCTTTCAGTTAGCAGAATTCTTCCCGTCTCCTTTTACATAAAGGTTACCAGTTCATTTAACTCACCTGATAAGTTACTGAATGGAGCTTGTGGAAGTACTTTGCAATTACTGATTGTTTTTTCCTGAGGGGTAAACAGACCCATCATAAAAAGGAATAATATTGTTGATGTTGATTGGTGTTGAATTGTTGGCCTCTTAACATTTTCTATACTTACATAATATGTACTATAATCTGCTTGTATAATATATTTATTTTTTTCCCTCACAGCTGTGCTTGCAGACATCTTCTATTTCCTCAATGTTTACAGTCATGGCAAGCTGCCGTCCCACTGTGACCAGCGCTTCCTCCCTTGTGAAATTGGGTGTGTCAAGTACTCCCTGCAGGAAGGCATAATGGCTGAATTCCATCACTTCATAGATTCAGGTGATTTCCAAGGAAGGGTAGCCAGGAAGTAGTTCATCACAAGAACAAAGTTCCCTCTGGGGTCAGAGGGAAGCTCTCTAGTGTCCGTTACTGCTGCACTGATTAAATTTCTGGTATTAAGATAGACTTATTTCTTTGACTACAAGATTAGACTTCTACTTTAAATAACTGAGCACTGCTGTTTTCTGCTTGTTTTGTGAACGTGTACTTAAGTACTGGGACTGCACGAAGCTTTAAAGAGGGCAGGATAAATCCAGGGGGCACTTCTGATGTTTGTGCTTTGTTTCATGCCAAGGAGTGTTTGTTCTGGACTTAACGCAGTGCAATGTACTCTTCTTTAAATGAATGCAACTGAAAATATTTTCTTCAGAAATAGTTGTGGTGCTTGTACAAGGCCTTGGGGAAGGTGAGGCTGCTTCTTTCTCTAAATCAAAATGTAGTGCCTAGCTCAGAGTTAAGGATCTGTCACTGTGCTGATGGATGATGGTTATTTTTCTTCCATCCCTCATGTTTTTCTGCAGAAGTACCACCACGTGGTTATCGGTACCACTGCCAGGCTGCTAGTGAGTATCAATGGAGAAGAAGAGTGGTATGCAATGGTTTACAGATTTGGACTCTGCTTATCTGATCTGTATCCAGTTGTTTTGTGACTCCTCCCTTCTGTGGACTTCCTCTCACATTTTGAAGAGAAGGAGATGACAGAGCAGCTTGTTGGAGTCACCCTGCTTATTTCTTGTACTCTCAAATGGCAGAACTCTTCACTGCTGTATTTCCCTTGTTAAGCAGTGTTTATAGATTTGTCTATTTCTATTAGTACACTTCCTCCCCTTGTGTGTGCAGAGAACAAAGTTGGCCCATGTTATCGTATATCAGATATGTAAGCAATGGCCACTCAAAAGGGGTAAATGTGCCTGTGTCTGCTCACAGCCCAGACTGCCAGTCTTCTGCAAGAAATAAGGTTTTGATAACTTTAATTACACATGTTGCCTGTAGGGAAGAAGAGGTGTGTGTGTGTGTGTGTGTGTGTGTTTAAGTACACGTATACATAAATCAAAAACCAGAAAAGAGGGCGGAATGGTATTATTTTAAGAAACAGAATTTCTCATAAGTAAAAGTTTTTCCACTTCACCTTTTGTTAGGTGATGCCACTCATAAGATCCCTATATCTGGATTTCATCTTTCGCGTACTTGCTACCCAGTTGTCATACGTGAACTTCTTCAGTTTGCCCAGCCAGCCAGAGGTGTTTGGCATCGTTTTTACTGCAAGGTATGATCAAAGTAAGGCACTCAGAACCTAAAACTTCTCTTCTAGTGGGGAATCAAGGAGCTCTTTGCTGTAAAGCATTTTCTGCATATTCTGTGCGCAAATGAGTGATTGTGTGGGGACAGAGGGGAGTGGGAAGGGAAATATTCTTTCCCAAAGTTTCCTTGTTCCATTATAGAAAGAAATGACCTAATTTTGGTGTTGGCAATCAAAACCTGTTTTTTAATCAATTCCAGCTTTTTGTACGGATCAAAAATGATACGGAACCTAAATAAGCAAACTTCCTTTTTTATGTCTGAGTTTTTGATTTTGGTTTTTTTTTTTTTGCTCTCCCACCTATACACAGTCCTGCACTGTTAGAAAAAGAAGCTGACTTTTTTATAAATCAGAGACACACAGTTTTCTGCCTTCTTATTCACAACATGCACGTCTGGCTCTTAGTCTATTGGTGAACATTTCAGAATGTTCTGACACTGTTTTGAGTTTTTAAGATTGTACTTGACTGTGCTGGATAATAGTCAGATAATCTCACTTCTCTAAGGTTTTTTTACACTTTAATGACTTTTCACATGAGAATACCATATATCTTATTTTTGCTTGTTTCACTGATTTGCCAATTTGTCAAACAAAACGTTGGGGTTCAGAGGAATTTAAGTCTCATGACGACTGTAAGTATAATTGTTATATTCCCCTTGGGCCTAATGTTAGTGAATTCATAGCAGGAGTGGAGGATTTAGATCTTGGGCTCCACACAAATAGAAATGCTGTGCATGGGAGAAGAATAACATACAGCAGTTAGTGGAGATGGCTGTAGTATATGTTAACTTGTCTCCACGTATTAATCCAGTATTTCTCCTGAGATTTGGTTGGAAGGCTGCCTTGGTATTTGATTCCTCTTCAAGGTAATTTTCTGGAAGGTTGTATGCAAGAACTTCTGTTCTGGAAATGACTTCTTTAGGTGCAGCCAGAGGTCTTGCAGATATTAGGATTGTATACTGTACTTACGCAGTTCTTGAATGTGACTGAAACTTTCTTTTTTCTAGTCTGATGACAGATTCCGAATCAGCTGGTGTCTTGAACGAATGGCCAGCGTGGCAGGTGGGAACCCAATCATTTTTGGCTTTTGTTTCTCCAAGAAAGGAAGCTTACTTGATTATGGACTGCTGTATTTGTCAGAAGGAGTTGAGGTTTTGAGGGTTTCATAAAATCTCATACTGATAGCTAGAACTGTTGTGTGTGCTTCTCCCCCTTCTCTTCCTCCCCGTGAATGCTGTGTGGTCAGCCAGCTAACTGGCTTATGAACACATGAAGAGAACAACGTACAGTGTTTGTTGGTCAGCCAGTTAAAAGAGCAGTGGAAGCAGTGAGATAACTGAGAAGGTGAGTGTAGGGTACTAGATGGAGGAACTAACAGCTTCTGAGGAAAGATGGCCTGCAGGTAAGATGTAGTGGAGAAAACTGAGAGAGTATTGGACTGCCTTGCTAAGATGCCAGATCTTAATAATAATACTGATAGAATAATTTGTTGAGATTTACATGAATGTGGAGATTCATAGAAGAAGGTGGACAGTGAACAGAGACTGGCTGAGAAGTGGGTGAATGTTCTGCTGACGTGGATTTCCTCTGAGTTATAGGTGTTGAGAGCCCTCTGGAGCTTCTTACTGTAGAAGACCTGGTAATAAAAATGTACCAGAAGAAATACCATAAGGAGCCATCCAAGACTTGGGTGTCTAGAGAGCTAGATGTTGTCCTGTGGGATTTTTCCAGTAATACCAGGTATGTTGGGTTCTTTTTCTGTGGAAATAGGTATTGCCCTGATGTGTCTTGGTGCCTTACATGTGGCTTGTGCATAGCGAGGCTAAAATCTTCAGCAAACTATCTCATCAAAAGGTTTCTTATCACAGCATGGCTACAACAGGAAATGTGAAGTACTATCTTTCAAAAAAAAAAAAAAGATAAAGACCAGTGGCTCTTTAATGCTGGGCCTGTAGATTTAAAGGAAGGTAAAAAAGGAAAATATATTGTGATATATGACATCATACAGTTGAGAGGAATCAGGCTCTCAAGAAGCTGTCTTTTGCTGTGTACCTCATACTGCAACTATGATGATGAGCTTGGTGTGCTTTCTAGTGACAGAAAACAAGCTGAAGAGTAACTTAAATCTTCTGGCTTCCTGAAGGAATGCTTTTTGTAGTGCTAGAATGCACGTACTTCATAAGATTGTTTTTCTTTTCCCTGTGTGTCTTGAACAGTAATGTTTTTACAACTTCCAGATACTTATGTGTTTATACAGCAGCTAGAGGTGCTGTAGGAGAACATTTAGCACTGATACAGTTAATTTAAAAGAATACTTCATCTTTTCCTGTGTTATTAAGAAAGAATTAGTAATTTGATCTTAATTTATTGTCTTTCTTACATCTACTAATACCTATCCCTGAAAGTCTGCTTACACTATGGACTTTGAGATCACTGAGTAATCACTGTTGCTGTTTATTGTAGTGGGAAGCTTCTAATTATTTTTAAGTGACTTTCATAGAGGTTTTCTTTTCTCCTTTTTCCTCTCCACTTCATGAAAGGTTGTCAGTTAAGCACAGTTCTCAACTCTACATAAATCACCTAGATCAGTTACTGAATGGTCATCAGCTGTGTAATTTTAATTTGATGATCACTGAGACAAAAAATAACCTTTAATGTTTGCTCCTGTTCCTTCTGGTCAGACCAACTGTTCGTGTTGATTAAAGCTGTATATGCTTATACAATAAACCTCAATTTAATTTTATGAAGGTGTGAATGGCATGAAGAGAATGATATACTTTGCTGTGCTTTGGCATCCTGTAAGAAAATCGCGTGAGTATTTCTCAGAGGTTATCTACAGTATGATGACATTTCATTTTGCTGTGCACGCTTTTTGGTCCTGACTGCTTTGAGCACCGTGGTTCTAAATCTTGAGTTTTATTTCTTTCTTCCACTTCCAGGACTTTATTCTATTTTTGGTTTTGGTTTTTGTGCTAATACTGTAAAGCAGTATGCTGTATTAGCAGTTTGGTGTAGTGCGATGTATGTGGTAATAATATCCATCACTTGGTTTATAGTCATCACTAGCTCCACTTACTGTTGGGAGCTGAAATAAATGTTCTTATGTTAGAATTCACTGTTTTTTTTCAGAGGTTTACTAAACTTCAGTTTGGTGGGAGATTCTTAGTATATTTTAATCCATCTCTAGGGGGGGTTGAAACTAGATGATCATTGTGGTCCTTTTCAACCCAAGCCGTTCTATGATTTGATGATTATGCTGTTTTATATATAATGTAGATACACAGGCTTCTCTATTTTAGACTGGGGTAAGGATAAGTAGGTAGTTGGGAAAGAAATGCTGTTCAAGATCTCAGTCAATAGTAGTAATGTTACTTGAGAGAAATAGTAATTAATAGTCTTTTATTAAAAAAAAAAAAAAAGTGTTCAGCAAATTTCCAGCAGTGCATTTCATGCTTCTAAGTGGTTACATTTGACAGCAGAGGGAAGTGTCTGTGTTAATTTCGAAAGTAGTTGTAGAATATTCTGGTGAATTTGGAAAGATACAGGGTTGTTAGCTGCTGTGAAAGTCTCTGTCATCATCTCTGCATCTTGATCTGCGGTGGCTTTGTCAGTTGAAGATCTAAGAATGCTGTGCTTCCATATGTGAGCTTTACAGCCTTCTTAACAAAACTTCTCTTGATTTCTTCATTTTCCTGGTCAAGTTATTGCATCAGTAAATCGTTAGCTGGTGTGTATGGAGTCTCACTGACAGCTGCTCACCTGCCTCTTAAAGACCATGTTTCCAGTGGAAATACAAATCTCAGGCGGGTAATACTGGATGCTGGACGTTTTCAGGTCAGTTTCTTCGAATTGTTTTCCTGTGTTATTTCTAGTTAACTCAAATACTCTAGGCAGAACACACTTGGCAATTTGAGGTTAGCCATCTCCCTTTTTGGATGCTGTCTTTTTTTAAGGTATACTTGGCAGACTGAGAAAAGAAAGAATCTCTAGCTGGGTTGTATCTTGTGATGGTTTTTGAATACAGCTCACAGGTATCGTGAGTAGTTATACACATGTCACTTTAGAGAAGACTTCTCTTATTTTGAAAGTTTATTTTTTCCCGCAGGACTTGAAGGCTGAGGGTTCTGGAAGTGACAGACACATCCTTTCTCCAAGCAGAGTTCAAGAACTTGTCCTTTCTAGTTGTGAGTTTGAGACTTCCCCATTTGTAAAGGGAAAAAGAGTATTTAAACATAATCCAATTGCAGCTTTTTCAAATTTCTGGGCTCAGAAGTTACTGTCTGTCAGCGGCATAAAGCTTATTCAGCTCTACATGAGCTAGGTTTGTAACGGTACATAGTGCAGATTTCTCTGAGTTTCTGAAGATGAAATAACTGCACTTTTGTTACTAGACCAAAGCCTATGGTCAGAAAGTCTATAAAAAAAATCAGATTTTCTCATAAATGTTGCTGTCTGATTTATAAAACTTTATTTTTCTGTCATATGAAGTTCTTTCTTGCATGTTTAGATGCCTTGAGGCAGGGCCATCTTTAAAATACCATCTCTCTTTTGGAGTTGTATGTGCAGATTCAAGTGGTACCTGTCACAAGCCTTCTGTTACTCCTGGATCTATTAAAAAAGTGCTTATTTCAAGTCCTCTTCTTGGAGTTAAAATATTTCTAGTATAAAGTATGTGCATTCAATTCATTTGTGCAATATGTGACTAGCCTTCAAAGAGGAGCAGAATTAAGTTTGCAAGACAAAATAAGTTGCAAACTCAAAGTTCTTAAGTTATGTTTTTGCTTAGACAATACACACTGAATTAAATGCTGAAACTGTTCCAAATATAAATCATGAGATCTTACACAGACTTGGTGTTTGTGGAGGACAAAACCATGTCTCTCACTTTTCCTGTTAGAAATACTGAATGCATTCCACGCATTTAAACTTCATTTGTAAACTGTATTTAATTTAATAGGTGATTCTCCATGTGATGTGACGAGTTTTTCTTATGGAACAAGTACCATTCGAGGAAGAGGAATTACTCGATGGCTGGAAAGTACACCTGATCTGAGCAAATCTTTCAGCAACTAAAAATCTTCACGTCCAGGACAGCCATATATATATATTTTTTTTCTTTCTTGTTTCCCTAAGATAACCAACAGTTTCTCCAGACTGCAGTTTTTCATCTTACATGCAATTTTTGATTGTTCGTGTTCTTGTTAAAATGATAAAACTGTCATTTACTGAACTTAAGGTAAGAAAAACTTCTTCATTACCTACGGGATGGTGTTTGCAAGTGCATCCTTTCTAAAAAGCAGTGCCATGATAGTTCTGTTTCTTAATGGATGGAGTGCAAATTTAAGAGTGTTTAGCTGCATCACTGGATTAGAAATTCTTTAGTGGCCTGTGCAGCTTTATTTTTTTTCTTTAGTAACCTCCTTCACCACATTTTTATGTGCAAGATAATATTTCAGTGCATAACTGCCTCCCTCCAAATACATTGGAGAGAGCAGTGGAGATATGACAGGATGCACTGGGGAATGTAAAGTGTCATGGTAGCTCAATGGTTTTTTTTCCACCCATTGAGAACTCGATGCAAAAAAGCAGATGTTCTATCAAAAAGTGTTGTTGTCTGTTGGTATTCTTTTGGAGGCATAAACTATGTATCAGGAATATGGATATTGTTTTCTCCTTTGCATCAGCAATTAAAAGATTCGTGTTTGTTAAAATTAGTGCTGACTTTTTTTAATGACTGAAACCAGTCAATTATTTGAGGGGACAGGAATACTGGGAGTAATTCCAGTATTCCCAGGAACGATGGGAAGTTAGATGTTTCATGGAGATGCAAATCTTGGATGTGGCTCTAATCAGTTGTCTATTATGTAAACATCCTCCTTAGTGCATGTGTCTTTGAACAACTGATTCTCAAAAATAAAAGCTTTTTTAGGTTTTTTTTTTTTTACATCTTGTTCCAGCAGAAGTCCAGTTGTGCAGTACCATCTCCATAGCAACTAACTGTGAGAGGAAATGAGTTTCATTCTTTTTAGGAACTGGATCTTAGAATTGAGTAGTTCCATGTTTTGAATGATAGGAGGGGAGGAAAAAAAAGGATTGACACACTTGTGAGCAAACTCAGGTGTGCTGATGAGTATTTTAGAAAATGCCAGTTGCTGGTTTGATTGGAAACCTGTTAAAAGTTGCTGTAAAGCCATTTGAGAGCCTTCTTCCATGATCACTGGACCATCCTACTTAAGAGCTTGCTTTTGTCACTGAATTTCCTTGAGTAACTCTGTTTGCTTCGAGGTGGTTGTTCTGTCTGCTAGACATCACCAGTTAAAGGTTAATAAACCTTGAAGACTGAGTTCACCAGGCTTCAAGGCATCAGGGAGCTTTGTAACAGCGTAACAAGGTCTACATATTAGTGGTAAAGGTTGTTTTCTGCTGTGGAATACAGTTGAGTTTTCAGTTTTCCAGCTGATGGCTGCATTGATGTTTCAGAATGTACAGAACTGTAATCTTTGGATTATTTTCAGAAGTCAGTACAATAAAAGTTTCATGTTTCAGTTCTTATGAAGGAGAGAATTCATTCTTAAAATATTTATTCAGTATCATATTAATGTAAGTACAAAAACTTCTAAAAGTCTTTGTTACTATGCTTCAAGATAGTGAAATGTGAGCAGAAAGAGAAGAATGCAGACTTAAGGTCCCACAAGTTTCTCTGATCACAGTTTTCAAATTATTCCCCATACCTCCTGATGAAGAGGTGAAAGGTGAGAGAGGAGTTCCAAATGCCCTTATATTGGGTTATAATAAACTGGGTGCTAGTCCTAATGCATCCAGAATTAGCCTTAATGGTTTGCTTATTGTTCTGTGAACTTCTTCAGATAGAAGACATCCTTTGTGTCTTTCCTGGAACTGATGATTCAAATAAATAGAAATGTGGTGCTGTTGCTCTAGCAACAAGAATTGTGAGATAATTAACTCTTGTCTATCTGATCAGTTCTGAATTGTGCATCATTCTAGTAATAAATAGTGTCATCCTCTGCTTTTTGTGGCTTTATAATACTGGAGTTTGAGATCCTGAGAAAAGCGAGGAAGGCAGTGAAAGCAGACCCTGGGGGGTGTGCAAGAAAGGGGCAGGTGGAATCTCTGGGAGACAACTCTTTAAAGGAGCCTAGGAAGACTGGCAGGACACTGAGGATAGCATCTTCCAAGTGAAATAACAGTTCAGGAATGGAGGTAGATCTGCCAGAGACTGTCTTGGCTTTTCAGGGAAAGCTTGACCCCACCATAGCGGGGGGAGGGGAAAAAAAAGTATATGGGAGGTAGGAACAAGTGCTGGCTGTAAAGGAAAAGGCCAGAAATATTGGTCAGGCATGTAGGGGTGGTATTTGGGGATCCAAAGCTTTCCAGTGTGGTGTTGATCAACAGAGAACAGTGGTCTCGTAGCTGAACTGTGTGACTGAACCCGTTTCCCAGCGTGAGCTGTGTGTGACAGTTCCTCAATGCTGCCTTTGCCTCAGTCCTTGCTATCAAGATCTTGGACTTCTGTATTTGGAACAAGGGCAAGCAATGAGTGAAGATGAAGTTGGAGATCAGCTGGGAAAATCTGACCCATGCAAGACCACGGGACGTGATGGGTTGCATCTGAGGATGCTGAAAAAGCTGCCTAATATACTTGCAAAGTTGTTCTATCCTTAAAAGGTCACAGAAAGCATGGGAAATCTGCAATAAAGGAAAGAAAGCAAATATATTGCACCCATCTGCCAAAGGACAGTCTAGGGACCATAAACCAATCAACTCCACTGCGCTCCTTGGAAAAATCATGGGTTTGGGCCCTTTTGGAACACATTTTTGGGTATGCGAAATAGGAGGAGACTGGCAGCAGTCAGCATGGATTTGCCAAGGCAAAATCATGACTGATGATCCCATTTGCCTTCCGTGATAGATTTGCGAGTGAAAGAGATACAGCAATGGCCATCTGCCTTGTCTTTAGCAAGGCTCTCAGCATGGTGTATGCGTGCATCCAAGTTGGGATGTTAGATGGGTGGACAGATAAGGAAAAAATCTGTTTGGACTCTGAAGGTAGTCAAAAACTTGTACTCTACATGGAGGCTGGTGACAGGTGTGGCACTGTGGGACCCTGTTTAACAGTAGTGGCCTGGAGGAGGTGATAGAGGGCACTCCTACTTGCTGAAGTCACCAAATGGAGGAAGCCAGCAGATACGCTTGAGGGCAGGAATGCGCTAATAAGGAACCTTGTACAATGTCCTGAAGTCCAGCACTAAAGAGGAAAGAACCCTTTGCAACACTGCAGTCAGGATTAGTAGGAGACCATCTCTGCTGAGAGGAATGCTCAGAACTGAGGGCAAGAAACAGAATATTTGGAAGAGGAAATGGCGGTAGGAACAAAGGTGCTTGCCTTGCGGAGTGTATGAAGGTATTTTGCCTTACATCCATGCTTCTGCTGTTGTTGTTATCTGTGCCTACTGTCAGAGCATATAACTTTTGTCCTGTTGCTCTTATCACTCATAAATGAGGATGATTTTTTTGCCACATTTAATAGACCTCTTGAGTTCCTTAGCTAAAAAATGCCAGGATAAGAATAAACATTAAAAGCTGAATGACTGCTATTAGGAACAAGTAATGAACATTCTTTCCCCTCACTAAACCATATATTGCCTTCAGAAAATGATAAGCAAATTTAAAAAAAAGAAAAAAGGGGGGGGAGGGGGAGTCAACAATTGAAAGAGCAGTTCTCTTAAGCAGTAGCAGTTTTCTGGGGAGAAGTAGGCATAGTCACCTTTATATGAAAGAAGGAAACGTGGTGAAGTCCTGGTTAGTGGAATTGCTTTTGGCAGTACAGGGTGATCCAACTTTTCAATTTCTGTGTGACATTTCTTACCTACTTTTCTTTGGCTTGCTGGATTGTTGAAATGGACTTTTTTGTTTCCTTCATACACTTCATTATATATGAAATAACTTCTAGATTTCTGAGGTACTATTAGAAGGGGAAAAATCATAGCTTTTAAATACCTTAGTATGCCTGCTGAAAGAAATCTTGCTATTAACGATGTATCAAAGTCATACTGTGGCTGTTCGTCCCAGTTTGGGTAACAGATCTCAGTAGCCCTGCAGGTGGGAAAACGGTTTGTGAGCGCTTATATTCTGGTGTTCTTTTGTTGTTATTTTTCTTTTCATGCACAGATAAAGCATAGACATGCATATTCTTCTGCCTGAAAGCTGAATGTTACCAAATAGTAACGTGCCTTAGGCTGTGCGGAGTGTCGCTCCTGTTCTGCTCAGTTCCCACCTTGTGAGCAGTGTGGGCATTGAAGATAGGTATGCGTACATGAATTCCTAGGAGTTCATTAAATGTTGTTCATTTTTCTCCCTAAATGTGCTGGGGGCACTGCTTTAGTTTTGTTTAAAGTTCAGAGTATACTAGAGACTCTTGGAGCTATTTCTGCTTTAGGAGATGTACAGTTGATGTCACAGTCACAGGGAAACCATGGAGTAGCTAGGAATTTGAATACATATGTTTCTGGCTGCCTGAATTTAAGAAATCAGTTGCTACACGTGTAGCATTCTGAAAAATATGCAGCTTTCAAAATGTTCATTTAAAAATAATAATAATAAAGCATGAGAAGCAGTAAAGTATCTCAGCTCTCTGTGTGTTGTCAATTTATTTCCAAAGGAAGAACAGAGCTTAGCTTTGCAGAGTGTAAGTGGCCCTTCTTTAGTGGTTGTCATGTTTTTCTCTCACCTTTTCCTTGTTGGTTCTTATAGGACCTATTTAGAATTGAATTCATGGCTTTGGAGGGTCTTTTAATAATCTTGTCTGTACTTTGGCTGTTTCTCGTTTGTTTGCAGATAATTTAATGCAGATGTGTTAATCTTTGTACTTATTTACATCTAAAATGACCAAGGTACAAATGTTATTTTAAGACTTCAGCTGACAAGCAGCAATTAAGTTTCAAATATCCAGAGAGTGAAAAATATGGAATAAGTTACACAATATTAAAATGTTTTAGGGGTCAGAGTCGGTTTCTGGCAACAAATAGTATCATAGTTATGTCCTTTTGTTGGTCTTTCCAGTTAAGGCCTTTGAGCATCTACGCTGTTATCCCTCAAAAGAAGCCCTTTTTAGCCCAAGGATTTAAGTGTTTGTGAGAGAACAGAAAGTACTGACCAGTGTTCTGAAACATTTATAAAAGATACAGTTCTGGTTTTGCAGTAAAAACCTGTTAAAATGCTAATTGGATTATTCATACAGTACTTTCTCATTGCAAAAGAATAAAATGTGCCATTGTATTTTTTCTTCTCTGTTTCTGAGTTACACACCTTGCTTTCTTACCTTCCTCCAGCTTCTGTGTGCAGTTCTTTTTTTGGCGATGGATCTTTGCAATGTTTAGTCATGCATCTAAACGAAGCAGTGGAAATAGTCCTTAGAATGTCTTGCTGAGTTGTGCTTCAAGTTGTTCATTGCCAGAGAGATTTAGGTTTGGATGTACTTTGTAAAGAACTCTGGTCTTTGCAGTCGTTATTACTACAAATGAAGGCTATGATTAGAGTATCATGCAAAACAAAGGCAGGCAGAAAGCTGTTATTCTTGGTAGTCTGACATGTACAGTTCAAAATCTAGAATGCACTGCCTGTGCGTAGGAGGATTGCTGCCTCTTCTTGAAAGTTGTATTTCAGACTCTTGTAACAAAAGTATTGTTGCTTCAAACAGGAGACTTTGCTCATCTTGTTTTTTTTTCCATATTTTTATTCTTACGTACCTTGTGCAATACATACAAAAATATATCTAATAAAATGTCCATAAAAATCTTGCTTTAATCTTGCCTTGATCTTGCTGAAATAATTTCTGTACTGGAGAATGCTGCAAGCATTGCATAGCACCATAAGCGTGACCACCCTTCCTTGACAACTTAGAATCAGTGCCCTTGAAATCTTCTGTGGATCTAGGGATATATTTGCAACTCTTTTCTCCAAATAGACTTGTCTGGCTTCCTTTACAGTAAGTGGGATGGTGAGAAGACTGGTTATTTTTGGATGAGTGGGTGGAACAGCACTTCACATGCATTTTTCTACTGTAAGGTTAAATATTAATACCCGTTGCATGTTAAGCACATTTTTCAGGGTAACAAGAATATTATCCCCCCTCAGAAACTACAAGACAGAGCCATTAGCTTTTACTTGGTTATTCTAAATACTTCTTGTGACAAGAGATAGGTATTTCTTTTCTTTTAGGCTTTCTTTTCTACGGTAGTGTCTGTTCCTCGGCAAAACCTGAAGATGGCATTGGCTTCCTGCTTCATTCATCTTCAGAAGCATCTTTTGCTCTCTGAGTGTCCATAGGTATGTTCTGCGTGTGTTCGTCTTCATCTTCTCTTGCCCTAAAATGTTATTCACGAGTAGAAATGTTAGTTAGAGCCAGCTAGAAATTATACTGAAGAAATTTTGCATTAGAATGGTTTTAGATTGATCCAGGTTGATCTAGAAGTGTACCAAACCAAACTCTGTAAATTAAGTCTTATTGGTGGTTTGTGCTTATATGAAGAGAGGATGACTAGTGTATCTTATGCCACTCTTCTTACAGTGGTCTTTCTTGGAGTAACTTTGATTTGGTGTGCAAGGGCAGAAACAGCTATAGGGACTAGGAGAAATGAGAATCAGCCTGGGCTGAGTGGGACATGAAAATTCAGTTCCAAGATGGAATGTTTGGGTTCTGTCCTGGGGACCACAAAGACATCTGATGATATGGGCATGTGCTGTGAGATGAGATGGGAGGCACCAGGGTAGAAATGTAAGGGAAAAAAAGCAGTGCATACTTTCCTTGGTGACTTCTTTTCTCCATGCTTTCTCCTCCATAAGCTGATGCCAGAAGGAGAAGGTGAACCCTTTGTATGTTACCTTTTTTTTTCTGAGAAAGGTACTTACGTCTCCTCATAGTCCTTGTTATCTCGACAGCAGCAGCAGTAGGCTAGAATACCAATAACTACAATTGCAGCAAGAACTCCTCCAGCAATGCCTGCATAAAGGGCAATGTTCATGGATGCTGTAAAGAAGGAAAAGAATTACCTCTTTGCAGTGAGAATGTTATCAAATGTGATCAGCACAAGCATTTGTCTTTAGATCCTACTGACAGAGTTTAACTACAGCAGTTAGAATTAGTCCTGTACTGGGTAGCTGATAAGCCTACAGGAACAGCCCCTGGTTCAGAACAACAGCTGTACTTTCTCGGGATCAGATTCACACTTTCGGGGTTCGGGTTTGTTATGTACACTTCTGGCTTTCTGCAAACTCTACGCATTAGTGAGCACATTTTAAATTAATGTGCTACTCTTCTTGAAAGAAAGCAGAACTTTTACATTTTGTTTACATTGCTTTTGTTAATGCTTTCACAGCTAGCTGGGGTGCCTCCTCTGTTGCTGCACAACATCGACCACTGCCAAGGGGACAGACGGACAGACTGAACGACCAGCATTCCTTCACTGAAAGCCAATTTATTGCTGTGCAACAAGCACTTATATACCGTGACATGTGACCGCCCAGCAAACCCACAAACCTGCCCAGGAAACCTGTGAACCAATCCCACTCCCATTGTACCACCCTCAGCCCCACCTATTACCCCAACATCCTCTAGTACGATTCTTCCAAAGGAATAGACTCTTACGTGGGACAACGCTGACTGTCATGTTGCAAAATTCCTTTCCCACGCTGTTTGTTGAAGTGCAGATGTAAAAGCCGGAGGTGTCTGCTGAGATGTTCTTCAGAGTTATTTGCTCTCCTGTTGTGAAACAGAAGTCCAGTCAGGAGAAGAGGAGAACTTTAGGAGGGAAGGAAATGGGGACAGCAGCTCTTCAGTTCTAGCCCAGGATGGAAGGAGTGAGAAGTTGTTATGGGACAGATTGCTCCCTTTTGCTCAGGTGTTTCTGTGCTAGTCTCTAGGTCTTAGTGTGATTGGTAGGAGGACAAATGGAAGTGTGTTGTTTTCATTACAGAAAATGCAGTACTGGAACATTCCTTTTAGAAAGAAAACAAGAAAACTGTGGGTGGAGGATAAGGAAGTATGTATGCTTAGTGACAGCTTTTCTTGCAGTAGGTAAATGGCCATGAACCCTTTTTGCTTTGAAATGTGAGACGGCACAAACCAGTGGTCTGACTTAGATAAGTGTCCATCTCATGAATTAACTTGTTAAATGGCAAAAAGTTCTTCAGTCCTCCAATCCGTGGGATTTCAGATTTGAATTATGTAGCGGGGGGGGGCAGTAATGTTTTGCTCCAAGAGGGGCCATCCAGGCTGTGGAAATAAAGGAAGCAAAAGAAGTACAGTGGTACAGGAATGCTCTGACACCAGACGCTGCCTATCCAACCTAACAGAGTGCAGAACTGTAACTAAACCTTAGCTTTGTTTGTCAAGTGGTGCTTGTTACATCTCCAACTGTTGCTTGTATGAGTACTTTGATCTTGTTTTCTACTGATAGAGGTCCAAATTCTGCTCTAAAATCCAAAAGCTCTGAATGCTCTTCAGTAGCTTTTTGATATGCTCTCTGTGATTTTCGGTTCTTTCTATCTCTTGTATGGGACAGAGATTCTGTTTAGTCTTTGCTGACGCCTAGTGCCAGCTAGAAAAAGAGCATGCAAACCAAGAATTAACAAGCTCCAGTTGTTTCATTTTTTAAAGTCTGTAATCTGAGCTTGCTTCACGTTTTCTTTCCTCCTCCAATACGATGTTTATAGCTCTCAGAACTGCAGTTTGCTACCGGACTGTAAATTCTACTATATTAACTTTAATTGCTGAGTCAAATTGGAAGAATGTGTGTCAGATACTGTCAATTCTGGAGTGGCTCCTGAGGGAGTTCTGTGGAATGGGTCTTGCTTAGCCTAGCACAGTAAAAAGCGTATTGCTTGGAGTGACAGTGGGGCATGCAGCCACCAGGGGGGCCGGGGACACCTGATTTGCTTACTAACAGCAAATCAGGATGGAAACAGAAATCTGATGGAAACAGAAATCATGTGGAAATGGATCGGAAAAGAACAGAATGAAAGCAGGAGTGAGCAGATAGCTGTTGCTTTGAGAAGACGAATCAGGGTGTGTGTGTAGGGCTGTGCCTGATGCACCGGCACCACTTAGTGGCCAGTCAAGTGACTGTCATTTGTGTTTCTCTGTACGTTCCATTCTTTGGAGGGGAGGGGGAGCATAACTTATACAAGGATCACCTACTGGGAGCTGAATAGCCTACAGTCTTAACATATTTAGTTTAGCAATGCTACAATAACTTAAGCCAGGAAACACAGGTTCAGACATGTAGTCTGTCTCTTTGGAGTTTAACATATCAGGAAGAAAGGAAGTGGCTTGGAGTAATAAATCTGGGTCCTGTGATACTACTGCACTTTAAAGGCTATTAAACTCACATTTTTCTATGAATAATTCTACTTGAGGTCCATGGAAATTCATATCCTTTTCTCAGATTCTGATGTAAAAATAAAAGCAAATAAAGCATTAGGGCTTTTGTGACAGACCTGAAGAATTGGAAGCTTCTTTTATTCTCTAAGTAGGAATGGTGTAACTGTTTCTCATTACACTTTCCTCTAGCTTAAGAGTCATCTCTGGAAGGAAAGAAGCTTCCTGAACCAACTTTTGTTTGCCCTAACTCCTGAAAGTGACCTGCTTATTGTCAAGTGAGCTGAGATATAAAGGGACACTAGAAAACTGGATTTTACTCCTTGTGCTATCCCACCCTTACATCCAGCAATTGAGTAGGAATTATTTTTGGCCGCTTCCAAAGAGAGACAGCTTTCTTGCCAGGTAAGAACTAAAGTGCAAGTCTTAGTGACCACTGTTATTGCAAGTAGCAGTCCTTTTCACCTTGTTAAGTTACTCAGGAATATATCTTATGAAAAGGACAATTTCTTAAAATCCTGGTTAAAGGATTTCCTAGAAAAAGAGTTCTAGTGTGGTTTTTTTATTTGCATTTCAAAGTCTTTGTAACCTGGAACTAGAGAGAGCTCAAAGCCTTGGTGTCTTTGAAATTCCCATACCATTTGTTGTTTGTAGTACACGGGGCTCGTTTTGTACGTTGAAGCTTTGCCAGGTATATGTGGGTTTTGGGGAGCCCTCATGAGAAAAGCAGGTTAGATTGATAGTCTGTCCATATTCTGCTGTGCCCACAATCTTGCATTCCGGCTTGGATGGTGCAACTAAAGGAAGGAAAAGAGAATTTGGTTAATCATATGTAGTATTTTGTTTCAACCCATTTCCTGCATTTGTGTTTTTATTCCTCCTGAACAGAGGAACAGTCTCTTCTCAGAGGAAGATTGTCCCTAATCAGTGTATTCCTTCTTGATGCTTGTTGGTCAAGAAGAAAATGTAAGATACGTTTTGGGATATCTCTAATAATGTTGGGTAACTCTTCCTTTGATAACTGGAGAGTGATAAGCCAGAGTGCATGAGGAGAGATCTGTAATGAGCTTACTAAGTTACTAGGAAAATGACCTATACAACTCTAAATATTTTCTACAGTAAAGTATCTAACAGATTTGGATGCTTTAAGCCTTCCAACCTACCTCTGTAGTTGTAGGAAAAGACCAAAAAGAGGATTGTGGATTATGATTTACTAGGAGATATTTCTTCTATTAGAAAGTCAATTTTATAAAAAAAACAAAACAAAACAAAAAGAAACCAACAGTATGGACTTTAGAAGAAGGATAGTGGATTGTCTAATGAATCTAATGCTTACTGAGGACGTAAAGACTTGTGAGTGCAGACTGCCGGGGGGGGTCATTCCGTAGACGGACGCTGCATATGTATGTCCCATTGTCTTCCATGGTTACTGCATTGATGGTGATGCTGATGTCTCCACTGTTGACATCACCAGTAAACTGTATTCGGTTCTCATACCCCTTGCCATACTGTACAAGTCCATCAAAATACCTAGTGACAGCATCATCCTGTCAGAGAGGGAGGGAAACTAAGCAATCTTAGGTTCTTCTGTGCAAGTCTATGGTCTAACTCCATAGATTAGCTCATTCTTAAGAGAAGAATAACTCAGAAAAGAATAACAGGGAAAAAAAACAACAACTTGGAAGTTCAAAAGAGCGAGGGTTTCTGTCTGGAATCCTCCTTACATCTTTTCTGCCAATTTCTTTTGCTGGGTCTTTTTTAATTTTCCTCACCATGATTGGACATTATGAGACTTGTTTGATATCCATGTGTCAACAAAATCCTCCTATGATTATACGTATTCCTTTGCCTTCTTCCAGCAATGATCTTAGGAGAAGAAACCTTTGGCAATTACTGCAAGGAAGGCTTCAAGTGCTGCTTCTCCTCTCACTAATCCCCAAGAGCAACTTTAGGGGTCTTTATGTTGTATTCCCTCTGAATGTAAGAGACCTCAAGAATCTCCCCATGTACTAGTATCAACTAAAACCTCTTATACAGCATCAAATACATAAATACGTATATACACAATATATGTATACTACACATACATAAAAATTTACAAAGCTTTTTATAAAGTATCTGAATATATCATACATAAACAGATATAAACCCAAGAGACATACAGCAATGTATCCTCAATATACAGTTGCAAGACCAAAAGAGAAAGAAGGGTGGGGACTTGCCTAATATCACACAACAGATTTGTATTCAATTGAATCTACCATTAAGATTTCTAATTGCATAGGTCTGAGACTAAAGAAAGTCTTGAAGGGATCCTTTCCTTCTAAAACACGTTCCCACTGTCCTGCTTCCATCTTTCTTCCCACCTCCCTCCTGGATGCCCTATCGTATGTTTTGTCATGCAACTTGATTTACCGCACTAATGATTTTCTTCCAGACAACAAAATCTCCTGAGCTGGTGACCATATTAGTATTAAAATTACAACGGAGAGTAGCATTGTTCCCTCGTGCAACCTCTACTTTCTTGATAGGTGTTTCCACAGTGAGGGCATAAGCAGTCACCAGAACTAGAAAGAGAATAAATTCATTAGTCAGCAAAACTAATGGCATCTGATTTCTACGTTTGACTTTTTTACCTGCCACAATAACCTACAACCTCCCCCCTGTTAGTCATGGCATTCTCTTCTGAGCAGGAGGCAACATATGCTGCTGCTGACCCTCTATAGGGAGCTGCTGCACAGGATGGTGGAGAGCTAAGCTCTGCTTTCTTTGCCTCACTTCCCTCTTCTTTATCTGCACAAACACTTCTGTGGACTTTATAAAGGTGTAATCTGTTTTGAGCCCTCTTTCTATATTTTTGTATAGCACCATTTGGAAACTCTGCATCTGAAGCCAGATAGAATGTAGGGAGAAGGGACAGGAAATGCTGCTTGGAGGCATTCCTGCAACAAGGAGGAGTAAGGTCCAGTAAGGAGAAAGATGGAAGAGGACAGAGATGTATGCTCCCCTGAGAGGGGCATGCTGTAGTGGTGAAGGTTTGCTTCTGGAGTGACCAGGCTGAGTTGGTGCTCCTCAGGAAGGATGTGAGTAAAATACTGCCATCTAGCAAGCATGGTTCAGCCATGGTTCTGTTTGTCTGAGATCCACAAGGAAATGGAGTGCATAAGGGAGAGAAGAAAGGACATCTGGATTTCAATGTGAGTTGCACAAGGATTGTAAATACAAGCTTTTTTAGACAAAAAATTGTCACAGCCACATGCCATAGGTCAATAGAAATGAGCCATTGGCAAATCAACACTACCAAATCCTGTACTGTAGTAGTAGTGCACTATATTCTCCCTTTAAAAAATAACGACGTAAGGACCCAAAAGATTTTGATTTTCACCACAGGTTAGTATGAGACAGCTGGCACTAGGATCTGCTCCCCAATAAGGGGCAAAACCTTCTGCAGCAGCTTACTGGTTCCAGTCTGTTTCCCACAGTAAATGGCCTTTCAGTCTCTTTGTAGACACGGCCTATCCTGCCAGAACTGCTGCATTTCCCTCTCCTGAGACGAGATGAATGGGAATTTCCACAGCAGCCACACCTTTTCTCTCCTCTGCACACTCTTTCCTTACTGCAAGGCAGAGATGCCCTCCTTTCCACAGCTGTCTTTAGAAAGCTTCAGGCGTTTTCAGCAGAACTGCCAAGATTGGTTTTTCTGCTTGGTAGCGTCCTGGTAAGAAAAGGCTCATTGACTGGAGAAAGTTGCCACCTTTCTGTGTTCTCAACTCTGTAATTGAGTTTTCTGTGGTCTTGATTATTAAGCATATTGGTTTCTTCCTCATGGCAGTAGTGGTTTCTACTCTCTAAGGCACTGATTCATCTGTAACCATTGACAGCCACACAAGGGAAACTAGAAGGGCAAAGTACCTCTAGCATTGTTTTATTGCAGCCACTCCCTGGTCTTTCCCAGTTCTGCAGCAGTCAGCACAAGGGCCACGCTTGCACAGCCTAAGGGCTTTCTGACTGTTTCTAATCATTCCCCCTGCATGAGAGGCACCTATAAAAGCCATCTTGTTGCCTGTTGCAACTGGATAGAGATGCTTTCCTACATTGAGGTGGAAAGCATCATAATCTGTACTAGAAGATGAAGCAAAACCAATTTCCTGATCCTTTTGTCACTCAGAAACTTGTTCCACCAGGCCGGGCTTCACTGACAGGTCATTAACTTAGCCCTGAGGCAGAGGAGAAACTGTCCAGCCCTAAGGCTTCACTCAGAAGTGCTGTGGCTTCTTCCAGTTGGATGACTGAAATCCTACAGTAAAAGAGATTTGGCTTTTGTTTTGTTTTCCCAAACATCTTCAGTGCACGGTCATGGAACAGTGGTGTACTGAAGAAACAGTCTGTAACAAGAGAGATGTCTTATTTGTGTGTTGCTGTTATCCTAATGCCCAACATCTTCTGATGCTCTCCTATTTTTCACCTATGACATCTTTTTCTTACTTCCATGTTGCCTGTGTTACATCTCCTTTTGGCTTTCAGTGAAGCTGCATGATCTCATCCTGAGGTGCAGTTTACATTGCTGATTTCTCTCCATCCTTTTTCTCACCACATTTGACCCCATCAAAGTCACCACCAGCCAGCTGGTTACTGCTGGTATGTATTTTGAATAGATTTAGTCCCCGTTTCTTATGTAACTGAAAGGACAGGAGAATCAGTTCTGACAGAACTTGAGGAAAACAGTGGGGACAAATAACCACTATATCACTAGATGGATGGCATCATCTAGATTTAAGCCTTAGGATTACTTTTTGTCATTATTAAGTATGTTTATAATATTTTTTTTTTAAATTGAGAAAAGTTTTACCTCCCTCTACTCAATTTAAAACATTAGTACTAGTGCAAAGGAAGAAGAAAATCAGTGTTTACTTTCATATTGTTATTGTACACATACTAGTGTGTAGTATCAATACAGAGTGAAAGGCAATTAGTAGAGCTGAAACCAATTAAAGGGATATTTTCCGTGCTGAAAAGATTCTGATCAAGCAGGACTGTTATTGCTGAGTTGCCTTGGTTAGTTAGGCTAGTGAGGAACAGAGCTGAAAAGTGTTAATTCACATTTTACAAGGAAATGCTTGGATTTAATTTCTACTAAGAAACTTAGCTGAAAATCAGTTCTGACATGGGAGGGGGAAAACCTCTCACGTGTGAGATCTGCGTTAAAATTAAGTATTCTGTTTGATTCAGAATGACCAATTTGGGGCCTTCCATTCAGCAAGAAGGATGCAGTAGCAGTCAGTCTCACACTGTAGTGGGAAGTTCAGCAGAACGCAGCCTTCACAGACAGCTTGGTATGAGTCATTCAAGGCAGCTCTTGCGTTCCCACCCCGCACTGCAATGTGTTGTGTAGTTGTTCTGCTCTAGTGCACTGGAGGAAGCTACTATACTTCTTCATTATATTTTTTTCACTCTGAATTATCATTTGAGTCCCAGACAGCCAAGAGCTTCACGCAATGTACAGACGGTAAACTTCTCTGAGCAGAAATCCATAATTAAGATAGCATAAAGGGTGAGGATAAGGAAAAAGATGAACAAATACTAACACTGTTATGCAATTTACACAATGATCGCCAGATTATGACTCAAGTCATGTTTGTTTTATTCAGTGCATGATTCCTTTTCCTAAATAGATTAAACCTCGTGAATTTCCTTCCTGTGGGTCTGTTTGTGGAAGCAAGGCTTTCAGGAGTTTTGATTGAAAAACTGAGTGGTTTCCATGTAAGTAGCTTCCTTTAAAGTCTGAAAGATGACATAGGACCATTTATAGGAGAAGACAAGAACGAAAGCAGTGAGACTCAGACTCTGCAAGGCGAGGTAAGGAAGAGGGAGCCTGACAAAGGCCGGGGCAAACTGCAAACACATAGGCAGGGATCACTGTGCATCCCTTTGACGCAAGTAATATATAAAGATAACAGATCATACAGAGTATTTATAAACAGTAGGAGTTAAACTCATGGAGACATTTACTCCATGCAGATATATGTATAAAAGAATAAAACTCAAGGGCTTTTCCACTTTAGTTGAGGAAATGCCTTCTTGAAGACGAAATGCTGCGTTTAACAGGAGGCGTTACAATTGGTTTCAGAGATATTTTTCGGCCTCTTGAAGTACAACATTCTTTTCCTGTTTCTTAAGTTGACTTGTAGCTTTACGAAATGCTTGTGAGTCTGGGCATTGAGCACAGGGAAACTGCATACGCCTGCCTGATCATCAACGTGCAGAAACTTATATTAAACCAAAGCACACCAAGTCTGCTGTATTACTCAGATTTTGTTGTGCTGTTTCCTTCTACCCAACCCTTGAAGATACAACCAAATCAGTACTCACCTGAACTGCAAACGAACAGCTGAAGCCCTTTCATTGCTGTCCTCCTCCTTTCACCTCAGGGTGCTCTTCCTTTTAACTTGGAGGTGGCTAGAGAAGAAATTGACTTTAGCTGAAGGCTACTGCACAGTGACATCACAGGTCCACTTCCTCATACTCTTTTAAAGTGCTCTGCTTCGCCCCTCCTCCCACCCAGAATGGGAAGTTGGATTACCAATAGCATTTGATATCTCTTGCCGCTCTCTGCCCCCTGGAGTCAGGAAACGTACCCTCTTGTGAACTTTCTCCCCCAGTTAACTGCCTCTCCCAGTTTCTCATAACACACAGGAGCGTAAGGAGAGAGTGGAGGCAATCCAAGAGTACGATAATTGGGAGTGCGCAACGCAACGGCTGAAGTCATTGTTTGGCGCGTCTGAGTTAATGGCGGGGCAGAGGCTGTGATGCAGACAAGAAGACGGCCTGGTGCTCCTGCAATTCCACCACCCTGCTGTCGCGGCAGAGAGACAAGGCACGCTGAGGGTAACGCCAGGTCATGTCTGTCACAGGTGGATCCACTTCCGGTAGTTGTTCTTCATCTCTGTGGTAGATCTGCCTCCATGGGCAATCTTAAAACTATAGCAGCGTAATCATGCATCATCTGGCAAAGGGAATGAAAAGTAGTTTAAAAACGTTTCCCGATGGTACAAGACTGTTGAGAGCAGTGGAATTTAAGAGTTGTAGAAATATGCGAAGATACCAAGTAACTGAATTACAAAGTTGTTTAGGAATTCTGTATTTTCAAATGTTATATTGTTAAATGTAAATGAAAACAGACAAGAGAGGAATCTATGCAAGGATGAATACTGAAGTTGTGGATAATTCTCTTAAAAACTGATTAGGTACTTAGTGATGGAGGTAGGTAAATCTACAAATGATTAGTGAAGCAATAGGAAAGAAAAATGAAAAATCATTACAACTATATAAAATACAATGCTCTTGTACTTGTAGTGCTGTCAGCACATACTGTTATTCCCTAACCCCTTCTAAAGGGATTAAAAAAAAAAAAAAAAAAAGGCAAAGTAGAGAGTAAGGCATAAAAATGTAAGAACTGCATTAATGGGAAAGACCAAAAGCCTACTGTCCATTTTTCTGACAGCCAGCAGTGGTGGATGTCCAGAAAGAATCTAGGCCAGGTGCAGTGATGCATGACTATGATTTGTAGCTCAGGGATTTCCTGGTGCCATATCTTTGTAAAACTTGGAGCCCTGGACAGATTCATTTATTTTTTTCTCACTTTGTTCAATCCTTTTTTGAAACCACGTAAACTTATAGCAACAACAGAATCCAGTAGAAAGGTGTCTCACTGGTCAGAAGTACAGAAGAAGTTCTGCATCAAGCAAAATTAAGGTAGACTGTGATTATTCAGCTTGGAAGAAATATGGATGAGAACATTATAGAAGGTTCCTGAGCAAGGCAACCAACTTTTTCTGTTGCAAGTCAACAGAAAAAGGAGGGGTAAGAATAAGGCTAAGAAGCTCAAAGCAAAAAAACAGAAGTTGGATATAAGTGAAGTCTTCCAAGCAGTGCCTGCCACTCTGCAATCACTCAAGGTAGTAACAGATCTTCTGTGGTACTTTGCCAGGAAATACAAACCAGTACCTGCATAGATCTGTCAGATGATATCATGAATGATAGTGGTACAGTCCTTTGTAATTCCAGCCTCCTCCTCTGTCCATAAGCCAGTTTCTCCCAGTTTGCCCTAGGAATTTAGAAGAAAATCATAGCATCTGATGATCTTTGTGGGTCTCTTCCAGCTAGGGATTCTGTGAATCTTAGCCCGATGTTCAAAGCTTTTATGCTCGTCTGTCCAACTGCATGGCTTGCACAACAGCTGTGTGTGCCAAAGTTACTTCCTCTCTTTCCTCTGAAAAAGGCTGTTGAATAAGCTGATCAATGGCTTGCAGCATGCTAGCTACACATTCACTGAGGCATGTACAGTGAAAGTCCAGCCACTGCTCACATGTTCTGTATGGACAGTTGGAAGGCAAAAATTCCCACTAATTTAATTGACTGAATGTCTTGGTTTTGGCTAGGATAGAGTTAATTTCCTTTGTAGAGGATTAAATTGTGCTGTATTGTAGATTTTTGATGAAAACAGTGGTGAGAGCACACTGATGATTCAGTTGTTGCAGAGCAGTGCTTGCAGAGAGCCAAGGGCTCTCCTGCTCCTTGTGCCGCCCTGCCAGCCAGGAGCTGGGGATGCACTGGGAGCTGGGAAGGGATGCAGCCCAGACAGTGACACAGACTGGCCAAAGGGATGTCCTCCACTGCACGTCCTCATGCTCAGCAACAAAAGCAGAAAGAACGAGGAAGAGAAAGGCATTCAGAGCGATGGTGTTTGTCTTCACAAGGAACCACTAAGCGTGCTGAGCCCTACTTTCTTGGGAGTGGCTGTACACCTGCCTGCCTGTGGGAAGCAACAAATGAATTCCTAGCTTGGGTTTGCTTGTGCGTGCAGCTTTTAATGTACTTAGAAAACTTTCTTTGTCTCAACTCATGAGTTACCATCACAGTTCTCTCCCTGACCCCACCTGGAGAGCATGAATGAGAGGTGCTGAGGCTGTGTGTGGCTGCCTGCTGGGTTAAACCTGTACTCTGGAGAATGAAAGGAGGGCTAAGGGCAGTTCTGGCAAATACCTGATGTTACATTTAACTGATGCAGCTGGCCATTATGCTTTTTAAACTCTTTGCTGCCAATGGACACCTGGGATGTCTCCGTAGACAGTAAGTAAACATGCTGGCACTGTGATGGATAATGCCCTGTTTTTGGAGACTTAGCTAGATAAATCTGTTGTCCTAAGTTCTATAGACAGAATATACTTCAGCATGTTCAGTACATGTACATAAATCTGATATTAAGCAATTTGTTGAGATGCCCTCTATTTACCACTCCTGTTAGTTTGGGATATTCAGACTCTTAAATCCTGATAATTTTCCCCAACAGTTCTTTTTTTGCGGGCCTCAGGAGTTTTTGATAAATGTGGGAGACAAATGCACAGTTTAGCTATAAGAATTCTGTAGAGCTCTGTGTGCAGGAATGGGACAGCTGGAAGTTTTAAGGGATTTTAATTTGGTTTTTGTGTTGACTTTCTTTCTTTTCTTGTAGTATGTGCTACAAAACTCATAGGCATTGACACCACCATGATCCCATAAGCTGTTAGAACAAAAGGTAAGGAAGAACTTTCAGGCAGTCTGTGTTTCTCTATGTAATATATGCAGGTCCTATTGGAATCTCTACCTGTGGGTGACTGTGATGGGCTTGGCAGGATTTTCTAGTCCTATAAATACCTTGGGCATTGGCACAAGCTGCCCAGGGAGGTGGTGGAGGCCTCGTCCCTGAAGGTGTTCAGGAACAATGTAGATGTGGCACTGAGGGATGTGGTTAGTGGGCATGGAGGGATGGGTCACTGGTTGGACTGGGTGATCTTAGAGGTCTTTTCCAATCTGAATGATTCTATGATTCTAAGTTTAACATGTATCCAAAGATTCACATGGTGGATTTTCTGAAGCAATTCCGTGACTTAAAAGCATCTGTTTTTATTGGATGTCTATGGTGTATGTGCTCCTGAAACTCCATTCTCCAATAATATGGGAGCCCATTAGCAAACTTATTTGGATCACTTCCTGCCTCAGTTAGCAGCAACTAACATTAACACATGTAGCACTACATTTGAGAAGGGGCTAAAACTTGCATCGTCCAGAGAAGACAGCTGTCAGATCAACTAATTCTTCCTCTTTTGGTACATTAGGATCTGTTCAAACCTGTAATCCAAAATCCATTTCCCCCTTGGTGTGACTCCCAAGATTCAATATATCACTTTTTCTTGTTCCTGCTTGCCTGGCCCAGTAAATGGATAAAGACAAGTCTAGGCTATGAGTACACAAAAGAACTGGGTGCCTGCTTCATGGTTCTTCCCTGTTGCCATGCAGCATCCCTGCAGATGTGGCCCCATCCCATGGTGGGGATGCAGCACTCGGGTATGAAGCACAGGGCAGATGCACCCCTGCCCAGCACACCATGGCAGCACAGAGCTATGCCATGAGAAGGGTCAGTACCCTTTTACATGTCCTTTCTTGTTCACTTTATGTTTGCAGAAGGAGTCAACAGTGGGATATCACCGCATGACTCAGAACTGGAGCCATCCGTACTGTAAACAGCGGTTCCAGCTTCCACCGTGTTTTCCCCCACCAGCTGGTCTGGCAAGCTTTGCTGGGAGTCAGCAAGTCCAGAATGGAGGTTTCCTCTTTGAAGTGGTATCAGAGGAAGACGCAGTGCACCTCAGTGCTAGCTTATCCAGAAGTGAAATGCCACTCGCTTCCAGTGAGCTCAGGATGGCCCACCCCTCACTGTGTGTCCCAAGGACATCGGGGCTCACCCCAGCATTTCAGGTTGTGCCTGGCTAGATCCCAGGCACCTGGAGGCTCCCAGCAGGTGAGGCCCAGCCTCGGTGGCTCTGGTCTCTTCCCTGGGTGCCTCCTGCAAGGAGAAAAAGCACAGGGGAATACGTCCTGCAGCAGGGAAGGAGTTAAGCAGCTGACCAGCTGCCGCCTGTGAGGCACTGAATTCCTCTCCGTGCAGCCCAGCAGCCAGCACAGGGACAGGCTATATTTAGAGGGCTGATAAAGGCTTGGTGCCGACAGTTGTCCTGCCCCTCGATGAAGAAGGCACGGGGAGAGAGGGGGGCAGTGGGTTTCTCTCCCTCATACAGCTCCCTGCCAGGTTTCCTGCCCCGCTCTCAGGGCTCCTTCGCTGTGCCCCGACGGGGACATAGCCCTTCATCCAGGCACAGGCGGTAAGTGCCATTTCCTTGCTCTCTGCCTCCCTGCTGCCCTGTCAGCTTGCTGCTTCCACCCAGGGAGGTGGCAGCAGACGTGTTTTCAAGCGCCAGGCCAAGCAATGGCCGTCCTGGGTGAGCACGGCTGCCTCCCAGCAAAGGGCTACAAGGACAAAATCCTGAGAGTTAAGGCTGGCCGAAACCATGGCTTTGGCTTGGAACTGGAGGAGCATTTCATGCTGGGGAGGTGAGGTCTCATGTTTCTTTCTCTGACGCTCTCCTGTCCCAGCCTGGCAGCATACAGCTCCGTCCAGAGACCATGCACAGGGGGGAGATAGAGTTTCTGCCACGCCAGCCTTCCTCCTAGCCTCCTGCATGCTTACTCACGGGCAAAGAAGGCCCTGGTGCCTGCTGGGCACCAGCCAGCGAGCGGCACGAGGACACAGGATCGGCAGGTGCCCTGGCAGAGAAGCCGACACGGCTCCTCGCACCACCGCCTTGCTTGGGAAGATATGCGAACCCTTCTGCCCACCCTGTGGCAGGGTTCACCACCAGCCTGGTGCTGCCTGTAACGGTGCTGTGTTGCGGGTTCCTCCCTTCCAGTGAAGCCTCCCTCAGCTGCCATGGCCAGCGGCGGGGATTCAGACAGCGAGCAAGTGGTGCCTGATGAAGAGAAGGATGGCCCAGACGTGAAAGCAGTGCAGGCCCGCTACCTGCGCAGCCCTTCGCCCAGTCGGTGAGTGTGGTCTGCCTTTCCCTTCTTCTCTCTAAAAGCACATAGTCCATTTTTCTGCCCACTGTAAGGACCTGTGCATGTTTTATGTCCATGTTGGTCCTTTTCTTTTTTTTTTTCCCCCAAGAAAGACTGAGGATCTTTGGATTTGGGTTTGGTTGAGAGCTATCTTTAGCTGCAGGGTTTGGGTACCGAACAGGAAGCTGTCATTGAGCAAGCAGTGAGTTAGTGCATGTAAAAAAGGTATGATTTACTCCTAAAACATGGAAAAAAGTCACAGAATCATGGAATCACTAAGGTTGGAAAAGACCTCCAAGATAATCTAGTCCAACCATTCACCTACCACCAATATTGCCCACTAAACCGTGTTGCTTAGTATCATATCTAAGTAACCCCTTTTACTGCTTTCCAAAGCAAAATGCTCTGCAGGACTTTCAATACATTCTGAGATGCTTTAACTGAAGGCAGGGAGGAGGGGTCTGTTTGAAAAAAATCTGCCCCAGTGACCTCTTCAATCAGAAGGCTATGAAACATTTCACATTAGGACCCTCAGCTGTGGGGCACTGCAGAAAAATGTAGGCAGAATGCTTATTTCATTTCATTACATGCATTCAAGAATTGTTTAGGAAATTCACTGAGCTCATATAAAGTAAAACTAGGTGTTGATCTTCATAGATCACTCTTCTTCCGTGACCAGTTATTCAAAGTGAGCCCCCCTTCCCCTTCTCTTTTCTCTCCTCCCCTCCTTTCTCCTCTCTCCCCCCCTCCCCTCCCCTTTCTTCCAATGCTTCATCACTTTTTCAGAGAAGAAATGTTTCCTAATACCCAACCTGAACCTTCCCTGCCACAGCTTGAGACCATTCCCTCTTGTCCTCTTGCTGTTACCTGGGAGAAGAGGCTGATTCCCACCTCACCACAACCTCTTTTCAGGCAGTTATAGAGAGCAATAAGGTCTCCCCTGAGCCTTCTCTTCTCCAGACTGAACAATCCCAGCTCCCTCAGCCACTCCCCATAAGATTTGTGCTCCAGAACCGTCACCAGCTTTATTGCTCTTCTCTGAGGCTCCAGGCTCTTGATGTCTTTCTTGTAGTGAGGGCCCCACAGCTGAACACAGTACGCGAAGTGAGGCCTCGCCAGTGCTGAGCACAGGGGATGATTACCTCCTTGCTCCTGCTGGCTACGCTGCTTCTGATACAAGCCAGGATGCCATTGACCTTCTTGGCCACCAGGGCACACCGCTGGATCACGTTCAGCTGAGCGTGGACCGACATCCCTAGGTTCATTTCTTCCACACAGTCTTCCAGCCACTCTGCCCTAAGCCTGTAGTGTTGCCTGGGGTTGTTGGGCCAAAGTACAGGAGCTGGCACTTGGTCTTGTCGAACTTCATCCCATTGGCCTCAGCCCAGCGATCCAGCCTGTCCAGATCCCTCTGTAACACCTTCCTACCCTCAGGTAGATTGATGCTTCCTCCAAACTTGTTGTCACCTGCAGATTTACTGAGGGTGCTCAATCTGCTCATCCAGATCATCAGAGAATATTAAACAGAATGGACCCCTATGCTGACCCCCTGAGGAACACCGCTAGTGACTGTTTCAACCTTAATGCTTGTATTGCTTGTCATAACCCAAAGGATGCATACAGACAATTAGTAAGAAAAAAACAAATGGCATTTTTGTATCATAATTAGTTTTAAATTGTTTAATAGGACAACATTCATGTCTGTCTTCTGAGGTGAGAGCTATTTGTGAGATTGTTTTATTTGATCCATCCCTCTTCCTGTCTCAAGCCAGACATCTCTCTGCCCAAAACCTTCCTCATTGGCCTATTCTTCTGTACTCCCAGCTCACAGGAGCTCCTCTCCCTCAGGATCTTTTTTATATAGATTGAAAGGCATATCTGAAGCCTTTAGCTCTCCTCTGGAGAGCAGTGTGAGGGTTCAAGAAGAGCTGGGCTCCCATTCTATCATCAGTAGATCCTTTTTGCTCCAGTTCCCTCTTGTACTCCTCTAGAATGGGTATAAGGGTTAATGGGATCATGGGTCATGGAAATGGGATCCCAGCAGAGAGCATTTGCCTAAGAGGAAGTGTGGTTGGTTGGCAGGTACTCGATGATATCGGACACTGATACAGAGAGCATATTCATGGAGCCTATCCATCTGTCATCTGCTGTGGCTGCCAAACAAATAATCAATGAAGGTAAGAGGATGAAATGTAAAAGAAGTACAATCATAGTAGAGACTTGAGTTGCAATTGTTTTGCCTTTTACATTCAGAGACCTCAAAATGACAAAAAAGCCTTTATGAGCAAACCACATCTGGGGCAGACGTGAAAACCATGAAGAAATCATAGAATTACAGAATCATTAAAGTTTAAAAGACCTCTAAGATCATGTAGTCCAATCATCTACTCACCATCACCATGCCCACTATCCAATGTTCCTTGGTGCCACATGTCCAGGGTTCTTGAACACATCCAGGGAAGGTTGCTCCACCACATCTCTGGACAGCAAATAACAATATACAAAAAGGTTTTGTGACTTCCTTTGAAGTTGTGGACTGAATCTGTGGCAGAATCATGTATTGCAGTGGTGGAGATGGTTTGGTTGCTAGTTACATGCTGCAGTAGTGTCTTCTTCCATTCTTTTGGGGCTGGAATAAGCATGCACTTTAACTCCCAAGCCGCTGTATCTCTGGACTAAGAGGACTATATTCTTTCCATTATAAAATCCTTCAGGCTATTAGGTAAGCATGTATGTGCATGCATTGCAGACAGGACAGTGTGAGGTCACAGGGAAAAAAATTCATAAGCATTATTTTGGGAGCAAAGAATGTCAGGTTGTGTATTTGATTTGTTTTTACACGATTTTAGTTAATTGTCAGTTTGTTCCAGAACTGAAGACGAAGCACATCAAGGTAGATATAGTGTGTCCCAAGATGTTAGAGTCTGCACAGCAGTTGATGGTGGAAGACCTGTACAACCGAGTTAAGGAAAAGATTGATGACACCAGCTTGTTTAACACTCCATGTGTCATGGACTTGCAGAGGGCACTTGTAAAGGACAGGCTGGAGACTCCCAGGGATGCTGTGGATGAAGTCTGGCCTAATGTCTTCATAGCAGAAAAGTGAGTGTCAGCCTTTGTATCAAGTTGCATGATATTCCCAGTGAAGGGTGAGATGAAACCACTGATGGCATAACATATATTACATGCATCTAATACCTTTCATCCCTAAAAAGTCACAGTGTTTTTTAGAATATAAATCATAGAACCATAGAATTATTAAGGTTAGAAGAGACCACTAAGATCACCCAGTCTAACCACTACGCCATCCCCACTGTATGTCCACTAACCATGTCCCTCAGTGCCACATCTACATGGTCTTGAATACCTCCAGGGACAGTGACTCCACCCCATCCTTGGGCAGCTGGTGCCACTGCCTCACTGCTCTTTCTGAGCAACTTTGTGCCATCTGAATATGTGTTCACATATATGCTCGCATAGATCACATAGTGCAAAGATCTCTGTGTGCTGAGAAGTAAATATGTCTGGATCAGAATTCAGCAGCTTTCCTATGCTATTTTAAAGCTTCAGAAAATGTTGCAAAAGAAAATGAGCCCAAATTAAGCTCTTCTTGTTGGAATTTGGCCTTGAAATTGGGAGTAAAGTCCTTCTTGTGTAAAAGAAAATTGAAAAAGAAATACCATAGCAAATGTGGAATGGAAATGGCTAGGTCTCCTGTACCACTGAGACACCTGTACAGGTGACCAGCACAAAATTAGAAGGGGATACAGTTTAAAACATCAATTGTGGGGTAATAAAAATGGAGAAATAAGTAAATGGCATGAACCTAAGATGGCAGGATGATTTTAAAATCAAACTGAAGTTGAAACAGGGTGTGCAGCAATACTGATGAGTGCAGGTTTATTTTTTCCCAGTGAGTGTTGTAGAGAAATGTTTGCAGAACGCTCAAAAGACCTTAAGGTCTGAGGGGAGCCACGTGTTGGATGATTTGGGAATTGGGTAGCTCTTGCAACACACAGCTTCTTCACTACCTGAAATCGGAACACTGATATCCAACACCTTTTCTTTTCTGAAGGAGTGTTGCAGTGAACAAAAGTCGTTTGAAGAGGCTGGGCATTACACACGTCTTGAACGCAGCCCATGGTACAGGCGTATACACAGGACCAGATTTCTACAACGGTCTAAATATCCAATACATGGGCATCGAAGTGGATGATTTTCCAGATATGGATATCTCCAAACACTTCCATCCAGCTGCAGAGTTCCTGGATGAAGCACTGCTGACTTACAAGGGTAAGGCAAAAAGATTATACTACTTTGGAATGCTTGGGAATTAATGGATGGAAGTGCTACTCTGACAAGCAGCGGATGCTACAGTTTTAAGTGGGTAGAGGGTAGATTCATTGTTCTTTGTATCCAAGTATGGTGAACACTTACTGTCCATTTCTGCAGTGCCTCATACAAAACAGAAAGCCATTTTCAATAGCTCACCATTCTGAACAAGAGGAGGGACACTCTGCTCCTCCATGTTCTTACTCATAACTCCCATTTATTCCCTTTGCATATGACTGATGCTCAGTTTGTGTCACTGTTGACTTCAGCTCACTAAGACAGCAAATCCAACTGCCTTCCAAGGAAGAGATGATTTTTTACAAGGCTAGTAAGCTGAGTTACATCATCAAGAGGTACCAAAGATTACACAGGGAAAGATGCGGGAAGACAGAAGAAAGGAGAGGAATGAGATCTCCCACTTTGGATGAGCTATTAGATAGGCTTTACTGGCTGTTAAAACACTTGGAAGACAGCTAAGTCTCTTGTACTAAGAAAGATGTAAAATACATTTATTTGGAAAGTGTAGGAATAGGTGCATTAAGAAAATGCCTATGGTAACACATCAACAGTCAGGCAGGAGGTGTTTAAACTGGCTTCATTAAGCTTCAGTGCAAAGAGCACGTTGATAAATTGGAGTTTATCACACATCAGGGAACAATAATGTCAGTTGTTTGCAGGCTAGGAAAGCCTCATTTATTCTCTTTGTATTCACAAGCTTTTATTTAACTTTAATTTGCTGTAAAACTGTATTTAAAAAACAATCTTTTTGTGCCAAAGCTTAGTTTTTTTTGCAAGATATGGTTATTGTGTAAACACTGTGAAATACAGCAAATCATTCTGGCTCTCACTGTTTAAAGAATAGTGGGTCCCAAACTTTGGAGTAAGTACCTATGTCAGCTTACTGGAGTCAAAATCAGCTCTCTTCTTCTAGTTGCTTGGTCCTTCTATTCTGAGATTTATTCTGGCTCTGGCCTCTAGCCAATCTACCTGTAACAGATTTGGTGTGCCCTGCAAAACAGCAGATATGTGCTCTGGGGGAAAAAAAAAAAAAAAAAAGATTAAATTAATATAAAATTATATTTAAAAGTCCAATGACATTCCTAATTGATGTTATTTGTGTATCCTTCCAATACCTTTCTGGAGGCTACTGCTAACATCTCCCTTTTCACACATGGGAAAACTAAAGCCTGGAAAGCTTACATATCTTACCCTATGTCATCCTGGGAGTCAAGAATACTGCATCACTTTTCTTTCTGAAACCTATTGTAAGCTTTTTGATTATCTGGGGAAATGAATTGTATAGGTGAAAATATGAATGTTGTTTAGCTTGTTTTAAAATGTGCATGCCCACAGCTTTTGAAACTGATGTGGTTTTTGTTCATAAGTATCTAGACTTTTATTGTTTTTTAACTATTCAGAGAATGTATTTGTACACAGCAACTTCTCTCTGTTTTAGGAAATAGCTAATTACTTCTATGTTCAATGTCTATAGGAAAAATCCTTGTCAGCAGTGAAATGGGAATCAGTCGCTCAGCTGTGCTGGTGGCTGCTTACCTGATGATCTATCACCATATGACCATTCTGGAGGCTCTGATGACTCTGAGAAAGAAGCGTGCCATTTACCCCAATGATGGCTTCCTCAAGCAGCTAAGGGAGCTTAATGAGCAATTATTGGAAGAACGAGAGCTGGAGCATACTGGAGATGAAGATGTCACTCCTAGTCAAAGTCCTGTCACCCACCCTGGGACATCTTCTCGGCTGTCTGGAGCTGAGGACTCCGAAAGTGTCGTAGGACCCAAAGCACACTCCATCACAGTAGAAGAAGAAGACAACATCAGCATGCTAAGTAGTTTTATGAGCTCTTCATCAGTGGGAAAAACTAGCTGGGTTTCCAAACGCTCCACCCTCATCAGTGAGGAGGAAGAGGAACAGTTATATGAGGAATGGAGGAAGAAACAAGGCCTACCTGCAAAGGAATCAGCAAATGAGCATGGAAAAAGAGTGTCGCCAAGGCTTCTGGCTCAGGAAGGGGAGCAATATGAGGAGGATGTGGATCGAAGGATCCATGACTGGCAGCGCAGAAATGAGAAATACCAAATGGAGGGTCCACCCAGAGAGGAGGATGGAAATTCTAACATGGGAGGAAGACCTTGCCAATCAGGTGAATTTAGTGATGATGAGAGTGTGAGCAGTTTTGAGATCCGAACCCTAAAGCGACAGTTGGAAGCCAGCAGCTCTAGCAGGATGAGGAGGAGCCGGTCAGATTCCATGTCTTCAGAGAGCACTTGGGACATGTGGAACCAGAGGCTGATGGAGATTGAGAAGGAAGCTGTTCAGAGGTATCGTTCTAAGAATAAGAATGGTGGGGAGAGACAATCTCCAGAAACAGGAAGAAAGGAAAGGGATGTGGATGAGGAAAGCGTGTTGTCAGACTGTAGCTCCTTCTATAATTTCTGCCGAAAGAACAAAGACAAGTTGACTCCTCTAGAAAGGTGGAAGATCAAGAGGATCCAGTTTGGCTTTCACAAGAAGGATTTAGAATCATCATCGTCTTCTGCACCATCTCCAGCAGAAGATGGCAGCCAGACTGGTGAGGAGGGGACTGAAGGGAAGAATTTGTCAGATGTTAACCTGAGTGCTTACCAGGCTTGGAAAATGAAGCGGCAGAAGAAGGTGGGTTCTGAAAGCAAGGAGGAATTTGTAGAGTTTGCCAAAAGTGAAGATTCTGCTTCAGCTAAAAAGAGGCAGAGACGTGTAGAGCTCCTTGAACGTTCAAAGAAAATTTTAGAAGAAAGCCAGTCCATGTGCAGCTGGGAGACAGACAGTACAATGAGTGGGAGCATCCCGTTGTCTGCTTTCTGGGCCTCAGCGCCTTCTGCGAATGGTGCTGAGGATGCAGCTTCCATGCTGAGCATGAAGACAAATCATTCATCTTTATCACAGGCCAGGAGCAGCAATGGGGCAACACAGCCAAATATTCCCCTTCCCAATCTCCCAGTTGGCCCAGGTGACACAATATCTATGGCAAGCATTCAGAACTGGATTGCTAACGTGGTCAGTGAAACCATTGCTCAGAAGCAAAATGAGATCATGATGCTGTCCCGTCCATCATCTGCAATGGCCTCCAGTGTAATGTCAGGAGACCTTGGCAGACGTGTAGATGATGATAAGATTTCCCTTCTCAGTTCTCAGTGTGGCTCATCTTTTTCTGCTTCTCATCTCGGTCAGCAGGACGTGCACAGGGCTGAGTCTCAGTCTGTCCTGTCTTGCAATACCTCTGTAAGTGGGAGGGCAGAAGGGACTAGTTTGAACACGAAGACTATGCAAACAAGCAAACCACTCTATAGCCTCTTTGCCGATGATGTTGACCTAAAAAAACTCAGCAGGAAGGAGAAGGAGCTACAAATGGAAATGAGAGAGAAAATGTCAGATTATCAAATTGAAAAGGTGATAAGTGACAATAAACGCAGCACTCTATTTAAAAAAAAGGTGACCAAAGGAGAGCAAAGTGAAATAGAAGGTGATGTGGAGAGTATAACAAACAATTACAGGCACCCATTGCAAGCAGATCTAGACAGAAACGATACAATCTTTACTCTATCCAGTCTATCTGCAAACACAGGTGCACTGAAGTCAGAAGTAGAGACTGATGTTACCAAGTGGCTCAGTAGCCTGAAAGCAGAAAAACAGTCATCATATCATGATCAAAGTGAGAATTTCAGAGAGAAATACAGCAGGTCATCGAAAGTAAGAGAGATGGATTCTGAAACATCCAGTTACAGATTCTCCAGATCCCAGAGAGAAGAGCTTGACAGCTCTTCCTATGAGTCAAAAGGAGATTCACTGAGAACCATGTCAAGATTTTCCTCTGCTTCGGCAAAGGAGGACAAAAAGATGTATAAGTTCACAAGGTCGAGAGTCAGCGAGACAGCAAGTTCTGGTGAGAAAAGCCCAGAACTGCATGTTTTCAGTCAAACACCGGAACCATCCTTTGACTCCGAATCCCCTGAATCATCTGCACAGAGTCGAGTCAGATCTCATCACGTGGAGGCATGTGAAGAGGAGGCCATGTCAGACACGTCAGAATTTGGAGCTAAGAGAAAATTCACCCAGAGCTTTTCAAAGTCTGAAGAGAATGGAAAGAAAGAGGCAAAAGTGGAACAAAGTGAAGAGAGATTTGCATCTAGACAGTTCTCTCAGTACAAGCGAAGCGTGCGTAAAGAGGAGGAAGAAGAATTGGATGATGATGCTATTATTGCTGCATGGAGAAGCCGACTAGAAGAAACTACAGCAAAGCTCCGTCGGAGAAAGGAAGAGTGACCAAGGATCAGATTAGAGGAACAGAAGCAGAGTGTAAGAGTCCCAGAATCACTCATCATTATATTTCTGATAATCCTTTGTGGTTTGCAGGGCATTTCCTGCAGATAGTTCTTTTCTTAATCAAAAGCGATAAAGGGAAGAGGTCAAGTTTTGGAAGTGTTTGTGGTTTTTCAGAAAGAAGATGCTAGCATTAAATGATCAATGTAGGTAGGAACACAGTGTTAGAAGCCAGGTGATGTTTCAGCAGCAAAGTAATGGTAGCACCTCCATTCGAAAGACCAATCACATCACATTTTGATTATTTCAATTTCCTAGTTTTGTTGACCGAACATACATTTTTCTAGGATTTTTTTGATCATAAAAGGCAGAAGCCAATAGCTTGAAGAGTTCCTGCCTTAATCAATTTTACTTGAGAAGACATTGCTAGAAAGGCTCCATTTTCTTTTCCAGTCTTATGAATGTCTACAGAAATAAGACTGTTCAGGAGAATACAGGCACTGTTTTCTTTCACTGAGTAGATGAAGTAAAGTCAAATGCTAGAAAAAAGAAAATGCCTCCTTCTTTTTAGAAGTATAAGGCAATAATGAATGTATTCACGTGGTACAATATTTGTCTTTTAGATGGAATTACCTTTGCTTCATGGTTGGTTCCTGCAAATAACTTCAGGCCAATGTAGGAAAATGCAGTAATACTGCCATCAATCTAAGATCTACTTCAAGATTTAGAGTTAGGGTGAAGATTAGTGTTAGTTTAGGCTGGGTTTCTGGAGCACTGGCTTCAATTTGTTGTTTGTATGCAGCTCAGCTGAGTCTGTGCTCTCATGTCTATAGTCAGATGGTCATGTCTTGATTTTCAAGACGAATACCTTATTGGAAAAGAGTGATACACAAACTGACCTCATATTAAAACAACATATAACTAAAGTGTTGGTAGAAGACACTGTGCAGAGACTTCTCTAAGGACAAAATGTATGTCTGTTGAGTGTGGTGCTTTGAAGTCTGATTTAGGAGGTGGTGAGTTTAATTGGCATGTTGCAACTTTTTGTTACCAAGTGACATCCTCCACCCCTCTCTTATAAACACCTTGGCCAGTTGTTCTGGATTGCTTTTCTGGAGTTATTTGTTCCCTCTCCGGGCCCTCTGGCAGAGCTGAATGTAAAACATCAATGAAGGGATGATGCAACAGCACAGCATCACTCTCTCACAGAAAGTTGTCTTTCCTGTCTTCTCTTTCTCTCACTGTGATGCTTAGGGCTCACTATACTGTTATGCTAGCACCTCTCACTGTTTTAATTGTGTAATATAGGCAGTAAACTCCATAGAGTCTAGTTTTTGTCCTTCTCTGTATGAGACTATGCACATCAGCAATGCTATCTAAATAATGGTTACTAATAACAAAATGCAGGTGCCAATTTTCCTAAACTTAGCATCATTTACCTTGACTCTAACTCACTGATTAGACATTATCCCTGCTTCTTTGAAGATAAAGATGACTCTTTCTGACAGCCAGGACCAGGGCAAATGATAACTGCTTATTGTCAGGTGAATGGAGTCTCAAAATCAGGTGATTGAACAATAACAGGGCTAGAAAAATAAGAAGAAGAATGTATTTTACTTGTGTCTTTTTTTTTATGAGTAAGCACAGATTTCATTTTTGAAGTACACAAGAAACATTGTCTTGTTAATGTTCCAGGCATCCAGAGGTACTGCAAGGCTTTTAGTGCACTGCTACTGCAATATAATACCTATTTTATCACACTGCAGAAATTCAATGTTCACAGTACAATACAGTGCATCCCTTACTTCTGCATAGTTCTCTGAGGTTTTTCTTTAAAGTGATGGCATTTCAGGCTTTGATCCACATTTGGAGATTTTACATTGAATTTCTGCAGTGTGATAAAATAGGTATTTTCTGCTATTCTTCACCTCTGCTAAAGTTGCTCTGTGCGAAACAATGTGATGCTTATGCTTAATTGGAGCTTACTGTAATTTCAATTTAAAAAAGATCTCAAGCATGAGCACCGGATTCGTCCTCTGTCTCCTTACAACAGTAAGTGGTTACTTCAGTTTTGATGGATCAAAGTGAAAGTGCATAACACCTTCTGGCAGTGAATCTGCTCTTTTACAAAGGCTGTTCCCTCTGAAAATCTCTCCTGCTTCCTAAGGCTGCTGCTGCTCTCGACATAAATGCCTGTCCTCTGTAGGTACTGTAGGGGGCATCTCACACTGTAAAAGATGAGCATCATACGATGTAGTAATTGGTTTCATTTTGCACTGCACAGCACAGCCTTTGTTTGGGTAGCATTTTGATTTAAACAGTAATCCAGGTCTGCCGCACAAATAAATTATTCAAGACCGAGGGGCAGAATATGGTTCTGTAACCAGCCTGAGCCAAACCATCCTGATAGCGAGTTTTGACCCTTCTGGGAAAGGGTTAAGTGGGTTCTGCTGACTCACTGAGGTAGGTGGCTTATTAGTTCCCTTGTCTAAAAGAGAGATAAAAATGGCTTGCTGGGGAGAAGCCGTCTAGGATACTGACTGAGCAGTCATGAGGGAGAAGCCTTAGAAACAGCTGAACTTTATTTTCTTATTGCTTATGTCCTTGCTAATAAAGCCAAACCCCCAAAGCAATAAGGGGGTGGGGATAATTTTGGACTCCATTCAGTGTATGGACTGTGCTTGAAAGTGAGTTGGGAAAGGCTCCAGCTCACAAGTATAAATTACATGAAACAGTGACATAAAGACCTTGCATGGTGAAAATATTAAAGCATTCAGTCATAAGACCAATAACCAGGAGAGACAGAAATGAAGGGGTTGAAGGGAGGCTAGAAAGTCAGGTTTTAAGATTAGATTTTAGAAGGCGATACAGAATCAGTGAAAGAGGAGAGGTCTGCACCAATTGTTTCGGGTGACTAGAGCCGTAGAGAGAATGTTTTTTCAGCAATGACACTTAGTCTGACATTAGGCTAAAAGAGTGGGTAAGTATCCAAATTTATCTGGAAAGGATTTTCCAGCAAATATGCACTGGGGCTGACGTTTTTCTCAGCCTCACTTTGCTGCTGTAGCCAGGAAGGTGAGGGGGTTTCTTTGGCATTGTTTAGTGGAAGGTGAAAGTGCAAAGAGCATCCATACAGTCAGTTAAGAATATAAACATAAGAACATCAGAAAGGCTATATGAGGTCAAACCAAAGGTCCATCTGGCTCAATATCCTGTCTCTGATGGAGACCAACAGTAAATACCTAGGGAAGAATATAAAAGCAGTGATATAAGTGATTCTTCCCCAGGATGATCTCCCAGCTTCCAGTCATTTGCAACTCAAGGACTTCCTGAGCCAAATGTGATATTTTTGTATTTTGTATTTAATAGCCCTTGACAGATTTTCCTTCCATGGAGGTGCCTAATCATTTCTGAGTTATAGATATTATAGCCTTGTACCTGTTAGCCTCTATGATCTCTTCTGGCAAGAAGTTCTTACACTTCTATGCACTGAATGCTAAACCGTCGCACTGTTTCTGTTCTGAACCTGCTCCTTACCAGCCTACTTCAATGCCAAGATACAGATTCCTGACTGGAATCCACATGACCCACAAGATTTTACCCACTTCTATCATTACGTCCAACCTTAGCTGTCTGTTTTGCAGCCTAATGGAGTTTCTCATTCCTCCTTTGAGAGCTGGTCCATGTCTCTGATTACTCTGACCACTCTTCTCTGAACCCTTCGCAGTTCTACTTTATCATGTTTGAGATGAGCGACCAAGTCCTCACACAGTATTCACGGTGCAGGTGCAGCAGGGATTTATCCTGTGGCACAATGGTCTCCTTTATTTTTCTCTCTGTCCCTTCCCTATCATCTCGTAACAGTTTGCATGCTTTTTTGGCTGTTGCTGAGCACCAAGGTGACATTTTCATTGAACTATTTATTATAGCCACAAAATCGTGCTGCTGGGTGGCAGTGGTCATCTCTGAGATCATCGCTTTATAGGCTACATTTTCCTATGTGCAATGCTTTACATTTATTAACCTTGGACTTCATCTACAGTGTTTCAGTGTTTCAGTCTCATTAAGTCCTGTGTTTTTTTTTTCACAGCTGGCCTCTCATTTCTACTACCTTTGTTTCCTTGATGCCCTTTGAAAAAAATGTAGAGACCCAGGTTATGTGGGAAACAATGAAGTAAAGGAGGGATAACAGGACAGAGAAACACATCTAATGGTCTGAGTGAAATAAGTAAGAAAACGATGAAAGCTAGAGAGATTGGAGATAGGAAGTATTGAAAAAGAGATGTGAAGACAATAGGCAAATTAAGGAACAGATCGACAGCAGATGAAAAGGTTATCTATGGCAGCCAAAGAGGCTGATATTCGTCTGAGCCAAATATTCATCTGTTTACTTGTATAACAGTTTTGGTGAAAGACCATGGGGCAACCTATGTGGGAAGGAGGGGGATGGTGGGATTTACAGAAATTATGGATTTCTGGGAAATCTGAAGAGGACTGGGAGAAATTCTGGTGACAGACATTGATGGGACGTCAGTGATAAAATGTGCTAGGTTGGGAATTCAAGAAGCAAATTTGAAAGGAAGTGGAAGCATTGCCAGAAATAGTTACTCCTAGTGTATCGGCTGCATTCTGCATGGCTGTACTGGCAGGGCAGGGCTTTAACCCATTTCCCTCCCTCCCCCCTAGGATTTTCAGGGCAATTTGTTTTATTGCTTGTGGCTCTAGTTTAGACTGGGTAATTTTAAAAGGCATTTAGCACAATTTCGTTTTTATACAGCTCCTTGAGAAATGCTTACACATTAGTTGTAGTGGAGAGCTGGATGAATTATGAGACAAAAAGTTTTAGTTGGGGATGGTTATGCTGCATTGTCTGCATTTCCTTAAAAGGTTTAGCTGAAATATATTGGATATATACATTATAACGTGAAAACATAGTATCCATATAACCTTCCTAAATTTATAGACAATCTAGCAGAGATGCAGAAAGCATGGGATTAATACAGTCTAGGGCTCGGAAACAGAAACTGCATGCTCATACACTCCAGCAAAATGTCTGTGAGAGCTCCCTGCCCACTTTATGGAATTTCATTTGCCATTCAGAAAAACCAAACTGTGTTAGTTTTCTGCCTGTTCAGTTGTGAAGGAACTTTCAAAAATGTGAACCATGTGTAACAAATAAACAGTTCTCCAGAGAGATGGGATCATCGCTCTAAATGGTGCGTGAATTGCCCCTGTCTTTTCAGAAAGGTGTTCACTTCTTTGTCTGGGAGTAATCAGTTAAATGCCAACAAGATTTGTTATATTGCTCTTTGTGTAAAAAGTGGATAGAGGTTAAAAATAGGTTGTGTTGAGGTGTGGGATTAGGCTGCTTACATTGCTGGTACCAGCATAATCCCTTTAAATGAGTGCTCTGTCGTTTTGGCTAACCCTATGAACATACATTTTTTGGATATGGAAGAATTGTATCTTTTTTTTTTCTTCTGGACTGCCTTTTGCTTTTCAGTACATTATATTTTATTCAGGAGCTGATTTCATGTTACTTCCTTTTATCCCTCTGTTACAGTTGTTCAGTATCTTCTGAGCTCAGTGTTTTTCTGCGACTGCTGTTCCCCTACCAGAGGGTGCACTTGCACCTACTCCCACACATGCACACATACATACACAGACACAAACTGAATGCATCATTTATGAGTCATAAGAGCAGGCAACAATATGGTTTCATTCCTCCCCAAGACCAACAGTTAAAGTAAATGTTGGAATGTCTGTGTCAAGCCATCCAGATGTGGTGGTGCAAAAATCAGAGAGCAGGAGAAGGGATAGTCCATGCTTTGAGCCTTCCCCTATATATTGTGTTTCAAGGATATCTGTTATCTTTAAAATAGATAAACCTAATCCATGTGCAAAAAATGTAACTGCTCCCACAGCAGATTCAAACCTGGGAAATTTTAGACAGTGTGGTTAACTTTTAGTTACGGCATGGGTGTCCTGGAAGACAGAGATGAGTGTAATGGGAAACTAGCTTCATTGTTAACTGTGGAGAGAACAATGTCTCTCCATAATCAATCAATCAATCACTTAGTGTTTTCCAGTGCACCCTTCATGCCAACATGCCTGAATGCTTTACGGTCATTAAATTAAATCAAAGAACACACCACAAAATGGACAAGGCCAGATCAATAAATCTTGAAACCTGATTCAAACTTACCAAGGACTCTGAACAAGCAGCCACGGAAGGAAGAACAAATCCATTCAGAAGGGCATGTACATAGGCATAAAATTGAACCAAGACATAGGAGATGTTAGGTAGAAGACACAAATCTTTAAAGGAACTGATCATTTTTATGGCATCACCCGACTACCAGCGGCATCTGTTAGCCAAAGCTATGGTCCTATAGTCTTTTTGGTTTTCTGAGTGACATTAGAAAACGACTATTGTGATGATAACTGTTTACAATTGACCAGATAGCTGTATGCTTCAGGTCACATACTGCCAGAGACATATCTAATTTCAAAGGCCAAGCTGTTTCTGATCTCTACATTTGATTATTGCAGGACACAGTATTAAAGAAAGATATAGCACACATCAGTTGATGTTTAAGATCATATGACTTCACACATCTTCATGGATCATCTTAGCAATCTGATCTTTGTAATGACTGTATTGAATGCAGATCTGGTCCAAGGCCTTTTGCTGATCTGGTAGATCATCTCTGGCTCCTTGTTGGAGAGGAGAGCTTTATGATACCACAATATCCTTTATGAAACTGCCAATTAATGGGAAGCTTTATACATCATGCCCATAGAAATTTCTCAGTCACTGCCATAACCTATGAAGGTTCATGCACAGGGCAGGTAAAATGACCACAGGCCTAAGTACCTCCAAAATTAAATGCAAAATCCAGTTCTTCAACTTAACCTTCCCTCCCTCGATAATTTTGCAAGGCATGTGCTGCTTATTCTGTGAATTGAATCAGAAGTACTGCCTGGAGGCAAAGGGTCAGAGGAGATTCCACATATGAAAAGCAGGAGGCCCTCAAGAGGGTGCAACCTCAGTTGCTGAACAGACACCAAAATAGGATGGATGAAAGCCCACATGAAACTCAGGTATGTGAGCAAGCAGAAGCTGACAGTCGCCCCTCAGGAATGCAGTATAAAGCTTTCACTTCTGCAGGAGACGAGATCTGAAAGTCTGCTTCTTGGGAGCAATCAGAACTGACCCGTTGCATGGTGCTGCAGTTGCATAATTGAATAGTTGTCTCGATTCATCCCAAAGTGAGTGTTCTTGGTGGTAGTAGACATATCAAATTTGTAAGTCATTAGGGATAAAAGGGCCTATGCAAGGAAAGGTCAGACATTATCCTCATGACCGACAGAAGGGGTCCATATTAAAACAAAGAAGGTATTTGATTTTCTTTTGAATGTGGGCAGATGATTCAGACCCACCTGCCCTTCATATGCTCTGTCTCTCCCCTTCCCATCTCCTCTCTTTTGAAACAGATTTGAGTCCGTCCACTTTTATATTTTCAAACAAAACTCATAAAAGGGCCATAAATATCATGACTCGCTAAAATGAAAGCTGTTTTCTTCTCCTCCCAGGAGACTCCTGCCTGAGAGAGAGACAGAAAGAGTTCACCTCTTTGAAAATTCCCCCTTCAGCTGAAGTAAAGCTGGTATCTAAGAGCAGTCTTCAAGGCTTTGTTCTTATCATCTTGACCTGGCTTTGTACTGGCTTCTCTCTGTATTGCCTGTGGAAGTGTGAAGGACGGGGAGAGGGGAAGGAATTTTGGCTATCACTGGCAGAGCAAGGGTCATGCTTGGAAAAGGGATCTCATTGTGGTTTCAGAAAATGTTATAAACCCAGCACACTGGCAGAAAGAATGAAGAAGCTCATCCCCCTGCTAGATCAGGCCAGTGATCCACCCCTTTTCTCTCTGATGTTGGCCAGAAGAAGATGCATCTTAGAAGGTCTAAAGAAAGCCTAAGTGGGCAATTATGGGATAACCTGCCCTGAGTCGAATTTTTCTCCCTGTCTGGCCCAAAGTCCTCCTTCATCTTTCTGCCTTGGCTTGAGTTCAAGTTTCTTCCCTGAAGCATGACGGCTTCTCTCCCTTCCAAACTGCTTTTCATCCTGGCCTGTCTAATGCAGCTGCCTATGACAGTGTTGTGATGGGATGTATAGGTCTTGTCCATTGAGAGGCTGTGACAGATCATAGCCTTACTGGAAAGAGAGACGGAGAGGTGAAGAGAAGGCGAGGGAGGGGAGCATAAACTCAGATGAAATATCCATCAGGAAGATGGAAAGAAGAGTGAGTGGCTGAGAAGCTAATTGCTGCCTGCTGACCTGGGCTGTGCAGATAGCTTGCAAGTGAGCATTTGGGCTTTTCAGAAATTTCAGCCTGGAGCGTACTAGGAAATTCAGCTCTTGGTTGAAGCTAGTGTTCAACAATGCTTCCCCTTATATATGCATGTGTTTGTGTATAAAAATATGTATTTTTTACAGCTGTAGAAGCATTAGAGTAGTCTTGAGAAAACTATTCTGTTTCATCCTGAGGGAACTTTTCCTTACACTTCAGTTCATTACTCATTTCTGGAAAGAAGTATTGGAGTAACCAGGAGCTACTAGACATTAAACAGGAATTAAAAACAGGTTATTCTTCTATTTCTGCCTGACTTGGGAACCCAAAGCCAGGTGTTCCTCTGTATGTAGAACCTCATCCCTGTCGTATGAACAGGGATGGCTGCTCATATATTCCAGGCAGAACAAAGATCTTATCTGATAGGCTAGGGTCTCCAACCGATAAAATAAAATAAAATAAAAAATAGAATTATAAATAAGTTAATCTAAACCAACGTGGAACCTCATTCAAGCTTATTTCTTCTTCACAACAAAAAAGGAATCACCCTTATGAGATTGTACTGTAAACAACAGAAAACAAAGCTCTCTCTTGGAAAGTATCTCCTTTTCTAAATCCTGTGGATCAGCTTATAAGCTGTTTTTTTTTTTTCTATATGCATCCTTAACAGTGGGGAGTAATATTATTTTTCCTATCGGCTCATTGGAGAGGCAGCTGGGATAATTCCAACAGCAGACCTCTGGCAGAGCTTTGCATCTTCTGCTTCCTGAAGTGATCCATGCCCAGGCTTTCTCAGTGCTGGCTAACAGATCTCCCCCACACTGGATACACAAGATCCCAGAAATGCAGCAGTTTAGTGCCAGCCAATTCTCATGCTAGATTTTCTCTGATGAGTAGATACCCAGGTGAGGCTTTTACTTACAGTCTGTAGCACAACAGAGCAATTACCCTTTTAAGCTGCCATTTACAAGTTCAAACGACTCGTTTCTTCTAAACTTGTAACACAGTGCCACTGCCTTGTATGGATGGGGTGATAGGAATAATATTTCACTGTCTTGATCTCATACATGTGTCCACAGCTTGGTCTGATGACAGCCACATACAATAAAATAACCCCTCACACTGTCTGCACTCTCTCCCCTCTGTCCACAACTGAGTCCCCTTTATAACTCCACTTTTGCTACGGTGACAGCAATGCAGCTACTTCAAGTGCATAGAAATGGAGGCTAACTTGCCTATTATTCTTCCCAGTCACCTTTCTCCTTGTTTCTTCTTCAGTCATGAATGTCTTGGAAAAGAGATAATCCTTGCATGACACCTGGACATTCCTTAGCTCTGTGGGAGAGATACAGTAAATAAAATATGATGCTAGATTCTATTTTCACTATAAAAAAGGAGCCACGTTATGACCTGATTTGGTATGACTATACTGTAAATAGGCCATAAACAGTCAAAGGGAAAATAACCCGCAATATTCACACCATTGAGCGACTGTGTTGGTAATCACTTTTTCTCCCTGCTGTTCAAAATATTTTCCAAGTGTCCCTGAAACTGCATTGATAGCAAAATGTGGCCCAATTCAGAGGCTTTAATGGTATTGCTAAGTGGAAGTGATTTTTCTCCTAGAAATTTTCAGTGAAATAGTCTCTATTTTGCAAAAATGAAATCATAGTTATTTCACTACAAAAACATTAGAAAAAGGCAGAGACCATCAAAAGTATTTCTGAGAAGTCAGTCCTGTGTTTCCAAAAATGTTGTCCAATTAAGGAAAAAGTATTAATGTTGTAAATAGAGTGGCATTCCTATGCGAAGATGTCAAAGAGATTTTTTCACTGTTCGTTGCTGAAGCTAATAGGGAATTTACCTTCCATTTTATGCATGGGGGAACAAGAGCAGATTTTTTTTTTTTTTTACGTCATTTTTTCACTTTTTTAAAAAAATAATTATCATACTTTCTTCAACATGCAGAGAATGAGGATTTCAAACAAATGTTTTAATTCACCGTTACAACCACAAGTCTTTTTCATGGAGAACTGTGATACCCCTGGCTATCATGATGCTATAGGAGAGCTGCACCTGATGACCAGAATCCTAGAATCACTGAGGTTGGAAAAGGCCATTAAGATCACCTTTAAGATCCAACCTCCATCCCAACCCCACCATGCTCACTAACCACGTCCCTCAGTGCCACTTCTACATGGTTCTTGTACACCTCCAGAAATGGTGATCCCATCACCTCCCTGAGCAGGGCAGCCTATACCAGCCTTGATGCAGACATAATTCTCTTTGTGGGGAAGGTCTATTTATTTATTTATTTAGGCCTGATATTTATACACAACATTTCCAAATATTTCCTCTTCATGACCTCTCTTTGTTTCTTAGCATCCTTTTGGACTTTTTGATATGATAAATTAATATCTAAGGGTGTTGTTATATACTGTTACTCCATCAGTATTCAAAGGCCTTCACTAGCACCACTATAATATGTAGAGCATACAGCACAATTCAAGATGTCCTCACCCTAAGAGAGCTGCAAATTAAATGAACAAAACAGACACAGGTAGGGAGAAAGAGATGTGTCTGGCAGCGTATTTGAGACCAGTAACTGAGCCCAACATTGCAGAAGAAAAGGGGAAGACCTTGGAAAAGTTCAAAAGACTGAAAATTCAACTCACTAACAAAGTCATTCTCCTTGAGCAATCACTTGGCTGTATGTGGCACAATTAAACAGTTGCTGGCCTCAAGAGAGCACAAGCATGACTCTAAACTAGTGATTAAGTGTTCACTGGAGAGAGGGAGACATATGTTCCAGGCCTCTTTCCAGAGAATATACAACGTGAGAGAGTTAAGGATTCATTAGTGCACGCTTATCCCCTCCCATGTGAGTGTTCCTGACTGCTAGCCACCAAGCTGCGCTTCGTCTTTCTGGCCAAAAGAATACTGAAATAATCTATCTGAAGAGAAATAGTTGATGTGGGACTCATTAGCAGCCCCTCTTTCATACCAGAACAGACGACAGCACAGGAAAAGAGCATCCCATATGCACATGGAAACAGATTTACCTTCTCCTGGAAAGTTAAAGCGTCATCTCCCATCTTCTGAGATGCCTGAATACCAAGGGGAAAAAGGGCACTCACATGCTGTGTCTTGAGTTGGTGTCAGAACCTAACGTAAAGCTCAGGGCTCTGGGAACAGGCTGGAAAAAAATGCTTTGTTGCAGCTTCATGTATACTACTTAATTGGGATGACTGCAGGCTGCTGCCAGAAGCAGTGGTGACATCCCCTCTGCTTGCATTCTCCAGCCTCTCAGCAGCACAGTGACATCACATTTCTGACATCACGTCACAGTGATGTGGGTGTGGGGTACATTGGGTTACCTCGTTGATTTGGTGCCTGGATTATCTTTTGGCTCCGGGTCATGCTATGGTGTTGCAGGTATTTTCAGATCCAAGTGCAGGCTGTCCCCTGGATGGGGCATCCATTCCTAGCAAAACTGGCACCTTTACATGTGTTTTTCTGTTTGTGAAATGATTCCCAAACAGTCAGATGGCTCTGGCTCTGCACGGCAGATTGCTTGCTGCCAGAGCATGGCAGCAATTTGGCTAGAATCACCTGCTGAGCACAGGTCTTCTTTAACATTTAGCATTTCCTTAGCTTTTAACAGCACAACATAGCACAGATTCAGCCTTTCTTTTTGCTTTGTCCTTCTCTGCTGAGATTTAAAAGTCTCCTGATCCTTTGGAGTTCCAAAGCTCAATGTAGATGGGCCATAAATGGGCCCAAAGTCAGCCCTCAGCCATAAGCGTGGCAGTCACAGCTCATAATTAGACTCTAGCATTAAATCTGCCACTTTTCAACCTTTAAGTTTGGAAAGTAGTAGGCTGACAGAACCGTGTGCTTCTTTGTGTCTCTGCTGAGGTTAGGCCTAATGAGAGATTGTCTTGTAATGTCATGGTGCTGGAATGGGAGGGCTCTGAGGACAAGGACCTGCTGTGAGAGAAGTGTTTTGCCAAAAGGTGTGCAGCAGGAACAGGATGAGAAAGATGTGGCACGCTGCAGCGGACACAAAAAGGCTCTCTCTGCTCCCTTAATCTACCACTCAGGCTGAGTTACATACCATAAAAAACACATTCCCTGCAAGAAGATCAGGATAAGACGGTGTTTGGCTTAAACCTAACCCTGCTTTTGATTGTAAATTAGGTCTGTCCTCCAACATATTTATTTTATTCTGTTGCTTTCCCCTCTGTGAAACCTTTCCTTGGTTGCTCCTCTGGTGTTAATCTGGCCCTGACTGGTGGAAATCACGAACTCTGCTCACGTCAGAGGCTCTAAGAATCAGATCCTCAGTATCTTGCTGTCGGTATCTTGCAATCTTGGCTGAAGGCAGCAGGGACTCACAGAACCCCGCCTAGAGCGCACCTGCACAGCATTTTTTCCCGCCCTCTCCTGCACAATTATTTAGGGAAACCTATTACTCTAGGCCAGAACAGCTACGTTAATAACATCCACTGTTTAAGCCTTTCACTCAGGTCATTTCCTTGCAGCGGAAACTCGCATACTGTCAAAGTTGACAGTGCTACGGCGGTTTATTGCACCAGAAGACCTGGCCTTTTCTTCCCTCCCATCTCCTGAGCTTGGCTGCTCCCATTATATGAACCCTGGTTCTCAACTGTCCTTAATAAAATCTCCGTGCTCCATATGCTCCCTCAGCCTCACTTTGATTAGCGCTCCTGCAGTCTTCCTCACTGCTGACGTCGGCTGCGTGCACAGCTCTTCAATTTCCCGACAGCCCTTTTCAAACACTGGCTTTTAATCAGGCTCTGTTTTACCAGCACTTCCTTCTCTCACAGTGCTTTTGAAGCAGTGCTGCTGTTAGTGGTGGTGTTCCTTCTCCACTGCCCTTTTTTGTTGTTTCCATACAGAATTTCTTACTCTTCAGATGTCCTTTTATTTTTTTTTTTTTTTCCAGCTTCCTTTTTTTCTGTGCTGCGATCCTAATTTCCTTCAGGATTTCTCCTTCCCCTCCTGGGAAATTTCTCTCTATTTCTGGCATCTGTCCTTCCTAACCCTTCCCACTTATTTTTTTTTTTTCTTTCCAAAGATGGGGGAAAAGAAGAAAAGAATCCATTTAATATTTTTCTGTAGTAATGTCTATCTCATCTGTCAATAAATTACCCTTTGCCATCTCTGGGAGACCCCTTTGTCTCCCTTCACTGACCTTATTCTGTACCTTGCCTGTTTTTTTTTAAGGGAGGATGCAATATCCCTGGGCTGTCATTCCATGAAGAACAGCTGTCATTCCTCCCATAGTGTATGCGTATGTGTCTGAGGAGGGAGAGGAAAGGGAGGGGGGAATTAGAGGAAGACAGGGAGCTGCCACTGGGAAATATGATGGTCTTGTTCACAGTGGTTAATGTTTTTTCATTCATGATATTCACCTGGCAATGCTGTCTCTTTCTTCTAGTGGCTTTAGACGTTCATTTTATGATTAACATAAATCTAACATATTTGAAACATATAATATTTATTAGTGTTCATTAAACACTTTTTTTGAAGTCACTATGCGTATATTTTTTACATTTATAAATGCTTTGCACTCTCTACAGCTGTGAATGCTATATCGGTGTCAGAACTGCAGTCTGTTACTACAGAGCAGGATTCAGAAAGCGTATCCATGTGGCTAAAATACGTATGACTTGTCCAAGCATTTTCAGTGTTAGAAAACGAAATGCTCACTGATAGGGTTAAAGAGCACGGTGTAGTCCTGCATGCAACTAGCTGGCTGTGTAGACCTGCATGAGGAAGAGATTGGTCCTTGAATGCAGCAATTTCTGCCCTTCCCTTGCCCCTCCTTGCGCTCTGTGAAGCACTGCAGCCGCCCAGAGAGGTCATAGCGCAGTGTTCCCTGTCTCGCTCATGATCCAAGGGCTGCTTCACACTGGTCACACGTAGCAGAGATGCAAGCCCCTGTCTTTCTGTCTCCGTCCCTCTGCACAATATAATCATAAATTTTAAAGGTCTGTATAAGCAAACAATACCTTTAAAAAAATAAAAGAACTGAACAAAAACTGCTGAACATGGCCTCACCTCTGCAGTGTCTGGTAATTACACTGCTAAATGCATTTACTCCCACAGTATATCTCTGTGAAAATATCTACTTGAAATAAAGAAACATAGTCATTGACATTATGCAGGTGTCCGGCAGAGTCTCAGAAGCTCTGTCCAAAGTGACATGATGGTAGAAAAACAAGCAGCTGGCCCTCATCCTCCAAGCATATGAGTCAAAACCCTGGTGTGATGCATCATGACTCCTGTTTGATCCACTCCAAGGTTTCCTTTGTCTGGAAAGCAGTGCTCAGGCACTGTGTGTGTGTGTCACAGGAACCAGGTACCCCTCCAATGTGCGAGCCCAGAGGCGGTCCAAGGCCACAGATCAGCCAGAGCTAGAGCAAGACTGGAGAATGCACACTCAATCAAAAAGGAGGTCCAGGTGTGAAGCATGTATCAAACTTGCCATTTCCTTGACCCATGCTGGTATGACATCGGAGGAATATTTTTTCTCTTAGAAGCGCTATACTACTTATTTTACAATTGCTTTGTTAGTGCTATCTGCTATGGCCCCTTCTCTCTTGTCTGACTGTTCTGACTTAGTCTCTGTTGGATTTAGCTGCCCTAACTGAAAAGGTACTCCATCTCCTCAACTTGGGGGGCAATGAATTCTTTAACGACCACAGTGAAATGCATTGATACGATCCTCGCTTGAGTCACTAATTTCTGCCATTCTCAGTTCAGGATACTGGAGTAAATTGGTATCGGTGCATTAGGCTATGAGCTGATACAGTTAGCAGTGAACAAGTTGTTTGCCAAGCCAGCTCTTCTTTGGGTTGACTACCTCTCACCTTAATAACTTCAGCTTCTCCAGGGTGAATCATGAAGGCTTGGGAACCAGAGCCTCACTTCCCTGGGATGCAGTATCACAGTGCTGGAAGCAGTCTCGAGCCTTCAGGAAATGATAGGGGGCTTCGGCTCTGTCTGCACATGGAATGCTTTCCAAACGTGGTCACCTGCTGGTAACACCCACCCTGCTCCAGGATCAGGAACCGCATCTGCTGAAGAACCGCCCCTGGCTGCTGCCATCTTCAGGAAGATACCATGTAATTATCCAGATCTTTTGTAAAATGACACCTGTGGCAACTGGCAGAGTACTTGCACAAACATTACCAACCCTGAGGCTCAGAAATTTTTAAATACCCTTAGTAATATAGTACTAAAACCTTGATGATGAGCAAGAGTGGGTGGAATAATTGACTCCTCAGAACAAGGTGGCTTTTCTCTTTCAACGCCTGTAGTTGAATCCTTATCTCTTCAATAAATAAAAACAAACCTCCCTTGTTATTATTTTCTGCTTCACCTTTTGACTGTCGATTAGATTTACCACGCTCACTTCCCTTTGGCAATGCAAGTGGAATCCATGTGTTTCTGATGGGCGCCAGTGCAGCCTTTGCCTTGCTCTACCTCAGAACCCCCAGTTCCCCAGTGTCTGGGCAGCTGTTAATGACCCATCCCAGACACACCTTTCTGAGCGATCACTGTGGCACATGTGCTCATTACCACTTTGAATTGTTATTTTATTTCTAACCCTCACCTCTTGGAATCAAATCTGATACCTCTCTGAAGAGAGAAGCTTGTGGTGGTGGCTGCCTTGCTCAGGCTGCTTCTCCTTTCCCTGTTTTTTTTAGTGCTCTCCCTGATGAGGCCCCAGGATTATTGCAAACCAGTCCCAGGAAGAAATGCTGTTCAATTAGGCGAAAAGAAACTCGAAGGAAAAAAGGAGTAGAGCCAGCAAATTGCTTGAGATAACAATCTCCCCCCACCCGTGTGTCTCTGTAACTAAGAGGATTAGCTGAACTTTCTGTGTCACACCAAAACTGACAATAAGCAACAGTGACTTCCCCCCGCTGGCACTTGTACCTTCACATGTTTCATTTTCTTGCCCATACTACTGCCTTGCCCCTTGCTGATTGTATGACAAACTTGGGGATGAACGTGATGGCTCTTTCCTTTCCTTTCCTTTCAGATTTATGACTCAAAGCCAAACAAAACCCAACTCTAGTTATTACATGCTCTGTTTCCTCCTAACAACAACTCACTTTTAACAGTATAAGCTAACCAAGGAAACATGGAAATATGGTCTACTTGATCTCATCTGATCTATCTGCTGTTTGCAGATAGAGACACGAACAGCAGCCTCAGGTCTGCCACCATGGGACTAAGCATAAAGGCTTCCCTCGGGAGCAGGACCAGTTGTGCAGTATATAGAAAGCCAAAGTCCCATCAAAAGCCAGAGCGACAGAGTCTCCATGTAGGTATAGTACCACTAGCAAGAAGCTTGATGCTTTTTTGTGCAGTGATGGGACTATCCAGAATGCTTTTCCAGGGAGGGAAATGAGCTCTGGTGAAGGACTATTGCTAATGACGGTATCACCCCCACGTGCTTCTGAAAGTGGCATAAACATGGTGAAAAGAATGCAGTGAGAGGTTGATTACACGTGAAATAATTCCTGTTTCTGTAGTAAACCCGGTTTGCTGAATTGCATATAAACATTTTAAAGCAGGTGAGCAGCTCTTTATCATGAGTGTGACACAGAACTCATGCAAGGAGAAGAAGTTTGTTCCAAAACAGAGAAGACTGAGGAAGACTATCTCACTGACACTTGCTGCCTCCTCTTCTCCCTGTCCCCCAGAAGTTTCCACACAACAACACAGCAGAAGATGGTGGAAATGTGGAAGGTGAATCTCTGACACCTGAGGGGCAGCATGCAGGCACACTGACACGGTGAGTAGCTGTGCCACAGGAAAAGTGGCAGGAGAAGTGGAAATATTTGGAGATGTAAGATGTCACAAGGAAACAAATCGGGATGTGGGACTCCAGTGACTGTTACCAGGGCAGGGATTGAGGGAAAATGCTGGCAGGACAACATCAGCAGGAAATACTGGGGTTGGGTCATAAAATGCTTGGGATTTGCTCGTTTTTGGAAAGCATTTTACTGAACTAGGCATCTGTGCTACCTGCCCTTGTATTGCTACACAACTCCCTAGACCTAAATTAAATCACTATGGCATTTCTGCCATGTTAAATGGTGCAAGCAGGTACTCTCAAGCCACATAAATTCAGCAAAGTAGTGGTTTGGGGGTCTCCGTACAGCTTTACTTGAGATTAAAGGGTATGTACTGTGGGGGAGAAATACCTCCAGACAGGCTTTTACTCCAAAAATTCGTTCAGGCCGAGGCATTGTAAGAAACGCCCAATGTATTGCCGTGGGGCAAGACTGCCTTGTCACTCTACAGCAACCCCTGTCTCCTCTATACGGAGCAGCAGTTTCAGTTCAAAGGGATCTAGGCCCATTCTCTTTCTCCATATACATGAAATGGGACCAGAGTGGAGCGTGGCAGCCTCTTAACAGTGCCCCACAGCACTGTGAGAGTTCAAACTAGAGAGTGAAGGACACCGTGTCCAATTGAAATTACAGAGGAATTCAGGGTAGGCAGAATGTAATTACACAATTGGAATTTAAACTGTGAAATTAAAAGGAAATATTCAAGGATGAAGGGGCAGAGAGAATCCCTAATCTCCAGCCAGGCTAGGCTGTGTGCCAGAAAAGTCCTTTCTGAAGAGGGAATAAGCAAAGCGCCTGTCCTGGAAGAAAGGGAGGTAGAGAATAAAGACAATGTTTTCAAAAGCACCCCAACTCCAGCTGTGAGTTTGTCTCGCGGGCTGTGTCTACTTGACAGAAAACCTTGTGGTTGCTAAAAGGTGTCAGATGCGTCCCTCTTGGCCCCCTCTTCACTGAGGTCAAAACCAATTTGGTTCCTCGTGTAAAAGCATCCCCAGAGCACTCCTGAGGTCTACAGCAGACAGTGCACTATGAGGCTGGCTGAAACAACGTGGCCCTCATTTTCTTACAGGTGCAAAACATGGTTTGTCCATCTGGATGGGGTCTGCCAGACTGCAGCCTCGCTCTCTCTAATATGTGAGCGCTTCCCCAGTGTTAGCTAACAATCCCCAAAATGCTAACAGTGCATATTTTCAGTGTTCCTTTGTAGTAAAAGGGGAAGAGAAACTCACCGTGGCAGTCTTGAACAGCTACTTGGATCAGGCAATGGCAAATCCCACTCTCAGGAGCTCTGAATCAAGCTTCAGGAGCCCATTGTGGTCCCTCTGCAGAAGGAGGGTCAGGCTGTGGATCTCTGCGAGCTTAGCATGGTCCTTGGCTCAGGGCATAGTTTGCCTGTTTTACCTACCTGCTGCATAAATAACTGAGGATGTATTACTGAGTTTCTCTGCCTTGATTTGCCATTGCTAAGAAGGCATGGCAATAACTTCCTGAACCACCTAAGTGGTCATTGGTTAGATGTAACTTATTAAAATTGGAAGGCGCTTAAAGGCTGCATTGATGAAAACCATTGAAATGTATATAAAAGATTAATCTAGAGAAACGAAGTGTAGCCGAAGTGGCAGAGGGTGCTAAACAGACTGAAAAACCCACCTGAAAAGATAAGTGTTCTCCTAGTGATCACCTCTCCCTTTCCTGAGGATATGTGAAGGTTCTGAATTACCGTTTTTTTACAAATATGAAAATGAAAATCATGTTTCAATTGTGCTCCATGTCCAAAAAAGCAGTTAGCGAGCAGCTGGGAGGAGCAGAGCCTTGTAAGATGGCACAACTTCCCTCTCATTAGCTGGGAGATCCACAAGGCCAGCCACGACACTCAGAAATAAGAGGTTTGGGGTCATCCTTTCCCCAGTCCAAAGGCAACAAGAAAGGGACAGAACCAGAGCCGGAAAGCAGCTTGCTTGAAGGAAGCCAGAGGAGTGTGTAGTGGAAAACAGGAGCCTGTATGTGCAATGGGCAATCTGCTCTCCTTCTGCTCTTGGTGCTCACCACTTACAAGGTGTGTGGGAAGGAGTGGGCAGAGCACTGGAAGGAGCACCAGTGTGCGAGTGTGGGCTGTCCCCTTCATGCCGAGGATCAGGATGGGGAGCAACATCAGGGAGAAAGGTGAAACAGCAGTGTGTTGAAAGGAGTGGATTGCACAGCCCCAGTTTACCCCCACACTAGCTGAGGTCCTAGCATCTCCATTGTGACACTGTAGGAACTGTGCATGACCCTTGCATTCTCCCCGATCAAGGAGCTGCTAATCCTATTTTCCCTCATTCTTTGCCTGCCATCTCTCCAAATTGCGAGCTTTTTGAGACATGGGCTGTCTTTTGATGTTCATCTCTGCATCGAGTTAAAAATGAGACTGTAACCTCTATAACGGAGACTGCAGCAGAGAGGCTGTTGGTCTCTTTGTACAAAAGTGTATTACATACGAAAAGCAGTAAGCAGAGCCATACAGACAAGTTGGACTAAAGGTGACACAATCTGAGCAGTCTGAAAGCGAAAGGAATGGAGAGGTTCTGGGGAGTTATGCTTGAAAACCTATGGGGCAAAACAGGCTGTTCTGAGGAAGAAGTCTCTGATGCAGTATAAAGGAGGAATATGGAAACAGAAAAGAAAGGTGAAGCAAACATCAGTCCAGAAACAGGACCTCCCTGGAAAGGAGAGAAATCTGATGTGAAGAAAAAATGATGGAGAGAAGAGACATTGTGTGAGAAATGCAGCGTCAGGGATTCGGATCTGAGTGGTGCAGTGGAGCTGGAGCTGGAGAGGAGCAGATAAGTTTGTTCTTAATTTCTCTATGCACTGCAGTTGTGCGGTGAAAAGGCTCCTTCCTTCCCAGTCCCTTAAATACTGGGATTCTTTTGTCCCTGCCTCCCCACCTTAAACTGTCACTCTTTTGTGCCCTGCCTCCAGACCTGATTTTTTTAATATATATATATATTTGTCTCTGCAACAGCACTGAATTAATTCTGGCACAACATCTGAAATTGAGGAGGCAATATGGCCTAGTGGGGCTGTGAATTAGGAGATATCTGAATCAAAATCGGAATGACAGAGATTTATTGCAGAGCTTTAAAAGATCCTGAAATACTATTTCTTTCCTTTGCAGGTGTGTTAATTTTGAATGTGGTATTGTTTTTCACTGCGAGAAAGCATTTCTAAAGCAAAATCCCTGAAGGAAACAATTTTATGAAACAGACGAGCGCGGTCAGACAACAGAAACAGGGTGTCCCACAAGATGCTCAATGCTTTGAGCCCCGCCTCAGCAAAGCATGTAAGCACGCTTGTAACTGCAGCCTTGCTGGCTGCAGCCAAACAACTGCAAGCATTGCACCTCAGTCTTTTTGTGAAATGAATCTGGAGAGCTCAGCTGCTTGTAGGACTAAGCTTCATATCATCCCGGTGTCCAATTATCTCAAATTTCAAATATTTCCAGCAAGTTGCTCATGAATACGGAGCTGGCTGGGCATTATGTGGCAAATAACATCAAATAATAAGTTTGCAGAAATCACAGTCTGTTTGCAGACAACTCACAACTGAAATAGAGGCAAAATTTACCCGATCAATTATTCATCAGAAGTGATTTGGCCAGCTTTCCTGGGTACATAGCCACAGGGATGTACGACACCTTGGGGAAGGCAAGAGATTGAGATGCATTCAAACCAAACTGGGGAAGAGGATGTGGAGACCCAGGGCAATCTTTAAAGAGAGAGGGAGAGCAGATATGTGGCCAAATGAAGTTTTCCTTACAGCCAGTCGATCAGAAAACACAGAGCAGGTCAGCAGCAAGCAGACAAAACAGTAACTATTTATTTTCAGACAGCATTTCTTCTGCGGCTGTGGGTGAAGCATGCAGAGGCTGCGTGAGAGCAAGGACTAAGCCAGGTGTGGAAATGGAGCATATGCTCCCTGAAGAGAAGCAGCTTCTGCAGGTGACTGGGAAGCAGTGTGTGGGACTGAGTAGAGTCTGCGGGTAAGATGAGAAGATATGGAAGAGAATATTCAGCGTAGGCAGGATTAGAGCTGTGCAGAGCCTTAATCTAGCCCCGGCCTTTTCTCTGTATCTTTATCTGTCACGGTGCAGCCACTGTGTGCTGCAGTGCTGGTATAACCTGGCCATAAAACTGGATTAACTGGCCCACGAGGCTCATGGCTGAGTGGGAGAGGAGCCACAACAATATGCCTTTGTTTACATTTTCACTCCTGTGTGTTAAGTGTAGATCTTCTGAGAGACAAAGTGCTTAATTACTGGTACCAAATGTTGTTAATGAACGTGCAAGGGCAGAATTACAGCATTGAGGGAAGTGTTTTGCTGTTTCACAGTACAGTCCATTTCAACTCCTGCTTTCAGCAACATTTGAGAGGTTCTGCTATGATAGGAAAAAATGAATCAAACAAATCCAAAGAAAACATCGCCAGACAAATTTATTTTTAAATAAAAATGCCAAGATTACCTTACTGATTGAGCCCTTGCAGAGAAACCCCGCTGCCTCCTTCTGACAGCCTGTCCTTTCTGGCTCTTCCCTACCAGTGAAAAAACCTAGCGACTGCCTCTGATACAATTCATAATTCCACCAGCAACAGCCTGCAAGGATGGATTCTCACCAGTCTTTTTTATTCCACGAGGTTTTGAGCCCCAGAAGAAAATTCAGCTTGGACTCTGACCCATCGAAGTTAATGACCCTTGGAAAACGTTAAGGGCAAGTCCTTAACAAACACCATAGCACCTTCTGTTTCCTCTTTTTATGAGCGCATGCTGCAAAGCTTGGCAGTATCATCTATTTATGCAGCAGTAAGGTGAAGAATATTAGCAAATGCTATCTTTGCTCTGCCGAATTTGTGAAGGAGGCAAAGTTCAGTCACTCAGCCCACTTATCGCTTGTATAGTGATTTGGAAGTTCTGAATTTATGGGTTTCTGATCTGTGGGTTTCTCTAGGCTCACGTTATGTACTCTAAGCCTTAAATGAGGGGGCCACGAGGCCCGACTTCCTTCTCCCTTCGGTTGGGTGGCAGTTGATGCAGAAGACGGATTTGTGACAGACACCTCACGAGCACTGCGGTACCCAGGGTGTGCGACAAGGGGAACCGTGTCCTCAGAACTGCTCTTTTCTGAAGGAGGAACAGACCTCCTCTGCACAAAGCGGCCTGATCTGTTATTTCCTTTTCTTTGTATTCGATTCCTTTTTATTCATAGGGGATTAATATTGCCCTGAGCTCGGGCAGCACCTGTCTCCCAAGCATCCTTCACGATGGGCGTTTTCACACGGCCGCTCAGCACACACACAGCTCTTCCCTCCACAGAACCTCTCAGCCCGGCGCCGTTCGCCTCCGCCACGACTGACCGTTACCGCCACTCCCTCACGGCACAGCACGGCTAACCGTCACCTGGGCACCCCGCTCCCCACCCTACAGCCATTTACACCCTCCCCCCACCCGCCTCACTGCGCAAGCGCCCCCCTCTCCCAGCACAACGGACCGGAGAGCGCCTAGATGTGCGCGCGTGTGTGAGGCGGGGGGGGCAACTGAAACGCCAACGCCCGTCCGCGCGCACGTTAACGAGGCCTCGGCCAGAGGTGAAGAGATCGCAGCCCCGCGCCTGCGCGCCGTGGCCCGCGGTGCTGTGTGTGGGGGGCGCGCGTGCGAGGCGGCGCCCCCCGCGCCTGCGCGACGGCGCCGATGGGAAGGCGGGGGG